ATCTGTGACTTTTTGGTCCAGTTGGTGCATTCTGTCTTCTGTATCTGACACTCTACATTCCATTTCATTCACTCTGTTAACTATGGCTTCCATTGTGGTTTGCATGGAGGAAATGGACTCATTTATGGATTTGATGTTGGTTCTCAAAGTACTAATTGGTCACCTCTTAGTGAGGTGTGTACTGCCTCTATTTTTGTACTAATTTCACCTTTCAGTGATGTGTGTACTGCCTCTATTTTTTGCATGCATCTCCTGTTTGAAATCCTGCATCTCTTTTGATAGTTCGTCCCTGTGTTCCTTAAATTCCTGATATATTTCTCACTTTAATTCTTGAGTCATTACCTCCAGCATCTCTTGGATGTAGCTTTTGTCTTCCATTCCTGCTTTGCTTCCACTGGGGTTCTACCCTGGGTGGCTGCTGGCTTTTGGGGTAGCTTGCTATCCTGAGTTTTGATAAACCTTGTAATTTTTCTCTGTGATTTTCGCATGGGGATTCAGGGATTACTGGAGACTAATCTGAAATTTTGTTTTGGTCAATATGTGTCTGTCTTTGCTTGATTGCTATTTCTGGGTTGGCGGAGAGAGTCTGTACCTGGTCTTGCTTCTGTTGGGGGCCAACCTCTAGCTGCTGCTCTGACCCACATAGGGTTCTTACTGTCTGCTGTAGATCACTGGCAGCTCCTGCCTTTAGAAGGACTGAGCGGCCTAGAACGCTCCTGTTTACTCCTCGGGTGCTCTTGGCAAGATTGGGTGTGCTGGATGTACTCTGCTATGGGCTTCTGATTTTTTTTTTTGTGGTCGGTGGTTGGCCTGAACTCTGGGCCTGGGTGCTGTCCCTCAGCTCTTCAGCTCAAGGCTGGCACCCTACCATTTGAGCCACAGTGCCACTTCTGGCCCTTTTCACTTATGTGGTGCTGAGGGCCTCATGCACACAAGGCAAGCCTCTACTGCTGAGCCACCTTACCAGCCTGAGCTCCTGACTATAATCAAGTGTTGGTGGCCTGAATTGTCCAATTCCCGGCCTAGCATATATAGGTCGGGTTCTGGTGGGGTTTGGGCTTCTGGTTCTCTTGCCTTGCACACCCAGGTCTTTTGCTGTCACAGGTGTGATTCCTAGGGGGTTCAGTTCCCTCTCCCCCTCTCCCCCCGCTGAGGTGTATGCTCAGTTTCTGACTTCAATTGGGAGGGGTTGGTTGTGTTGCTCAGGCACTGGATCCTAAGGCCTGGTCCTGGCTTCCAGTCCCTGGTCTGGGGACATGTGCTGCTGTGTATCCTGCCTGGGTTATGCAGCCTGGAGTACACAGTTCAAGTTTCTTCCACTATTGGCTGTTGTGACCCAGGGGTATTGTTCCTGGCTTGGGTGTTTAAGCTCCCTTCCAGGGGCGCTCTTGATCTAGCCTGGCTGACTGGATGTGCTCCACGGGTTGGTGGAGCTCTCGAATGGTTCCCAGTTTTAGTGGGTCCTGTAATCCAGGTGTTGGGGTAGGGGTCTGGGTCAAGATCTGGGGGTTCCCACCAGCTCTGGTCCCCCTTGAGGGATACGCTGTCCCTTGCGGGGTACTCACCCTGGAGCTAATCGTTGTTTCTGTGTGATGTAGGTCACTGGTTGCTGCTACAAACAAGAGTTCAGTTGAGATGCTTTTGGGCTGGGCTGGGCCATGGTGGCTCTGCATGCTTCTCCTCTGTCTTTGCCTCTGTGTTGATGCTGTTCAGGTTGGCACCACGGGATGGGCTGCACACCAGCCTCTGGCCAGGGATGGGGGAGGGGTCTCCATGCAGGTTCTGAGCACTGAGTTTTTTTGTTTTTGTCAGTCGGGGGGCTTGAACTCAGGGCTTGGATACTGTCCCTCCCTGCACTCTTCAGCTCAAGGCTAGCACTCTACAGCTTGAGCCACAGAGCCACTTCCGGTTTTCTAGTGGTTTTTAGTGGATATAAAGATTCTCACGGACTTTCCTGCCTGGGCTGGCTTTGAATGGTGATCCTCAGATCTCAGCTTCTAGAGTAGCTTGGATTACAGGCGTGAGCCACCGGCCCCCGCTCTCTGAATCAGCACCAGTCCTTCCAGGTCTTCTGCACTGGTGTTCTGTGGGTGGGCTATAAGTAATCTTAAATAAATCCACATTTTTCTAGTTTTCATTTTCTCTGTCCAAGCTAGCTAATAGGTTTTAGTGGTTTGATGTGCTTCAAACATGTCCCTTTAATTTTTTTTTTCTCATGTAACTTCCAACCTCTTATACGTTCTCTCTTGGTGTTGACCTAGGGCCAAAGTTGTAAAGTTCGTTGTCGACATAAAGACTTGTACATCTCATTGTTGCAATGGGTCCACCTGTATTCCTATTTAAACAATTTGTTTTTCCCCTTCCCCTCCACAAATTATACCAACATCAATACAGTGGAAGCAGAGGTTATACTGTGGGGGAGGGACATACAAAGCAACAAAGAAATCATCTTATAAATGTGTTAGAAACAATCTCATGAAAGAAAAAAAAAACATTTGAATACATATCTTAGGGTTCATTTTCCTAACATCACCTTATCTGACCTTTTCTGCTTGACTCAGACATATACTAGATATTGCAAATAAGGGAAACCATGGGACCTATGTTTCTTTGGGCCTCATTTACTTCACTTAATATAATTTTTTCCAAGTCTTTCCATTTCCTAACAAATGGGGCAATATCATTCTTTCTGATGGAGGCATAGAATTCCATTGTGTATATATACCACATTTTCTTTTCTTTTTTTCTTTTTTCTTTGGGTCCGGTCATGGGGCCTGAACTCTGGGCCTGGGCACTGTCCCTCAGCTCTTCAGCTCAAGGCTAGCACTCTACGACTTGAGTCATAGCGCCACTTCCGGCTTTTTTCTTTTTGCTTATGTGGTGCTGGGGAATTGAACCCAGGGCCTCAGGCATGCAAGGCAAGCGCTCTACCACTGAGCCACCTTCCCAGCCCCCTATACCACATTTTCTTGATCTATTCATCTACTGAGGGGCATCTGAGTTGGTTCCATATCTTAGCTATAGTAAATAAGGCTGCAATAAACATAGTTGTGCTGGTAGCTTTAGTATGGTCTTGTTTGTGATCATTTGGGTAAATGCCCAAAAGTGGGATTGGTGGATCATAGGGGAGCTCTATGTCGAGTCTTTTGAGGAACCTCCATACTACTTTCCAAAGTGGTTAAACAAGTTTACACTCCCACCAACAATGCAGTAGGGTTCCCTTCTGTCCACATCCCCTCCAGCATCTGTTGTTATTAGAGTTCTTGATTATAGCCATTCTAACTGGGGTAAGGTGGTATCTCAATGTTGTTTTGATTTGCATTTCCTTTATGGCTAGGGAGGTTGAGCATTTCTTCATGTGTCTATTAGCCATCCTTCTTTCCTCTTCAGAGAAGTTTCTCTTTAAGTCTTTTTTTTTTTATTTAATTTTATTTTATTTGTGAACATACTGTACAGAGGGGTTACAATTACATGGTCAGGATAATGCGTACATTTCTTACCAAGCATTGCAGACTCCTCCTTTGTTTACCCTTCACCTCCCTTCCCAGCCTCCCCCCTCCCCCCCAATCCCAATCCTTCTCCTTCCCCCCCTTCATCCCCCCCCAACGACATTGTAAAGCTCGTTTTGGACATGACAACTTGTACTTCTCATTGTTGCAACAGGTCCACCTGTATCCTTAAACAACTGGTTTTTCCCCATCTCCTCCACAAGTTATACTGACATCAAATATAGTGAAAGCAGGGGTTATACTGTGGGGGAGGGACATACAAAGCAACAAAGAGATAATCTTATAAATGCGTTAGAAACACATGCATGAAAGAAAAAAACATTAAAATACGTATTTAAGGGTTCCTTTTCCTGACATCACATTATCTGACCTTTTCCGCTTGACTCATGCATATACTAGATATTGCAAATAAGGGAAACCATGGGACCTGTGTTTCTTTGGACCTGGCTTACTTCACTTAATATAATTTTTTCCAAGTTTTTCCATTTCCTAACAAATGGGGAAATGTCATTCTTTCTGATGGAGGCATAGAATTCCATTGTGTATATATACCACATTTTCTTGATCCATTCATCTACTGAGGGGCATCTGGGTTGGTTCCATATCTTAGCTATGGTAAATAATGCTGCAATAAACATAGTTGTGCTGGTAGCTTTAGTATGGTCTTGTTTGTGATCATTTGGGTAAATGCCCCAAAGTGGGATTGCTGGGTCATAGGGGAGCTCTATGTGGAGTCTTTTGAGGAACCTCCATACTGCTTTCCAAAGTGGTTGAACAAGTTTACACTCCCACCAACAATGCAGTAGGGTTCCCTTCTGTCCACATCCCCTCCAGCATCTGTTGTTATTAGAGTTCTTGATTATAGCCATTCTGACTGGGGTATCTCAATGTTGTTTTGATTTGCATTTCTTTTATGGCTAGGGAGGTTGAGCATTTCTTCATGTGTCTATTAGCCATCCTTCTTTCCTCTTCAGAGAAGTTTCTCTTTAAGTTTTTAGCCCATTTATTTATCAGGCAGTTGTTTCTGAAATCTTTGTTCCTTAGTAATGTTATGTTTTCCCAAGTGGGTCAGATAATGAATAATCTGTAACTAAGAACCATCATACCTACAGTAAGTGGGTTACTTATGGTGTTATGTTAACGTAACTTTTTAATGTATTATCTTACCCTTCTTTAGATACATAGTTTTGAACATTTATGCTGTATAAGAATTATAACAATATTTGGTTAACAATATAATATTACTTGAAAATAGTTGCTGTTAAAACTGTATTCTAGGTAAAATTTTCCCGATTAAAAAAATGAAAAATCAAGAACCTGAAAAATCAAGAACTAGAAATATCTCTGAAAATGTAAAATATCTTGACTATTTGTGCTCTGAATTGTCGTTATTCAGATTGTAGACTTATTTATTATTTGTAATCTGGAGCAATATGTCTCCACTGAATTTTCTTTTTAAAAGTATCAGGAAATAAAGGAAAACATATGGACCTGACAGTGCTTGAGGAGAAAAATTATAATGTTCCGGTTGTTAGAGAAAAGGCTACAGAAAGAACTACTCCTATAAAGATGAGCTGCTTTATTTGTATTAAAATTAAAACTGCTCATCAAAAGATACCATTGGGAGAGCCGTGGAATAGAAGACATTTGTCCACTTACAGTCAACAGAGGGCATGCACCCAGCATTTATCCTTCCCAGCTCTCTAAGGAAAGACAGGAAGCCATGCCTGGGGTAAAGTCCTGAGACTCCAAGGAAGGCATCAGAGGACAGCTGCTGCTTTGCTGGCCATGTTTCATTTGTTGATGTAGCGGGGGTGAGTGTATGTTTGCTTTGTGACAGTTCACTAAACTGTTTGTGTTTTTAATGCATTTTTGAACAAGAATTTTATATCAAATAACATACTTATCTCCTTTTCAAGTAAACAGCTTTATTGAAGTATAATTCACGTATTATAAATTAACCGTTTTGTATGTGGGCTCGCCTGTCCTGAGTCTTAAACTCAAGGCCTGGGTGCTGGGCTCTACCACTTAAGCCACCGTTCCACTTCTGCCTTTTTTGTGGTTAATTGGAGATAAAGAGTCTCACAGACTTTCCTGGCTAGGCTGGCTTCAAACCATCATCCTCAGCTTCTGGAGCAGCTAGGATTGCAGGCAGGAGCCACCAGCACCTAGCTTAAATCAACTGTTTAAAGTACAGAATTCATTGGCTATTAGCCTCTCCAGATCTCTAAAAGCATTACCCCAACCTAAATTAGAATGTTTTCATTATCTCACAAAGAAGCCTCATACCCATTTTAGTCATTCTCTATTGCATCTACCCCAGCCCAGGTAGCCTCTAATCTTATTTTCTATGGATTTGTCTGGTCTGCCCATTTCACTTACATATACTCATCCAGGATGTGCTTTTATTCTGCTGAGAAGTAGACAGAAAATCAAATAGGTGAAGGCTGAACCCCAGCTTTACTGCTAGAGTGAGGACAGCTTTTGGCCACACCTTTCTGTCCAGCTTGTTAGGGAATTGCTGCCTCCTTTCCTCTCAGTGCTGGTAGCAAGAACAAAAGGAAGAGATGAAGACCAACTCTCCTTGGGGAACATTCTTTTCAGAGCCACTGGAGCTTCAAGAAAATAGAAATATCCAGGCATCCATACTCAGAAAAAAAAGAAGAGAGACATTTTGTTAGCATCAGACTAGTAGCAGTACAAAAACAGTAAGCCAGAGTTAGCTTGAGGACAAAATCCCGTGGAATCTGGGACTTTGAAAGTAAGTGTGGAGGCTGCTGAAAGATAGGTAAACTGAACCTGAGACTCCTACATGAAACTGGGGTCCTTGGAGGAAGCTAGAAGACTCCCACTCAAAGAAGTAAAGGGATATTTTATCAGAAGGAAAAGACAAGTGTAAAGTCTGAGTTTATAATTGAAAAGTCAATAAAACAACAACAAAAACCAAAAGTCATGAGTAAGAGTAAAGAGAACCATCAAACAGGACTTCCTGTTCAAGAGTCGTGAAGTATAAAATGTCTAAGGACAAGATGCTTTTGAGAAAATGAAGCCAAGCCCAGTAGTTCATGCTTGTAATTCCAGAACTCACGAGGCAGAGGCAGGTTGATTAAGAGTTTAGCCTAGGCTCCATCATGAGATTGTCTCAGACACAAAAGAAAACATGATGGAATGAATAAAGCCAGTGTTTATCACTGGATACACTGTTGCTAGTCCAGTCTTTAATATGAGGCCTAGATCATGAGTTATAGGATGCATAGCATCCCCACTAGAGAGGGTCAAGCACAGTACATGAGGCTGAAACAGACAGACTATTGACTATGTACTGCTGGAAACTGGAGTATGCCTGATAATAACCAATTCTTACCTCTCATGGTACTTAAAAAATCAGTCTCATATGAATTAAGTATAGAAAGAAAAGAAAAAAATTTCAAGTATTGAAAGAAAATACAGATTAAGTTTATGACACAAATTTCTGCTGGCTATAAAAGAAAAAAACTAAGAAATTAGAATACATTCCTGTTAAGGACTGCTCTTCTACAAGAAAAGTATAAAGCCAATGAAAAGACCAGCACCCTGCAGGAAGGGTAGATTTTCTGCACACAGCAGTGAACTAACTTAGCTCCAGAACATGTAAGGAGTCCTACAGGCTGATAAGGAAAACAGTTACTGGAGAATAGTAGTTAGTCACTGGCATTTCATAGCATCAGAAATTCAAATGTCCGAGTCTGATAGACACAGGGAAAGATAATCCTAGTAATAGAGAAATACATATTAAAATCACTTTTTACACAACTAAAGTGTGCCAGTGCCAAGTGCTAGTGAGGATGTGGAGTTTGAGGAATCTTTGTATTTGTCTGGTTGGGCTGAACATTTGAGTTAGAGACTACCATTGTAAAGTTGAATTTGGGTATGACCTTGTTCATGCATGACCCAGAAATTCGGCTTCCAAGTATAAGCCCTAGAGAAATTCATCTTGTAGAAAAGACAGTCGTCTCATTGCAATGTTACTCTTTTTTTTTTTGTTAAGGCTAGTGATCTACCATTTGACCCACAGCTCCACCTCCAGCCTTTTGGTGGTTAATTAGAGAGAAGAGTCTCATAGACTTTCAGGAAGTTGAGATATAAGGACTGAGGTTCAAAGCCAGCCTGGGAAAACAAATCTGACATTTTTCAATTAACGAGTAAAAAGCTGAAAGTGGAGGTGTGGCTCAAGTATTAGAGCCCAAGCCTTGAAAAAGCCAATGATGTAGCTTGAGGCCCTTATGGTCAAGTCCCAGTACTGGCATCAAAAACACAGACAAACAAGTAAGACTGGATTCTCTCATTCACTCAACAGAATACAGCAAATAATGTGTGCAACTTTTGGTGGGCTGGGTGTCATTTTAATTAGGCTAGAAGAGACAAAGTGCCCCTACTTGTCCTCCATAGAGAGGAGAGATGGACCTGTGGGGCAGAGATATTGAGGATTCAGGATTTACTCTCCAGGTCCTCATGTTTCAGCTTCTTGAGCAGCCAGGATTACAGGCAGGAGCCATCAGCACTCCACTGAGTGAATCTAGGTTTTAAAGGGTTATTGATACTGTATTCCAAAGTTACCTCATACTTTTCTTTTCTTTCAAAGATAAAGTCTTGCTGTGCTGCTCAGCCTAACCTCCAAATCTTTATCCTCTGGCCGTGGCCCTCCTAGTGCTGGGATTACAAGCATGCACCACCACACTGGGCTCCTAAGAATTATTTAGAATCAATATAGGTTGAAAATTTGTGTGTGGGCTATTTGAAATGGTTGAGAATTTGAAGGAAAATAAAGTGCATGTTTCTTTACCTTAAGCACTGTTTTGCGATTCCAGCCTGAGTGGCTGAAATGAGTCCCCCTGTGTCTGAAGTGGCGTTTCCTGACATGAAGTTGTTCTTGCATGCTAGATGGTGTGTTGAGAAGGAAGAGTGACACCCCAGCAAGAAGTTATGCCTGGAAAGCCACTCAGAAGGCCAAGCTGCTCTGCAGTGACTGCCTAGGAAACTTACCACGCTTCCAACGGCTCTTGACAAAAGAAGGGTGGATTTCATGAGTAATCCCAGAGTTGTTCTGTTTTGTTTTGAAGGAAGTTACTTTATTATTTGGCAATGAGAAGCAGTAATGAGAATACTTTTTTTTATGTGAAAATACTGTATAGAGGGGTTACAATTACATGGGCAAGATAATGAGTACATTTCTTATCAAGCATTGTTGCCTCCTCCTTTGTTTCCCCTTCCCATCCCTTCCCATTTCTCACCCCCCCATACTTTTATTTTCAATTTGTGTATTCCCAGAATATAAGTAATATATGTACTTAATAATTTTATGACACCAATGTGATCACCAGCATGGATTAATTTATCTTGATTTTCTACAGCTGATTTGAAAAGGGTATTCGCTCACAGAAAGTCACCCCTCAACCAGGAACAGTCATCTTTTGAGAAGACTTATTTTCAAGAGTGACAGTACGCTTCTCTAACAATCCAGTCTTCTTTTAAGAATCTATGGCAATAGATCATATTCCCACCTACTCTTTCCAGTCAACAGAATTTGCCTACTTAGGATTAACTCATAAAGTTGGCAGACTTGGTCTCCATTTTAAGACTATACTTTCTAAAATGCTAATACTTTGTAGCTCAGTGGTTGAACATTCTGTAGGAGGCACAAGGCACAGATTTCCATCTCCAGTACTACAAATTAATTAATTTCTAATATTTTTTTACACAGGCTAGCTCAGGCTAGCCTCAAACTCTCCATCATCTTCATGTATCTATGAACATAAACATTTATCTATCTATCTATCTATCTATCTATCTATCTATCTATCTATCTATCTATCTATCTATATCATGGAATCATTTTATTTACTTTTCATCAGCTCTTTGTATACTGATGAAAATTTACATGGAATCACACTATAGAATTTATGCATGTGGTCAGACATCACAGGACTTGAAATACTTCACACAGTATTCTAGTTCAAATTACTCTGCAGCTTATAAACTGTAGAAACTTTATTCTCATGTAAATCAGTTATTTGAAAGTTTATGCATCACTTTTAATAGATGTCAGTTTTATAGATTTATAATAGACTTACTTTGTCTGGGAAAAAGTTTAATCACCCAGTCTTTCTTTTTAGGTATTTAAACAAAAACAATGCTAGCTTTTTGTGTTTTTTCCCCCCCAATTCAATTGTATTAAGTACAAATCCATTCTACACTATTTTTCAGCAACTGCTCCTGAAGCTCATCATCCCACAAGTTTAGAAACTACAGGCCTGACTCAGGGGCTCTAAACAACAGATGATGGGTTTGAGTTGAGAACTAGCAGAGCTCCATATAACAAGCCACTAGCCTCAAAAGATGACATGACATAGCTCTGGATAAAGAACTCATAATCAGGTGTTGGTGGCTCACACCTATAATCCTAGCTACTCAGGCAGCTGAGATCTGAGGATCATGGTCCAAAGCTAGCCTGGGTAGGAAAGTCAGTGAGACTCTTATCTTCAAAAAACCATATATCATGAACCCATGATATATGATATATATATAAATATATATATATGCCAATATAGATACATGTCTATGTTAAGCTGGAAATGGTGCTATAGCCAAGTGGTAGATAGTAGCCTTGAGGAAAAGAAGCTCATGGACAGGCCCTGAATTCAAGCCCCAGTACTGGTTAAAAAAACAACAAACTCGTGTGCTTTGATCTTTTGTGTTTAGAGCTCTACTATTCTTTTTTTTAAATTTTTTTTATTGTGAAAATACTGGAGCTCTACTATTCTTTATATATTACTTCCTTGCTTCAAAAAGAATTCTATTCTTTGACTCCATTTATACAAAGTTGTCATGAAGAGTAACCAGCGTTCTGCCTAGAAAAAGCATACTGCTCCTGACCTGTTCTTCTCTTACTCTGTTCAATGGAAGGAAGGAAGTTATCACAGATCTTTCAGTGAAAAAATTTAGATACAATGTCAAAGGTTCGAGGAACTCCTGAGGGCGATCACACATCTGCATCTCTTTTTCTTTTTTTCTCTTTCTTGTGTCAGTATTGGATTTTGAGCAGTGGCTGGACTGCTTCTAGCAAGTTTTAGTTTTGAGACAAAACCTCATTTCTTTAGTGCTTAGATATATTTTGGATAGAGTTTCCTGTGTTGACCAGGTCTGGCATATCTCCTAGTAACTGGGATCTCATGTCTGTGCCACATTGCTTTACCTCTTTTAACATTTTACTGTATATTTGTGCAGGGCTGGGGTATTTCTTTCATTCTGCCTTTATAAATATGGATACATGTATATATATATAATGATATATATATATATGATATGGTATGTGATATGTGATGTATATATTATATATATACTACATATATGTGATATATATCATATAGACTTACAGACATATTTAGAATGTTCTTGGATTTTAACTCATGTTCTACCATGTTTTTATTGTTTCATGTTTCAGTCGATCCCACATTGGGAAGTATTGCCACTTTACAATCCTACTTGACCCATCTCAATGTTTCTAGAACACTGGGGCTCTCTGGGCTGGGTAGGGCATAAACCAACGCCATGGAATAACTTCAGCAGGGCCACCAGGAAAATCCTTCACTCTGGCATTAGTGCTTAAAGTGCCTTTTTTACTCATTCTATGCTTCACACAGCCTGGGTAGGTAAGCACCAACAGATATGGAACACTGACCAAGTCCAGGCCTTTGGCCCAGCCACCCAACCAAGCCCTGGCAGATCTTGTAAAGCAGAGGATCCATGAACAGCAGACCATTGTCCATTGCTTATTCTGATTGCTCTATGGAGTTCCAGTAGAAAGCCAATCCAGACCTGTCAGCCTAAGCCTCCCCAGTGCTCATGGTGGTATGGCTATTTCCATGGCTTTCTGCCAATCCACAAACATAGGAGGTGCAAAAGTTTTGTTTAAGTGTGCAAACCAGAAAAAAAATGTGGCAACTTGTAACTGTCAGAAATTTGGATGAGTCTTGACATGGAGAGAAACCTCAACTATAACCTTCTTATTTCTAAAAGAAGGTTTTTAAAAATGAGAGATTGCTTCCCTTATCACTAGTATTGAAAAAGACTTTACTAAACCAGCTATTCTACCGCCTGGTTGCTTAAGCTTGCCATGTTGTCTGACTGGATTACTGCTGCTCGAATTTTAAATGTTGAGCCACAGCACAATTCTGTTACTGGGATTAAAGGGAGTAATACTGTGGAAGGGTCTTGAGAGCATGCTCCTTTAGAGGAGTCAGATTCAGGGCGGGGAAGGAAAAGCCTTTATGTGGTGGCTCTACTGGCTGTTGGAACCCTTTTTTTGGATATTGGTGGTAGGGAGACCAAGGGACAGAGAGATGTAGGCTGCCTGATGTATTTTCAGTTTGCTGGTTTGTGCCCATCTTCCATCATACAGGGCTCTGAGCTCCTGTCTGTGTGTCACTTTGGCATCCATATTTCCATTACAAAAGTCCACATTGGCAATTGGCAGACTTCTCTGACCATTGTGCTCCAAGTGGTCAATGTGTTGATTATAAGATTGCTAAATTGGAATGGTCTGCCCCAAATACTTCCCTTATCTTTATGAATTCTTTGTAGAGTGTTTTCTGCATTGTAGGGGCTTGAGAATTGAGTCCACCTTGCCTGCATGATGTTTCTGTCAGTGAAAAACCATGCATGATGGTGGTCCTGTGAGATTTTATTGCCTAGTGACACCATAGCTGTGGCCATTTGTGGAAACACATCCTGATATTTGCACAATGATTGTAATCACCTAGTGACTTGGTTCTTAGAAGGTGGCCCTGTGAATCAATGCTAATAAAAGCAAAACCATTCAAGTAAGGACATCATTCCAGTCATGTTAAAATAGAATTCTTTTTGAAGGCAATCATGGCCTTAAAATAGTGTGGCAGTAAGTAAGGTACTTAAAGTACCAATCTGTACTAACGAGAAAGTAATGATGACTGTGTGTTCATGGGGTTAGCCAGTGTTTGGAAAGGTGTCTTTCCCTTCTCAGTGTTACCAAGGCTTAGGTGAAGTTGGTTCTGAGCAGAGGTAGTGAATTTTCAAATAAGAACTCTAGAGCATTCATTTTTGATGTTACACAAAAGCAGAAGTTAATGAGATTTATAATTGTTTCTCAAAGTCCTTTTGTCCTCCCTCGTCTGTGTGTCTGTAATCAAAGATGGTTTGTCACATAAGCCTCTTGTGTCATGTGTGGTATTGAGGTGAGGGGTAAGTTGTAAAACATCTCTCCCCTTTAGCTTTAAAACTTTCCTGACAGTCTGACATAGGAATAGTTTGTGAATCAAGCAATCTGTTTTCTGATATCCGAAATGGCAAATGTTAAACCACTTGTGTAAAAACATGGGAGTCCATAGGTATTGGTAGGATTACAATTTTTAGATAGCTTTAAGCTATGTCAGAGTTCTTTCAAGTGATCCCCACTGCTCTTCTGTATGCTGTGTTCTCAAATTAAATACAAGAGGGAGACTATGTGAAGTATATGCTTTCAAGAAGACATCAGTGAAGCTGGGCCTCGCTGACTCACACCTATAATCCTAGCCACTCAGGAGGCTAAGATCTAGATGATTGAGTTCAATGCCATCCAGGGCAGACAAATCCTCAAGCCTCTTATTCCAATTAACCATCAGAAATCTGGAAGTAGAAGTATGGTTCAAGTGGTAGAGCATCAGCCAGGAGTAAGATGCAGAGTTCAAGCCCTAATGCTAGCATACCACACCAAAACAAAGCAAAACAAAATCATTAATGATACTTTTATATAAAATTTATTTAGTGGGTTTCTTTTTTTTTTAGTGGGTTTTTTTTTCTTAATATATACCGAAATATAAAGTATCATGAATTTAGACATCGGTGGTGTGGTGCCTCAGATAGTGTGCCAAAATAGAATAGTTTATGTAACTACTCTTCGAAGTAGATCTCTACAGCAAAATCAGTGGGATAAAACCCACATATTTTTGGTTTATGAAGATTATCCAGTTCATTACGCCTCAGGTAAAGCCTAAGGATAGGAAGAAAAGCCATTACCTTTTATTTTAGGGCTAACAGAAAAGTCATACAATACAACACTCTTGTTTAGAAAGAGACTTGCTCCTGCAACCAGAAACTAAGCTCCATTTGCTTTCCTTACTTGGCTAATTCCACCTCTTGGAGGTGACATAGATACCTTAATTTTCAGATGCAAACACATTGGTCCCAACATGCTTCCAAGGGAATTAGTTACATCCAGTTTGAACAAACTATGAAAATGTCTATAATTGGCAGAAATTACCCACAAATATATTAGGTATGTAATGAAACTCAGTAATAAAATACTGTTTTGTTTCTTTTGTGTCAATAAGGGTCTTGTGATATCACTTAGCCTTTTCTGCTCAAGCTAAATCTATCACATCAGGCTATTTCACTGGCCAATTGAAAAGTCTCACAGACTTTTCTGCCTGGGCTGGCTTCAAACTGTGATCCTCAGATCTCAGCCTCCTATGTAGCTAGGATCAGAGGCCAGTGAGACACCAGCGCCTGTCTGTATCTCTTATTTCTTTTGTTTTTTTACATTAATTTACTTTATTGTTATTATAAAGGTAATGTACAGAGGGATTACAATTACAGGAATCAGGTAATGATTACATTTCCTGTTGTACAATGTCTCTGTTCCCTCATTCTCTTCCCAGTCCCTTCCTCTCTCTCCACCCACAAGTTGTATAATTCACTTTCATCTGTGTCCAGTGAGCTCCACTGCTGCCCTTTTTCACCCTTTATCCCTCAAGTTCTGTACTCTTCCCACTCCCTCCTTGAGGTATAGATGTGAATACACCATACAAAACCAAGAAAGAATCATCAAAAATTGCTTTTTTTAAAAAGAGCTCTTATTTCTATATCGTGAAGTGCTAGCGCTCTCTCTCTCTCTCTCTCACACACACACACACACACATACACACACACACACACACACACACACACACACACACACAGAGTTTTATATAAATATGAAGAGGCATGTAGGCATTGTGTCTTTGTATTTCTATCCTAGGAGTATCTTCTTTTGGTCTCACTGTGTGTAAGTATCTAGAATCCTGATAACTTACCATATCCCAGTGTATTTTAGATCTAATTCTGTCTATCTCTCTCTCAAGTGACAAAGCTGTGTATTTGTCTAAATAACAACCTCATAACTGTTAAGAAGCTTTACAAAAGCAAGGCATGAAACGATACCAATTCCTACAGAAATGTCTACGAAATGAGGATAAAACATCCCCACCATTTCTCATGTGACCCTGGTGACATAAAGGACAAAGTTGTGCTTTACCACAACCACTTGGAGAAGGAGCAACGAGTAAAGGCCTCTCGCCCCAAGCCCTGCCTTTGTTGAGAACTTTGCTCATGAGTCAAAGTTTGTTCATATACATCTAGAAAACTTGGTGAACATTTTGTCATTAAATAGTTTACTCTTTCCCAAACCAAATTGTGTGTGAATCACAAGTGTGTAGAACTGGTGTTTTCTTGGTGCTGTCTTACTAGATTGGAAGTATTAAGCTCAGTTCAGACTTGAAGAGAAGATTAACATTGGATATAACAAATACTATCAGTTCACACACACACACACACACACACACACACACTCACTCACACACACACACACACACACACACACACACACACGATGACACAAGGACAATCTCTTCAACTCTGGTCTTGAGTAGTTTTCACCACCTCAGGAAAAATACTCCTAAAAAGTGGAGAACTTGTAGGATCAGGAATGTGTTTCTAGATATGGTACTAGGTTCTTAAGAACAATGAACTTCTTTTTAGAAGCTCAGTTCTTAGAAAAACTTTTTAAAATGGGAGTCTATAAAATTAATGGTTTTCAGACTAATTAATACTTATCGGGCCTTGCCATTTCTGTCCTAGATGTAAATGTGCCAATGTAAGTTTGAGGTCAGCTAAAGCCTCCCTCGATGGATCACACCTTCCTTCAGTATTACCACAGTACATCCACACACCCTCAGGACCTGCCATATTCCAGGAACTGAGCAAATATAGACTTCCCTGGGAGGAACTGGTCATTACTAAGATCTGAGTAACTGCATTTTAACTTACACACCATCCCATGACTGGGGTTTTGAAATGGTTGCTCAAGGGGTTCTTTGTATTTGTGGTAAATGTACTTAGGACAGTGGGCAAAAAGACCTGCCACTGTAGTTTATACACAGACGTGGAAGATGAAGCTGTTTCTATTGGATTACATCATATCCTTACCGATTATTCTTTATCAACGAGGTGTGGAAGCACAAAAAGAAAGCACAGCTCTGGTAGTATTTAGGAAGTTTCTAAAAACATAGGGTTAAAGAAAAAGGTTATTTTCATAATAAAATGGATACCAAGAACTAATGATCCCAAGAGATTAAAATTACTCCCTTATTTCTTTATGTATTTATCAGCTGCAGCCTTCTATACAAAGTACTCAGGGACTTTAGGAGAACACTGTTTCAATTAAGCTGTAAAGGGTCAAGCTTAGTGCAGTAAAATAGAAAAATCTGTTAAATTGGATTTCATAAAAGAGCATTAGCAGCCAAGTGCTGGTGGTTTATGCCTGTAATCCTAGCTACTCAGGAGGCTGAGATCTGAGGATTGGAGTTCAAAGCCAGCCTGGGCAGGAAAGTTTATGAGACATTTATCTCCAATTAAACCACCACAAAACCAGAAGTGGCACTGTGGCTCAAAGTGGTAGAGCACTAACTTGATCACAATTGCTCAGGGATAGACCCTGGCCCTGAGTTCTAGTTCCATGACTACCACCACCACCAAGAAAAAAGCATAGCAACAAAGTGAAAAACTAAGCCACAGAATGAAGGAAAATATATGCAAATCATGTATCTGATGATGGTGTTGTATCCAGAAGACCTCTTTCAATTAAAAAACAAAAGCCTGGGCTGGGTAGGTGGCTCAGTGGTAGATCGCTTGCCTTGCATGCCTGAGGCCCTGGGTTCGATTCCTCAGCACCACATAAGCAAAAAGAAAAAAGCCGGAAGTGGCTCTGTGGCTCGAGTGGTAGAGTGCTAGCCTTGAGCTGAAGAGCTGAGGGACAGCGCACAGGCCCAGAGTTCAAGCCCCACTACCGGACAAACAAAAACAAAAACAAAAGCCTGAAAAAAGCAGATAAAACAAACATTTCTCCAGAGAATGTATCGAAAAGGCCTACAAGCACACATGAAGACTGAGTCCTGATGTCACATCCAGTAGGATCGCCATCAAAAATCAGCAAACCACAGTCCACCAGAGTCCCTCAGGCATTGCTGGTGCAAATGTAAAATGGTGAAGCTATGGTGGAAAAGGATTTGGTAATTTACATTAAAACAAAGAATTTAAATTAATTTAAATTAAACATTAGCTGGGAATTAGCTAGGAGTCGGTGGCTCACACCTGTAATGCTAGCTACTCAGGAGGCTGAGATCTGCTGTTCAAAGCCAACCCAGGCAGCAAAGTCCGTGAGACTCTTTTTTTTTTTTTTGGGTCCGGTCGTGGGGCCTGAACTCTGGGCCTGGGCGCTGTCCCTCAGCTCTTCAGTTCAAGGCTAGCGCTCTACCACTTGAGCCACAGCGCCACTTCTGGCTTTTTTCTTTTTGCTTATGTGGTGCTGGGAATCGAACCCAGGGCCTCAGGCATGCAAGGCAAGCGCTCTACCACTGAGCCACCTTCCCAGCCCTCCGTGAGACTCTTATGTCCAATAAACCACTCAGAAAATGGGAAGTGGTGCTGTGGCTCAAATGGTAGAGTGTTAGACTTGAGCTGAAGAGCAGAGGGACAGTGCCCAGGCCTAGAGTTCAAACGCATGACCATCAAAAAATGAAAACAAAAACAAAAAAACAAAAAAGCCCAAAACATAGAATTACTATATGACATCAATTCCACTGAAAAATGTTTGGTCCATGATAAATATAGATACTGATCTTTTGATCTTATTTGCAACTAAATCAACTAAATTAACTAAAGACCTAGCCTCTTTGCACCCAAACATACGGTGGTGAGTTCTTACTCACTACTGTAGCCTCTGCATTCATTTTGAGTGTACATTAGACTGGCATAACAGGAGCAGGGCACAGCCACTCCAGTTTCCAGTCTCTGTCCCTTCCCAGTTCCTCAGTGGCCTGATCTAGGTATCTGTTTCATGCACCCCTCTTCCTATGTGACAGCAGATACCATCCCCTTACCCCATGCACCCCATGCTCCAGGGGACCTGTGTAGGTAAGTCACTGTGACTACCTGGGTTACAGCACAACTCCTGGAACCACAATGGAGCCCCCCATGGGAAACCTGCTCAGGTAACACCCTGGGCCCAGCGCAAAGGCTACTTGCTCCTCAGGTCTCCCTGTGTCTGTGACACTGGTTGGGTATCAGTTTCTCCTAAATGGCTCCCCTCTTTCCACTAGCTGAGGCTGGTGCTGCCCTCGCCTCTCTCTGTTATAACCTGCTTCTCCTAATCTCTGTGTTTTGTTGTGCTGCCTGGTTGGTACCTGATCTGAGCAGCGTGCACAAGCCTGTGTGTGCTCTCAGGGCTTTCCTGCAGTATCTACGTTGGTAGGAAGAAACTAAAAATAACAAGTCAGACAAGAGCCTCCAGGCATCTGCCAGTAAAAACAGGTTTCCTCTGAGAAGGACACCTGTCACCAGTGGGGCACTGAGGCATTAGGCTGCACGTCAGGGTAAACAATCATCCTGTGAAAGATACACTGTATGGCATCCACAGTCATCTCACCTGGAGCCCCATCAGAGGAAAGCTAGAATTTACAGTCGTTCCCCAGAGATGGTCCTTGAGACCAAGCTTTAAGAAATATAACATATCTATTTTGAATAATTATCAACCCATATTGGTGATGACTAGAGCTACTCAGGAGGCTGAGCTCTGGAGGACCAAAAACAGCTTGGGCAGAAAAGTCAGATTCCATTTCCAAAATGACCAGCAAAAATCAGGACTGGAGGCGTAGCTCAATTGGTAGAGATCCAGACAAGCAAGCAAACCAAACAAAACATGAGGCCCTGACTTCAAACCCCAGTACTGCCCCCAAATGAAAACTGGTAAGCAAAGAATTTCCTGAATTAAAAAAAATATACCTTCACTCTCGATTCTTGATAATCATCACTAAAAGTAGCTAATACCAAGGTCCCTGGAGCCAGTTCAGAAACCACTGTTTCTGCTTACAGACCACTTGCTGAGCAAGAATTCAAGAGTAGATCCGTTATTCAAGGGCAAACTTCCAATATAACGATTGCCCAGGTCATTTGCTTCAACATTAACCATCTCAATAGCTCATAGATACTTCTTCAGCAGTGAGCAAGCAGGTGATGAAGGAAGGCACAGAGAATGAAATTAAAGTTTCTTGTTGGTAGTGGTGATGGATGAGTTAATAGAAAAATACAACTACTGAGCCACTGAAATTCACTGTACAACTGATCAATAGAAATTATACATTCATGACTGTAACAGTAATGATCCTAAGTTAATAGATAATTATAGCTTGTATCAACTCAGAGGAAAGTAAAATCTCCTCAGTTATTGAAAATGTGTAAACACATTGATGGCAATGTGTTTAGAAGATTCAAAATTGTCAATACTGCTCAACAGTGTAAAATAAACCTTTTTAGCATCCTTGTTTTATTAGTTTTCTTACTTGAAAACTAACATATGTAAATTGCATAGAATTTAGGGGAACAAGTAAGCCAAAACATTTTGAATGTGTAAAAATTTGTGATAGTTTTGATGAGTGTTTTCCTCCCTTTCCCTGGACATGGATTGCTATCTAGCCTTTCTCTTGCTGGGAAATGCAGCAAAGGAAATCTTGACCCCAAATCAGTCAAAAGACAAGAGCAATCACACAGATAGACAAGAGCAATCACACAGGGTTCTTGATTACTCACAGGTGAAAAAAACTTGATTTTTATATCATCACACAATTCTGGGCAATCTGACAGAAGAAATATAGCCATGTTCCTTTTGAGATCATGCAATAACTGTGAAATAAACACATGGAATTAGGAACTATGAATGTAGCTGGTGGTAAGTATTCATTTTCCTGCACCTAGGCATCCAGTTTCATAGCCCAGTCATTTCATATATAATAGTACTATTTTGTTTTATAAGAAGGTAGGAAACTTTTTATTATATTATTTTCATGGACTAATAAATTCTGGTTTTCAAAGCTCCCATAAGTTGCAAATTCTTTGAATATCTTTAAAATACATTGCTGTTGTATAGTCAATACATATATAAGTGTTATTCCAAACACTTGTTGGATAATGGTAAACAATGTCTAGTTAAAAGGGAACACTTTATGCCTCTGTTTTATTATTTTAATTCTAGTAACTTAGTAATTTCTCTTTACCAAATTAGAATAGTATTCCTTGTTTCCTGAGTTCTTTTAATCAGTGGATTCAAGGGATTGCAGCTTAAGTATATACAAAATATTGTGCTTGTACTGAACATGTATATTAATTTTCTTAGCGTTATTCCCTACAGAATACAGTAAACAGCTGTTATGTAATACTCATGTTTGTTTAGGGATGGTAAGTAATCTAGAGATGTTTTAAAGTACACAGGATGTGTTAATAACTGCTATTTTATATATGGACTTGAGCATCTATGGAAGGTGTTCTGGAATCAGTCCCCTACAAATGCCATGGGACAATATAGTATTGTTTTCTGAAGTTGTATTTACTATTCTTTACATGACCTCTACATATTTGAGGGTTACAATAGGGCACTGTTGAGAAGCAACTGGAGTTTAAACCAATAAACACTACAGTTCAATGTGAATCATCTGATTTTTTTCTTTAAAATGCATTATAAAACTCAATTTTAAAGTTTACATTGGCATTCAAAAAGCAATGAATAACTAATTATGTTTGTCAAAAAAATCTTATGTTGCTGGTGAGATCGATGCCCTATTCCAGTGAATGGAGCGATCAAAAATAGTTCTAGTTTTGGGGATTAACAACTTTGAAATGAGTCTAAGTATTTCTTTGGTATTGATTCACCTTCATACTATAATGAGGAATGATAGGCATCACGGGCAAAAGAAAAAAAACCCTCACATTTTTTTCAATGACTTCAGGAATTTTTATATAAAGAACAATAGGACAATAATATATTATTTTCAAGTTGCACAAACAAGATTGAGTGTCCAATTATGTAGTGTGTGTTTGGAGTGGGGAGTTTCTAGTAGAGAGGTTGAATAGGAAAACTTCCCCAAGGAAGTAGAACTTGAGTGGGTCATTGGAGTAGTACAGGTGTGAGAGACCTGCAGAAACATGAATAGAAATTAGACTTGTGTTCCTAGAGCCAGGGAGGTGACACGTCCTCCTTTATTGGGAGTCTCTAGGTCAAGTTATTGATGGGAATAGCTCAGCTTTGCTAGGGTTGTTGTGTCTTGAGATCTTAAGAGCCAGGAAAACAAGAGTGAAAATGTTGCTAAGAATCGCTGGGGGCATGTCCTATGTAACAATGTGGTTGGATAATTATCACCTGTAACACTGATTTAGTAATTTATAGTTTATAGAGTAACTTCAGATGTATTACCTTAATCTCACAACACTTGAGAAGTGGTCTATTTTATAGATAAGAATTTGAGCCAAAGATGGGTACTGGCTCTGTCCAGGCACACTGTGTCTTCTGCTCACAATGAGAGCACTATTTCAGGGTACATTCTGCACACATCCACATGTTGAATTTTATACAGAGAAATACAAAGGAAGCAGACTATTGTACAAATCTAGAAATGAGCAAATAAGGTCCTGGACTAGGTAGCAGTAGTGGGAACATGAAAAGTGAAGTGAAACTTCAAAGCATCTTCCATAGGAGCTGGTGATTAATGTGATTTAGAGACTAAGACAAAAAAGAATTAAAAACAATTTCAAATGGTAAAGTCTGACTTGGAGAACACTGGTTGCATTTAAGCAGCATAGGAAAAGCTTATTCGATAAATCAGGATTGATTAAATGTGTTTAGACAGTGGGTGTGGAAAATGCCCATGTGGCAGCTCTGACATTGTCCACACAGCAGGGGCTCCTGCATATCTGTTCACTCACTGAAAGAACCCATGCTACTTTACAGAAGGGCAATGGTGAACGTGACCCAAACCAGAGTCTTCTCATAGATAAGAACAAAAAAATCAAGGATGGGGTCTGGGTGAATGCTCTCAGCAAAGTGAAGCCAAACACAAAGGAATAAAAATTTTAACAAGTATCTATGAAGCTGGGCACCAAAGGCCCATGCCTGTAATCCTAGCTACTCAGGAGGCTTGGAGTGTGTGTGTGTGTGTGTGTGTGTGTGTGTGTGTGTGTGTGTGTGTGTGTGTGTGTGTGTGTGTGTGTGTGTGTGTGTGTGTGTGTGTGTGTGTGTGTGTAACTTCTAAGAACCTGGGAAGGAATTGTGTGTGTGTGTGTGTGTATGTGTGTGTGTGTGTGTGTGTGTGTAACTTCTAAGAATCTGGGAAGGAATTTTAAAAGTTTACTTTTGATCATAAAGGCAACTTGCTTATTTTTTTTTTCCAGAAAAGGTCTACAGTCTTCAGCATTTCTTTATTACAGTTCAATATTGTCTCCCCTTACAGCTGCTCCCCATGGAACATCTGAGTTAGTGTCACTGAGGGCACTGTGGAGTGGTCAGCTTCAGTGCCAATTCCACATTTCCTGAATCCTACACTTCACAAGTGCCAAGGTGATCTTGGTCAAGAACACTAAACTCCAAGATCAGTGTTATACAACAGATGACCAAAAAACAAGACCAAGATGAAAATAATATAGCAAATACTGACCAGATATGGAAATTTGAAACCTCCACTGATTCCTGGGAACATTCTTAGCATGTGTGGGCAAGTGAAGACAAAGGAACAGTGAACTGTAGCATACTTGGGGAAATGTCTTACAAGGACTCTTTGGAACCTAGCTTTGATTTGCATGTGGACTAAGCAAGCACCACGCTGGCCACCAGAGGGCAACACGCGCCTGTGTGGTGAGTGATGGTTTGGGGAGGACAACATGCCAGCTGGACCGTGAGCTAGAAACAAGTACCAGAAGCCTCACTTCAAATGCTTTTACTCACCATGCAGGTTTCTGATGTGCAAGTAAACACAGTCTTACACTGCATTATGATGTCTATTTTTAGATCTGTTGCATCTCCTCTCCCGACCCCTCAATAAAAGTAAAAAGACACATATGTTAGAGCACAGAGCAAAATGTCTTGCCAGTTATCATGAGAGACTAAAAAGAGAAAACAGTGCCAGCTAACAATCGCAATATTTCATCATTTCATTCTGCATGGATTTTGCCTTGAAAACCAGCTTCTGTCACCTAAAGCAGAGTTTATAAGATCAGAGAGCAAGAGAACAAACCTGTATGTAATACATTTAGCTTCTTCAAGACTAATTCTTACAGCTTCATCTTTCCAGAAAAAAAGAAAACAAATGGTGACCAACAAAGCTTCTTGCTAATGCGATGCTTTCTGCAGACTTCAATGATAACAGTCTAAATTCCTCTTGTCCTACTTTAAATTCAATTCCTAAATCAATCTCTATGAAAATATAGGACAGCCATACCCAAACATTCTTGTTTGTACATTTCAGGCAAATGGTCTAATGCCCTATTCTTTCTTTTGTAAATCGCATTTTATGATCTTTAAGTCATTGTACCATTTAACCAGTGCAGTGCGTCTTCATGGAAGAGGCACCCTTTTCATCATTCTCCCCATCCTTCCCAAGCCACCCTCCCTTCAATTTTCCTAGTTTCACAGGATATGTCCTAAGTATTATGATGACACTCCTCTGCTCCACCTCTCTTCATTTGTCTGCCTTCCTCCTTCATACTTTCCAAGTACCAGTTTCCTGGTATTCATCCTGTTGGACTGTGAATTTGTTTTTCTAAGAAATTATGCCATTTGAATTCTCCCACAAAAATACCATACATCAGTTAATATGTTTGTCTGTACTTGCATATAACTTGTCTATTTATGAATAAGAGAAAATATGCTTGCATTCTTTGTAGACCTGACTTACTTAAATGGGCTTAAGTTCAGGGCCTTATGCTTTCTCTTGGCTTTTTGACTCAAAGCTGGCACTAAATATCACTTGAGCCATACTTTCACTTCTGACTGTTTGCTGGTTAATTGTGGATAAGGGTCTCAAGGACTTTGAAGGCTTCGAACCACAATCCTCAGATCTTGGCCTCCTAGGTAACTAAGATGACCAGCGTGAGCCATCAGTGTGTGACCTATGCCTTTTTGTCCCTTCAAATGGCCCCACTGCCCTTAGCATTTCCTCAAAGACCTGGTTTCAGAGCCCATAATTAACGGCTTTCCTTTCACCTTGCCTATTTTACCATAACAAAAAAGTCACTGAACCATGCTTGATCGCTCTTCTTGTTTTGTTTTCCTTTGATTTCTGTTAATTCTGTTTACCCACCACTATGAGAATAATTCTGATAAGGAAGCACGGCTTCTTGCTGCACTTCCCTCTCTGCCATTCCAGTTGCACAGCTTCGCTCTACTGGTGCCTACTGACAGTTAATTAAAAGTAGAACTAAAATTCCTATTGCATGATGAGAACTTTTGTTGGCTTAAGCCCTTGATTTTTCTCACATTTAAACAACTTCAAGTCACATAAATGTATTTCATCATTTAAAAATAAGAAGGAAAAATAAAGTGAAATTTTTTGTCTCACTCTTTTTCTTCTACCTGTGTAGATCTTCTGCCCCAAAGAAATAGCCTCTCTTACCAGTTTTCTAGGCCAGTTTGGCAAAAAGCAGGACCCTACCTCAAAAACAACTAGAGTAGCTAGGTACTGGCAGCTTATGCCTATAGTCCTGGCTGCTTGGGAGGTTGAGATTGAGAGGACCACAGTATGAGCTAGCCCAGAGGGAAAACTGTGGACATGATCATATGTGCCTATCATCCCAGCAAGGATAAGAAGCCTAACACAGACAGTCTCATTTCTTTGGAAGTAGGCAGCATCTTGGTAGTAGATAAGGGACTCTGGTAAAACATGACTTTCTCCTACCCTTCCATCTTCATGGAGATTCATGTGTATGTGTGGCTGGGGGGTGGGGGGGGAGAGGAAGGGTTGAGCTGCCTTTTAGGAAGCTTCTCTGTAATACCTATTTCCTTTTTTTTCTTTCTTTTTTTTTTTTTTTTTTTTGGTCCAGTCCTGGGGCCTGAACTCTGGGCCTGGGTGCTGTCCCTCAGCTCTTCAGCTCAAGGCTAGCGCTCGACCACTTGAGCCACAGCGCCACTTCCGGCTTTTTTCTTTTTGCTTATGTGGTGCTGAGGAATCGAACCCAGGGCCTCATGTATGCAAGGCAAGTGCTCTACTACTGAGCCACCTTCCCAGCCCCTGTAATACCTATTTCTATGTTTCAAAACTGTGTTCAGCTTTTTTCTTTCCTGGCACAATAGTTTGAACTCCAACCCTATATTCTCTGGTTATGTTGCAGATGGAGACTCTGTGAGTCTCTGCCTGGGCTGGCTTCAAACTGATTCTCTAGAGCACATCCTCAAGAGTAGCTAGAATTTTAGGTGTGAGCCTTACCAACACCCAGCTTCATTTTTTTGTTTGTTTGCTACTTCTCTCTTTTGCTGACCACCCATGCTGAATACTGGCAAAGGCCTGCCCTGGTCAGGAGGCTTGGTTGTTTGGCAGTAACTAAAGCATTTGTGATCAGGTATTTAAGGCAGGTGCTGGGGATGTGATGCTTAGAGGAGGAGGGAAGAGGGAAAAGAAAGATTGGTGAGATGAGGAAAAAAGGACTAGATGAGAAAGTGATACAGGGACACTGCTGCTGAGAGGAGCATGAAGGAGAAATGGGTCTGGGAAAGAAGCAGTGTCAATGGTTCATGGTTCACCTCTAAAGGCTCCAACCCTGAAAGGCCTACCCTGAGCTGAGATTGGTAGCCATGAGAACAGAAGGCAAGAGGAGGGAGCTCTCCCCTCAAGTAGAAATGGGCAAAGGAAGACAGAGACATCTAAGGCTTGCTATCATGGCTATGAATCGCCTGCCCAGTGGGTAGCTCCAGAGAGGAGTTCATGTGTGGGGAAACTTAAGACAGCTAGGAGTTATGATGATCTACATACATAACCGCGAGCAAAACCCTCTCAAAGAATGGGAGCACTCGTCCTCAGGTCCCATCCTTCAATTCCAAAGCACTTACCGTGAAGCGAATGGACTACAATTCTTTCAATTTTAATCTTTCTCTTTGGTGGTAAATTCCCGTGAAACACATTTTTTACAATTTTGAAATATTCCACATAACGATGCTGTAAAGCAACAGAAGTCCCAATTTTAGTGAGAATGCAAGTTTAGAGTCAGTATCCTAATCTCTCTTTTTCAGCTTAAAAGCAGGAAGAAATTAAGCAAACATTTATTGTGTTCCATTATATAATTAATATTCTTTAATATTCTTATGTATTTACCTCAAGACTAATTATCTACCATGGGAAAAAGCACTGACCTCAGACCTGCAGGGAGGAACATGGAAGAAGTAAGTCCTGCCTATGGCTTGCTAATGACAACTAAGGACAACTAAGGGGCTAATACTGCTATGGCAGAAGCTGCTGTAATGAGTTAAAGGAAGGACTGTGGTTTAATGGATGGTTCTTCATCAGGGGAAAAAGAGACCTCCACTAGGTGCAGTAGATAATTATAGGTCATTTCTGGATGTCTCTAAGAGCTAGAGTTTCTTCATCTGCCCTTTTCCCAAATTTGTTTTTGTAAGGAAACCCTGGAATTCTCTAAGTCTCACATTCCTTCTCTAGGGAAAGTTGCTCACAGGGGCTTTCCTGGGACCTCTCTCTGAAGAACTGAAGAGTTCTGGCACTGAGCCAAATGGGAAGGGCTGACAACATTAACTATCACATCTCCAATTAGTACAAGCAGTGTGCTGGGTACCTGTGGCCCATAGCTGTAATCCTAGCTACTCAGGAGGCTGAGGCAGAGGCTGAGCCAGTGGGACTGAAGTCTGGAGAATCTATCTCCAATGAATCAGCAAAAAGTCGGGCTAGAGGTTTGGCTCAACTGGTAGAGTGTCAGTTATAAGCAGGGAAAGCCTACTGAGCACCAGGTCCTTGAGTTCAAGTCCAGTACGGGCAAAAAGGGAAGGTCAGTAGTGAGGAAGGCACCTGAAAGTTCTTAAGTCTCAGGTGGCAAGAGGAAGGGCCACAAAGAAGGGCAGAATGTGGCAGTGTGTAAGAAGGACCTAGCAGAGGGGACTGGGTCCTGCAGCCTCTCTGCCCTGCCTTGTTTTCCCAACAAATCAGCAGAGCTGTCATCATCCATGGTATGCCAGGTATGGACTGAAGTCAGGGAAACCGCAAGACTGCAGGAGTGAGGAAGGGGAGATGTCTGCAGACCTCCACAGGAGACCCAGGGAACATCCCCCTTGGCTCCTGCCACCACATCCTCATACATTGCACTTGACATAGCCACAGAATAAATGTCATAGTTCCTAACAAACCCTCAAAGGGCTGTAAGGTCTGAAATGGTGGGACACTACTTCGGGCTGGGGAGGGGCCCATGTGAACAAAGACCTGGGGAGTATGAAGTGTTGACATGCTGGGAAACAGCAAATCTCTTGTGGTCAAGTATAGGATGTATAAATGCGCAGAGTGGGAGAAAGGACTGGAAACATCACATTGTAGAAGACCTCAGGGGTTCAGCTTAGAGCATTTAGTTGGTTACAGCAGGAAGGCATTGTGGATGTGAGCATGGAAATGGCATGATTAGAAATGGACTTTGCTAAGTTCATGTGTTATGTTTAGCCTTCTACGAGTACCTAGTTTGTGTGTGGGTGTGGGTGTGGTGACAAACAGTGGACAAAGGGAAAACCTATCTGTGGATAAAGCTGTTCAATCTGGAGACCAGTAGTTATACAGTCTTCTGCTATAAGGCCGAGCTGCTGTTCAACTCCAGTATTTCTCTGGAAGAAAACTTGGCTTTCACAGCCACATCCACAGCTAGGAATCCCCCACTGGCTGCCACACAGTCTGAAGAGAAACACAGACAAGGCACTGCATGCATAGGAAGTGATGGGCTGGGATATGCCAACACATCTGGATTTGGGTGCTTGTTTCAAAACATTAATTTCTCTAAACTTCAACTTCCCGATTTACACAAAGTGCCCATTCAGAGTTGTTGACAAGATTAAGCAAGATAAGGAATAGGAAGCCCTTAGATGATCTACCCAAATTTGGAATATAAACTGTCTGAAATAAACACTTTGGTTTCTTCAGTAAAAATTATGAGAAATAAGAAAAGAAGTGAGAAACCAATGAACTTTAACTGAAGAGTTGTGGTAATGACTGAAATATATAGTCTTTAGTACTTGATTGAAAAGAACTAAAGTGAAAGGAGATTTTAGACAATTATGGGAAATTACACACTAATTAGAAACTAATATTATTGAAATATAATATTTTGGGGTTTAGTCAATAATATCAGGTGGGGATTTTTGGTGGAGTTTTTTGGTGGGCGGCAATGCTGGCCCTGGGAACTGTCTTTGAGCTCTTGTGGTCAATAGTACCATTTGATACACAGCTCCACATGTTGGTTTTTGGTGTTTAATTGGAGATAAAAGTGTCACAATTTCCTGCCTGGGCTGGCTCTTATATGTAATCCTCAAGTCTTACCCTCCTGAGTAGCTAGGATTACTGCCACTGGCAACCAGCAGTTGTTTTGTTTTGTTTTTGCTCAAGGCTAGTGCTCTACCAATTGAGTCACAGTTCCAATCCCAGATGTTTGGTGCTTAATTGGAGATAAGAGTCTCACAGACTTGCCCTGTCTGGCTTCAAACCCCAATCCTCTGGTCTCAGCCTTCTGATTATGTATGATTACAGATGTGAGCTACCAGGGCCTGAATAGATGTTCTTCTTTTTCTTTCTTTCTTTCTTTTTTTTTAAGAGTGCATATGTTGGGTGTCATCCCAAACTACTAACGAGATAGAAGAATCTGATGACTGGAATTCCTTTCACAGCAATCCTGGCTTAGGAAAGAAAGAGTAGGAAAGGGCATCCAGGGTTTGAGGGGAGTGGGGAGGGAAGGAATGATTACATATGGGTTGAGATGAAGAATGAGGAATATACTATATGATTCCATCTTTGTGTGCTTGGGTTTGGATATGAAATGTGCTCTTAAAAGACTCATGTGTGTTTTAGGCCACAAAGCAAACTTGTCCAAATTCAGAAACATTGAAGTTATACTTTGTATTCTCTCAGACCACAAGGGTATAAAATTAGAACTCAACACCAAAAGCCACCAAAGAAAAGCCTGTAACACATGGAGGCTGAACAACACACTGCTGAATCACCAGTGGGTCATGGAAGAGATTAGAAAGGAAATTCAAATGTTCATGATATTTAACAAAAATGAACACACAAATTACCAGCTCCTCTGGGACACAGCAAAGGCAGTACTCAGGGGCAAGTTGATAGCTCTGAGTTCCTACATCAACAAATTGGAGAAATCTGAAACCAACAATTTAATGAAACATCTGAGCCTCCTTGAAAAAGAGCAGCAAAATAAACCCCAATCCAGTAGAAGGAAAGAAATAATTAAAATTAAATCAGAATTAAATGACTTAGAATCAAAAAAAACCATAGAAAGAATCAACAAAACAAAGAGTTGGTTCTTTGAAAAAATTAACAAAATTGACAGACCCTTAGCAAATCTTATCAGAAAAAGAAGAGAATGCACCCAAATAAATAAACTCAGACATGAGAATGGAAACATCACCACAGAAACAACCAAGATTCAGAACATTATAAGGGAATACTTCTCAAAACTTTACGCTAGGACATTTGAGAACTTGGCAGAAATGGACCTTTTCCTAGCAAATACTGACATGCCAAAACTAAACCAAGATTAGTTAAACCATCTTAACAGGCCCATATCAAGCATTGAAATAGAAACAGCAATAAGAGACCTCCCATCTAAGAAAAGCCCAGGACCAGATGATTTACAGTAGAATTCTACAAGGCCTTCAAAGCAGAGCTTACACCAATACTCCTCCACCACTTCAATGAAGTTGAAAGAAAAAGTTCACTACTGAACTCATTCTATGAAGCATAACCCTCATCCCCAAACCAGGCAGGGACTCATCAAAGAAAGAGAACTATAGACCCATTTCTTTGATGAACATAGATGCAAAACTTCTCAACAAAATTCTGGCCAATCAACTTCAACAATTCATCCAAAAAATCATACACCACGATCAAACAGGATTCATTTCAGGGATGCAAAGCTGGTCAATATACACAAATCAATATAATTCATTACATCAACAGGAGCAAGGATAAGAACCACATGGTTATCTCAATAGATGCAGAAAAAGCATTTGACAAGATCCAACACCCCTTTAGGATGAAGGTTCTGGAAAAATTAGGAATCCATGGAACATTCTTCAATACAATAAAGGCTGTATATGACAAACTTACAGCCAGCATTATACTTAATGGTGAAAAACTAAAGCCATTTCCTCTAACTCAGGAACGAGACAAGGATGTCCACTCTCTTCACTTCTCTTCAATCTAGTATTAGAATGGCTAGCTACAGCAATAAGACAAGCTGCAAACATAAAAGGGATCCAAACAGGGAAAGAAGAAGTAAAACTCTCCCTCAAACATTGAGATACCACCAGTTAGAATGGCTATAATCAACAACTCTAATAACAACAGATGCTGGAGGGGATGTGGAGAGAAGGGAACCTTACTGCATTGTTGGTGGGAGTGTAAACTGTTCAACCACTTTGGAAAGTAGTATGGAGGTTCCTCAAAGGACTCCACATAGAGCTCCCCTATGACCCAGCAATCCCACTTTTGGGCATTTACCCAAATGTTCACAAACAAGACCACACTAAAGCTACCAGCAAAACTATGTTTATTGCAGCCTTTTTTTTTTTTTTTTTTTTTACCATAGCTAAGATATGGAACCAACCCAGATGCCTCTCAGTAGATGAATGGATCAAGGAAATGTGGTATATGCTGGGAAGGTGGCTCAGTGGTAGAGCGCTTGCCTTGCATGCTTGAGGCCCTGGGTTCGATTCCTCAGCACCACATAAGCAAAAAGAAAAAAGCTGGAAGTGGTGCTGTGGCTCAAGTTGTAGAACGCTAGCCTTGAGCTGAAGAGCTGAGGAACAGCGCCCAGGCCCAGAGTTCAGGCCCCACGACCGGAACCCCCCCCCCCCAAAAAAAAAAAAAAGAAAACGTGGTATATATACACAGTGGAATTCTATACCTCCATCAGAAAGAATGACATTGCACCATTTGTTAGGAAATGGAAAGACCTGGAAAAAATTATATTAAGTGAAGTAACCCAGGCCCAAAGAAACATAGGTCCCATGGTTTCCTTTATTTGCAATAACTAGTATATGTCTGAGTCATGCAGAAAAGGTCAGTTAAGTTGATGTTAGGGAAATGAACCCTAAGATATGTATTCAAATGTTTTTTTTTTTTTTATTTCATGCAAGTGTTTCTAACACATTTATAAGATTATTTCTTTGTTGCTTTGTATGTCCCTCCCCCACGGTATAACCCCTGCTTTCATTGTATTTGATGTTGTAATAATTTGTGGAGGGGAAGGGAAAAAACAAATTGTTTAAATAGGGATACAGGTGGACGCACTGCAACAATGAGATGTACAAGTCATTATTTGAAAACGAACTTTACAACTTTGGTGGGGGGGGAGGAGGGTTGCTCATTGTCTTAGCAGCAGTTTGTTAAAGATCAATTCCTCTTTCCAGAGAAATCAACAGCCAGTCAATTTGAGAGAATCTCCAGGAGCCAGGAAAACCTTAGGCATTGGCCTTCCTGCTAGGGAGGGGAGATGTCAAATGGAAATCGGGATTCTCTCGGAAGAAGCCAACCCAGGCAGCCCAGAGGCAAGGGTTTGGGAGTTGGAAGGGATCAGGAAACTGCTACAAGGCACAAGTGCTGCCCCCTGAGTGTTAGAGAAGGGTTTCAAATGCAACCAAATTAATGATGCCACTAACCACTTCCCACAAAAACAAAACCAAACAAAGAACCCCCTTTCAAAAGAGAACACTTACTTGTGATGGAAGTGCAATCTTTTGAAATTCATTCGTGTAAGTCGTATCAAATCTTTGTTCTCCAGAGTGATCAATAGTTTCCTACAGAAAAGGGAAAATACAACCACAGTTTACCTTCACATCAGCAGTCTTTGGGCAGAGCTACTCAAAACAAGACGAACAAAACCACGTCAAGGACTTGTCTTGTTTAAGGCTCACAGACATGGGACTTTAGAACTGGAATGCCATTAGAAATCACCTGATCCAACACTTCTTCTTACCTTCCATGTTACAAATGAGAAGAAAAGTCAAAAGACAACCAAGTGACCTGCAGTACAGCAGCCATGGGGAACATAGCCTGCAGCATTGGGCAGACGTCGTGTTTTTGGAACTATGATCCACAGTACTAAACCTAAGACACACACACACACACACACACACACACACACACACACACACCACAAAACAAGCCAAAGAAACCCAATAATTCCCTTTTCATATTTTCTATGCTGCTCCATTCCTTCCTATTAAAAATGTGGGTCACAATCTAGTAAGTTGATTTTACAACTCACTGGCTACAGTTTGGAAAGCATTGTCCTAGAGCACTCATTTTCTTTTTTCTTATCTCAGGCCCTTGCTCCAGGTATTGGTCCAATCAGCCCAGCCTGTGGGCAGATATGGTATTGGCCACCGCCCCCAGGGACCATGGGAAACAAACCTGTGTCACTCAAGTTAGGAAAGCAGAAGGGTGGGACTACAGAACTGGACATGGTGCAAAACCTAAGCCTTCTCTTCTCTAGACTGTAGGCCCAGAAGTGAGTGGAGCTGGGTTTGGGGTATATCCTGCAGGTGGAAACTTCCTGGCAAGATCATGTCATAGGACTGTGTGGTACTTTACAAGGTACAGCTGCCCACTGTGTCTCTGTAGAAATTTCCCAAGGCCACACATCCCCCAGAAATTGGCTATCAGGGATAATAAAAAAAAATAGAAGACCAACTTTGTTCTGAGTTGAAAAGCAGTAACTTTTATCGATTTAGCAATTCAAAGGATAAAGTCCTTTGGAAAACTTGCCTAACTTTGATCTTATTCTGAGGAAAGAAGAAGTCACAGTATTGGGGAGGTTACAAAAGCATCTGATTACTGAGGGTTTTGTTTTCTCTTTGTGTAGACCAGCCTGAACTCTACTCCTGATTCTTTCCTGTCTCTGCCTCTTCAGTGTTGGGATCACAGCCTGCACTACCACACCCAACCAAGGTTATTTTGCTTTTGTATAACTTTGCTTCACTGGCTTTACCTTCATTCTGCCCCTATGGATATCTGCTACATGCTAGTGCCCACACCTGCAATCCTCCTGCTTAGAAGGCTGAAGACTGGAGGATCATGGCTTGAGGCCAGCCTTAGAAAAATGTCTTCTAGACTCCTGACTCAAAAGAAGCTAGGCATGGTGGCAGGACATAGTGGCACATACCTGTTGTCTCAGCTAGGACAGAAAGCCTAAAATAAGCATGGCCAAGAACTTGGCCAGTTGTTAGTGAGACCCTATCTCAAAACAGCCAGTGTAGAAAAGGGCTGGAGCTGGAGATATGGCTCAGTGAGAGCGCCCCTGCCTAGCAAGCAGAAGTCCTGAGTTCAAACCCCAGCACTACACACACACACACACACACACACAAAAGAAATTGGACTCTAATGCTGGGTTTTGAACTCTCATGCTTGCTAGGCTGCTATGATTCTGCTAAATCATGCTCTCAACCCTTTCTTTTTGCTGGTCAATTTTAGGATCAGTGCTTGCTTTCCATTCAGGCATGCACCTGAGCCATAATCTGCCTACTACAGGTTTCTCCATCATCATGAGATGACAGTTCTTCACCATCATATCAGGCTTCCCTCTGTGGAGCTGGAGTCTTGTGGATTTTTCTGCCCAGGCTGGCTTGGATATGTGATCCTCTCATTCTCAACTTCTCAGATAGCATGGAGTGAAAAAAGGTGCATGCCACTGTACCCACTGTGACTTGAGAACTGGTCTCATGACCTATTTTGTCCAAGCCACAACCTTCCTCTTCTCAGACTCCCAAATAGCTAAGATTACAGTGAGTCACCAATGCCCACCTTTTCCTTGATTCCTATTTTTTAAGTATTGTATTATACAGTTAAAAACTCAATGCATATCTTACAAAATTAAGTAAATTGAGAGAAAGGGGGATTGGGAAGGATGAGGATAATGGTGAAAGGGTGATGCTGATCAAGATGCTTTGTGGTCATAAACTGCTTTGTTGATTGAAAACTCTTTTGTACAACTACTTAGGGATAATAAACATGTACTTTAAAAATGCGGGTGCTGGTAGCTCACACCTGTAATCCTATCTACTCAGGAGGCTGAGATGTGAGGATTGCAGTTCAAAGCCATTCCAGGCAGTAAAGTCAGTGAAACTCTGATCTCTAAATTACCAGAAAACTGAAAGTTGCACTGTGGCTCAAGTGGTAGAGCACTTGCCTTGAGCTGAAGAGCTCAGGGTCAGTGCCCAGGCCCAGAGTTCAAGCCCCATGACCACCACCACCAACAAAAACCACTGTATATCTTAGATTTTGTGAATTTTGGTATTCCCTTCAATTTGTGCCTCATTGCTCTCACCATAGTCCTGGCTCAGAACAAGGACACAGGCCAGTTACTAACTGCATATTAAACAAGGCAGCACAAATCCAGATTTTTCACTTAAGCACCATGATCTAAGAACTTTCTACAAGGAATGTTTCAGAACCACAAAATTCAACAGAGTATAGTAACATCTTTCTTACCTTCGTGGTTAAAACCATTCCAGTTGCAATAAGGCAAGTGTAAATCATTGTCTCTGTTCTCCCTAGAAAAGAAGTTAGTGTTTTATTAAATGGGGGGAAAAATTCAACACATAACCTAAAACCTAAGAAAAGTGAGGGAAGGGGAAGGTTGGGAGGGGTGGGTAAGGATATTGAAAGAGATGACACTGATCAAGAAGCACTGTATTCATAAACTGCTTTGTTGAATGGCAATTCCTTTGTACAACTACTTAAAGATAATAAAAATATTCAAAAACAAAAGCATAATAAATAAATGGAATAGTGCTCATTAAAAAAAGAATGCAAGTTAGTTCAAGAGACATTTTTTGACAGCCAATATATATTTATATGTTTTAGGTTTACTTCATACATGAGATCAAAGCTAAGGACATTAATAACTACAATTTAACATTTTATCAAAAACTCTTTTTTGTTGTTGTTGTTGACTGTTACTGTTTTTTTTTTTTTTGCTTGCTTGTGAGGTTTTTTTGACAACTGTTTGGTCCCAACACACAAAACAGCAGTTGAACCACCAAAAGAAAAAGAAAAAAAAATCCAAACAAAAGAGACCGTTAAGAAAAACATTCCCGCCCCATCCTCCCCCCCCCCCCCCCCCCAGCCTGATCCACCACCTGAACAGTGCAAGCCAGGAGAGGAGCTGGGCATGGCTCTGTCCAACCCTGCGCAGTTTTCCACCGAGATCCCGCGTCCGGCTGTCCCAAAGCCACACAGCATGCCTATTCCTTCACTAAGCCTCTGGGTTCAAGTAAAAAGATAGACAGCGAGCGTCGGGCCCGGCGACCCCACACGCCCAGCGCACACGGGCCTCCCTCCTTCCCACGCTGCGAACCACCCTGGATCCAGGTGTGTGAAGCCGGCCTGGGCAAAGGCGACGCCAGCCGGCTCTCCACACCGATCTGTCACACCGCCTCACAGCGCCTTCCGCCCAGCCCCTGTCCCAATTCAGGTCTGGGCCGGGGGAGGGCTGCCATGCGCGGACCCTTCTCCCACGGGCTTCCATCTTGATCGGGGCCACGGGGGAGGGGCGGTAGGGGGGGAAGAGAACTGAGAACCACGGCTTCATTGGAAAGATTTGAGGAACAAAAACCCAGCTTAAAAAAAAAAATCTCCCTGCAGCCCTTATTTTGCAGCATTTTATCTGAAGGCTGGCTCCACAACAATGGAAACCTCTTCCCTCAAAGAAACCATTCTTACTGGTGCAACAGGTGCTTTGTGATTTATGCATTCAATGCATAGTTTAGAAAATCAGACTCTCCATTATTATTGCCTCTTGACACACAGTTATGTGTGCTGTCATCCACACGATGACTTTCAACTGATGACACCAAGACCATCTCCTTCTCCTTAGCCCGGGATCCATAGCACACTGGAACTGAGTACGGAAGGGAAGCATAATCATTTGGGAAGTGCAATCATCACTAAACCTCTCAGACAATGAGTTCTTCCAGCTGGAAATGCCTGCTGTATCATTAACAACCTGTCATTTCCAATTGGTCAGAGAAATCAAGATATAGAACCCTTCTAGATTTTTCTTACTAGGAGCTTTCCTCCAATATTTTCTAGTGGTCTTGCTTGAATTGAATTTAGCTGCATAATAGATGGAATCTTCCTGAAACACTCAACTTAGTCTTCAGAAAATTAAAATTCTGTTCAGCTTGACATTTTCAGATTTATATAGTATTTGGTCATTTGACATAACAAAGATAAATAGACACAAGATAGAAACTAACATTTATTTATTGACTCATAATGAATTTTTACATGTTTGTGAGAAAGATACCTTTGCATTAGGAAGAAAAAACTGAGTTTCTACAAGTTTAAGAGATTCTGTGTGTGTGTGTGTGTGTGTGTGTGTTGGTACTGGGGCTAGAACTCATGATCTCTCTTGGCTTCTTCTGCTCCTAGAGGGTACTTTACCACTTGAGCCATTCTCTACTTCAAGCTTTTTGTTGGTTACATACAAGAATCTCTGGACTGGACTGCTGCTGAACATGATCAACAACTGTCAGCTATAAGTTAGCTGACATATTAGCAACAATTATAATTATGAGTCACCAGTGTCTGGCTGAGACTTCCACAGTCAAATAAAAAAAAAATCTTGATGCCAAGTGAGATGTCTGTCATGTTGACAGACTCAAACTGTTCTCAAAACAAGAAATACAAATGGCTAATAGATATATGAAGAAATGTTCAACTTCCTTAGCAATAAAGAAAATACAAATAAAATGTACACAAAATTGCACCACACCCAAAGCAGATTGGCAATCATAAGAAAACAACACAAAGGGATGGTCGGGGTAAAAACAAAAGTGTGTGTGGGGGTAACAATGCTCAATAGGAAATGTACTCATTATCTTACTCATGTAACTATAACCCCTATGTAGTATCTTTACAATAAAAAATATATAAAAAAGAAAACAACACAAAGGCTGACAAGGATGCAAAAGAGGGGTGAGAAGGAACCCTCATATAGTGTTGGTGGGGTATAAAGTAGGACATCCACTATGGAAATCAATATGGACCTTCTTCAAAAAACTAAACATAGATCTACTTTGTAACTCTTACAAGTTAACTTCAAATTACAAGATAACTTCACTAGTTAATTTTCACATAGTTAGGGAAAGCGTAATGCTAATTTATGCAGATTCACTCAGAATATAAAAAGTAAAAGTAACTGAATGTGCCTTTATGAAGTTGGAACTGAAAAAGATTATTATTAGAAAGGAAAAATTATAGCCAATCTTACTTATGCCTTGGATTCAAAAATCCTAAACAAAATATTAACAACAGGAATCCAGCAATTGATCAAGTTAATATAGTATAATGACACTGTGTTTAGAAAGACAAGTTGCTTCATCACTTGGTAATTAATGCAACTAATTACACTAATAAAATGGAAAATAACATTACCATCTCAAAGACTCAGGAAAAGATTCTCATAGAAGTCAAAATCCATTCATGTTTTTAAAAATATCTAAAACAATTTTTATTCTTTTAGGCCCCATCTTTTAAAAATTCCATCAGTTCCATGGGCTGAGGGCCAAACTTTAATGCATAGGCCTTTTAGAGACATTCAAGATCCAAGCCAGCGGTGGCTCACACCTGTAATCCTAGCTACTCAGGAGGCTGAGATCTGAGGATCGTGGTTCAAAACCAGCCCAGGCAGGAAAGTCTGTGAGACTCTTCTCTCCCAATAAAGCACTAGAAAACTGGAAGTGGTGCTGTGGCTCAAGCGGTAGAGTGCTCACCTTGAGCTGAAGAGCTGAGGGATAGTGCCCAAGCCCTGAGTTCAAGCCCCATGGCTGACAAAAAAAAAAAAAAAAAAGATCCAAGCCATAGCAATAGTTTCATTTGCCATGGGCTTGTAAATTGCCAGATTCAAAATATTTCTACCTATGAACCCAAACCTGCTTGTTAACTAATGGGCAATAACTTGACTCTACTGAAGTAGATGACCATTTTTACTGTTACATTTAAAATCCAATGAGAAAGTCTGGTTTATAGCCCACCAAAATGTAATTGTTTATTTTTATCAAAAGTTGTAAAATATGCAGGAGACAATCATTCCAAGCCCAAAGCTAAATGAAAGAAAATCTATAGGCACTTAAATTGGCTTAATTTAAAATACTACCAATTAACAAATAATAAGTAGAATACAATTATTTACTCCTTGCCAAATCAACTTCATTTCTTCATGCTCTAAAGATTCCTGTGTAATTGAAAAAAAATCTCTGCTGGGTTCTGTCCTTAAAAGTTTATCACAAAGTTTAAGAATACTCTTAAATTCTACTGGAACAAAAAGAAATGTAGACCAATGACAGCCAGGAAATAAATTCATAAATCTTGGATTAACTGATCTTGGAGAAAGGTGCCAAAAACACATAATGAGAAATAAATGATACTGGAACAAGTGAAAATACATGAGCACAAATATGAAATTGGACCATATCTTAATCACTGAATACACAACAACTCCAAATGATTAGAGACTTAAACATTAGACCTGCAACTCCAAAGCTACTAGAAGAAAATACTGTGAAACTGTACTTTGTAATATTGGTCTGAGTCAATTTGTTTTTGCACATACATTGAAAAGGAGAGGCAATAAAAGCAAAAAATAAACACATGAGATAAAAGCAAAATGCTCCTGCATAAGGAAGTTTATAATCAACGGAGTAAAAACATGACCTACGGAATATCCAAAAAGATTTAAGAAACTTAACACAGTAGCAAGAAAATAAATTCACCTTTTCTAAAAATGGGCAAAGAGATATGTGGGGTTGCCATGTCTGTAATTGCAGCACCCAGGAAGCTGAGGCAGGAGGATCACAAGTTTGAGACTAGCCTGGGCTACCTAGGAAGACTATCTCAAAAAACAAAACAAATCAGAAAGCCAAGCATGGTGTCTCACACTGTAATCCTAGCTGTTCAGGAACTAGCAAACTAGCAATGAGGAAGAATGTGGCAAGATTTCATCTCAAGTAAAAAGTTGAGCACCGCAGTGTGTGTTCATTATCCCATGTATGTGGAAAAATATAAAGTAGGAAGATCACAGTATAGGCCTGCCTATAGGTAACCAGAAAAGTGAGTCCCTATGTGTATAATAACTAAAGCAAAAAGAGGAAAAGTAGTATGTGTGGCTCAAGTGGTAGAGGGCAGTAGGAAGGGTGAGGCTGTGGGCTCAAACTATAGTAATGCCAACAAAACAAACAAAATTCACCTCAAAACCCCCAAGGATCAAAAGGGTTGTTAAGGGTGGGACAAAGGACTTGGAAAGACATTTCTCAAAAGACAATGTGCAAGTGGACAATAAACAATGGCCATGAAACAATGCTCAATGTCACTAGTCATTAGGGAAGAGCAAGTTAAAAGCACAATGAGAAAGTACAAGTTGGTAAGGTAATGTACTTTTTAAGTAACTTGATTTAGCTATTCCACCAATGTATACCAATATAAAACTATCATGTTGTATATTATATAAATATGTACAATTTTATCAGTTAAAAAGGAAAAAAATATCCTGAAATAAAAGAAAAGTGCTCTAACATTCTGCAGTTAAATACCCTTTACATTTTGACACATAAACTGGAAAATCAAAAATGAAGAAACCTAAATCATCAGTAATTGGAGAAAGATACACTCAACCTTCTTTAGCTCCTTCCTTCATTATTCTTTCCCTTTCTTCATCCTTTCTCTTCTCTATTTCCTTTTTCTCCTTCCTTCCTTAAGCCTTAAAACCAATATTTAAAATGTTAGCAACATTAGTACTGCTGAATAGCAGCATGAATCCTCTGTTAGTCCTTTGATATTTATTTTTGATCAGCTTTGGAAAAAGGGAACAGAAAGAAAAGCATTATTACCTTTGCCTCCTTTACAGTGAATCACAATGACATTCTGAGCATCCATGGCCAACCAGTCAATGACTTCTTTGGATAACAGAATCATCTCCCTGATTTCACATAGAAGTATAGTTGATTAAAAAATAGTTCCAAATATTCAAGCCCAATGAATTTAGTACTCTTCTGACAGTGTGGCACAAAACTTACTCAAGGGTAGGGACAAAGGGATCTTCGATCTTAATCCAGCGCATTCGGTCATGAGTGTGCTGCGGGTCAAAAGACTCCTCGCCTACAAGAAATAATATACATGTCATATCTCTACGCCCAATAATGCAAAAGTTGGGAATAAAGCTGAAATTTTCTGTTGGTAATTCCCATTTTTCTGCAAAAGGAGCTTTCTGGGAAGCTTCTGTTGCTTTAAAACTTCTTAAGATCAACAGCACAAAGTTTCCCAAGAGGGCAGGGCACTGGTGGCTCATGCCTGTAATCCTAGAAACTCAGGAGTCTGAGATCTGAGGATCGCAGTTCAAAGCCAGCTCCAGGCAGAAACATCTGCAAGACTCTTATCTCCAATTGACCACCAGAAACTGAAAGTGGTGCTGTGGCTCAAGTGGCAGAAGTGCTTGCCTTAAGTTGAAGAGCTGAGGGACAGTGTCCAGGCCCAGAGTTCAAGCTCCACGTAAGAGGGAGGCAGGCATGTCAGTGGACCAGAAAGGCAATGGAGAGGTGAAGGATTTTAGGGAAGGATTCTAGGATAAGTGGTTTGTTCACCTCTGGTAATCTAAAATCAATTTGTTGTTTCCTACACCCCACTTTTAACCTTCTAGCAGACTACTCATCCTATCATCACACATGTGTACCATGGAGCAGAGGTCTAAAATGCTCAGTCCCTGGGAAATGGTCATTTAATGTATAGACAAGAGAAAACAAAATCAAGAATGACACAATGGGAAACTGTTTTCTACAGGCTTCTTTTTGTTCTTCCTGTGGGTCAGAGAACACACCTGCTGACTTGTCTTCAGTACAATCTGGCATGAAAGACAAACTTCTCTGAGCCTAAGAGCACAAGCAGACCTTCCCTGAACCCTGCCTTGATAACTCTGCCTCTCTGGTCTCACTGGCCTACCTCCCTCATAGGGAGCTTTGTGCTACAGAGCTAACTTTTCCTACCAAACAGGACCAGCATGAAATAAGGATTTCTGATCTAACTTCCCATCACTAAATATTTACAATTAAATGAAGCATAAAAAAAGGGATCATTTAGGGCTGGGACTGTGGCTCAGTGGTAGAGTGCTTGCCTAGCATGCATGAGGCCCTGGGTTCAATTCCCCGGCACCACATAAGCAGAAAAAGCTGGAAGTGGTGCTGTGGCTCAAGTGGCAGAGCACTAGCCTTGAGCTAAGGAGCTGAGGGACAGCGCCCAGGCCCAGAGTTCAGGCCCCATGACCGACAAAAAAAAAAAAAAAAGAGGATCACTTTCTTACACATTTTCTATCTACAGTAGCAAAAATATTAAGTCGTATACATACTGCACAGGTTGCACATTAAATAATGATTAGAGTGTTTGTTGTCGAGGAAGCGGATGACCTCCTAAAAAAGACAGACACACATCTTACATATCCAACATAACACATGAACAACCTTGGAGTTAGTAGGAGTAATCTAAAATGCTATTCATTTTTATTTACTTGTCTCTTTCTGGTCCCTTCTAGGGAACATGCAGGAAATGGAACCTCCTGATAGTTTTTAAATAGCCTCCAAAATACACATTGTTTAATGTTTTTAAACACTATAAATTTACTACATATAAATCCACATGGTTTAACACATATTTATAAATACACAGTGCTTAGTGTCGTAAATATACATCGTTTACGGTTATCTAAGAAAGAAATTAATTGGTCAACTACCTTAAGTAAGTCTTTTTGAAGTAAATAATTTACAGTAAGGAACATATGGTGGGTATATCAGAATAGGTGTTTTTTTTTTTTTTCCAGTCATGGGGCCTGAACTCTGGCCTGGGCGCTGTCCCTCAGCTCTTTAGCTCAAGGCTAGCACTCTACCACTTGAGCCATAGCGCCACTTCTGGCTTTTTTCTTTTTGCTTATAGTGGGGCTGAGGAATCGAACCCAGGGCCTCGAGCATGCAAGGCAAGTGCTCTACCACTGAGCCACCTTCCCAGCCCCCAGAATAGGTGTTTTTAAAACAGCTATTTGACTATTAGTTCCCCTATGCTCTATGTAGATAAACAAGCGTAAAAAAATATAATTGTGGCATGCAACATTTTAAATCGCTAATCATAATATGGAGATTAGCTGACCTATGTTTCCTTGTTTAGAAATGAATATATATACATATATATATATGGGTATATGTATACTTATATATACATAACCATAACTTTAAAAATAGGAAACAATAATTAGTATTTAAAACTGTTCTAAGCTAACAGAATTTTGAGCCAACTTATCCAGTAAAATACATACACACACACCTTTGTATAATAGGAAAGTGACTGTCATAAAATTAAGATATTGGTATCCTAGCACGAGAGCGTGTTTGCTGGCTTGAAATTAAGAAAAAGAAAACTAAAGCATCAAGTGTTCAAAGGAAAGAGTAATAAGTTAAAAAGCTGAACACTGCACAGAACAGGAGGCAAGAAAAATAAATATGCATCCAAGTTTCAAGGGATAACTTGAACAAAATAGAACTAAGGTGGATTTAGAAAGCTAAGATCAAAATTCACAAATAAGAAATTTAAGTGACCCAGAACATCACAAACCAGGATATCATAAAAACATTTGCACATCAATGTTCATTGTAGCACTATTCATAATAGCCAAGTTATGGAAACGGCCCCTACAATAAATGAGTGGATCAAAAAAATGTGGTAACTAAGCACAATGGAATTTTACATAGCTATTAGAAAATAATATGTCCTTTGTAGGGAAATGGATGGACCAAGAACAATCATGTTAAGTTAGGTAAGTCAAGCCAAAGAGACAAACAGCATATTTTTTTTCTCTCATATGTAGAAGCTAGATCTAAAATACACTGGGAGTACTCCAGGCAGTTACACACAATGCGACCAATGGAGGATACTCTTGGGGGTGAAATGCTTATGTGCCTCTGATCAATAAAATAATATTTATCAAAATGAACTCCAGGAAATTGATGAGGTTTTTTCTTTGTTATTGCATTATTTATTTTTTGTCTTGTTTGTCTGTTCATTTGTCTTTGGGAGGGCAGGGAGAGCACAGAAATGGAAGGACAAAGAGTGAACAAATGTAGCAGAACATCAAACACTATGTTGAAAATGAACTGTACAACTTGTGGGTAGGGATGGGAAGGAAAAACTGGGAGAGAAAGTGAAAGAAGGGGTGACATTCTTAAAAAGAAATGTACTCTTTATCTCACTTATGTAACTGTATTTTCCTCTGTTTATCACCTTCATAAGAACAATAAAATCATTTAAATAGGGATACAGGTGGATCCATTGCAACAATGAGATGTACAAGTCATTATGTCGAAAAAGGAACTTTACAACTTGGGGGTGGGTGGGAGATGGGAAGGGATGGAAAGGGGAAACAAAGGAGGAGGCAACAATGCTTGATAAGAAATGTACTCATTACCATGCCCATGTAATTGTAACCCCTCTGTACGGTATTTTCACAATAAAAATTTTTAAAAAAAGAGTCTCTCGGACTTTTCTGCCCGGGCTGGCTTTGAACCGTGATCTTCAGTTCTCAGCCTCCGGAGATTACAGGTGTGAGCTGCTGGCGCCTGGCTCAGGGATTTTTTTTTAAAGAAAAAAATCACTTTTACATTTCTCTTAATGTCCATAAACAATGACATTAAGGATTTGATTTTTCTGCTTTTGTTCAATTGTATGTTTCACTGCTATATTTTTTGAACATTTTGAATACTTCTCATCTAAATTAGCTGAAAGGGGATTTATTTTTTTTTATTGTAAAGATGCTGTACGAAGTGGTTAGAGTTACATGAGTAAGGCAATGAGTACATTTCTTTTTTTTTGGGGGGGGGGGGGTCCAGTCATGGGGCCTGAACTCTGAGCCTGGGTGCTGTCCCTCAGCTCTTCAGCTCAAGGCTAGCACTCTACCACTTGAGCCATACTGCTACTTCCAGCTTTTTTTCTGTTTATGTGGTGCTGAGGAATCGAACCCAGGGCCTCAGGCATGCAAGGCGAGCGCTCTACCACTGAGCCACCTTCCCAGCCCGAGTACATTTCTTGTTGAGCATTGTTACCCACTCCCTTGTTGTTTTCCCACCATCTCTTCCTTCCCCCATCTCCCTCACTCCACACTCCCCCCCCCCCCCACCAGGTTTACTGGTAAAGTTCATTTTCAATATCCTGTCTTGTGGGTATTACTATTGCAATGGGTCATCCCGTGTCCTTATTTCAGCGTTTTGTTATTCCCTTTCCCCTTCCCCCAAATTACACAAATGTATATACAAGATGCAGGGTACCAAAATCAAGTATAGAGACAACAGGGGATACACCATAGACAGAAGAACATATAAAGGAAACAAAAAAAAAATCACATAGTACATTAAAAAACAACAACAAAGAAAGGGGATTTAAAGCATGTAGAACAAGTTCAACTCTACCAAGAATCTACAATGGTCACACTCTGTCACCAGATGGGCAGTTTCTATTCCTCAGATGACCCAGTAGCTGCTCAGAGATGCCCAGATGAGCCCCAATGAGGTAGCCAATCCTGTACTAATCATTTGGCCCACTCCATTAACCTCAACCCAAATTTACAAACCACAGCATCTTGAGCTAAATAAATGGTAGCTGTTACAAATCAAGTAACTTTTGGAGTAGTTTGTCACAAACACAAGCAAGTTGGTACCATGCTATTAAGATTTTTCACCTGAAAGAATAAATCTGTGAATACTGCCTCTCTAGGTCAATCTGAAGCTTGAGTCTACAGTGTTCAGTGACAAATTATTGCTGGTTATATGAATATGCTTACCTCTATGGAGTTCCTATAGAGTGACTGTTGTAGAGACGCAGGAAATGATATGGAAATAATACGCTCTGAAAGTCAAAATGATTATGTTATAACTGTCATCACAGATGGGAAATATATAAAAAGTATTCTACATATAACCAAATTTTGTTTTCAGAAAGAGAACAGAACTAGATATAGAAACTGACAGGAATAGTGATACATTGCTAGGATAACCAAGATAATATATTAAATTATGCAATAGAAGGGCTGAGAAGATGGCTCAGTGGTAGAGTGCTTACCTTGTATGCATGAGGCCCTAGGTTCAATTCCTCAGCACCACATAAGCAGAAAAAGCCGGAAGTGGCGCTGTGGCTCAAGTGTTAGAGAGCTAGCTTTGAGCTGAAGAGCTTAGGGCCAAGTTCAAGACCCACAATGGACAAAAAAATAATAATTATGCAATAGAATACTAGTTAAACTGGCATAGTGTTCTTTAGGGTTTAATTGGTGCTTAGTGCTTTCTAGTCCTCTTGACTCAGAAAACTTGAAACCTTCAGAGTAGTGACCTCATTCTCTAGGTTTTAAGAAGATAAAAGGTCTTTCTTGGATCCTTGAGATATGTACCCAAACCAAATTAAGTCTAAATGAAATTCCAATGGAGCCACCTGAAAAATCCATCCCAGCCAACAAGTCTTCATTTGAAATGATAGGAGATTACCAAAGGTAATCTATCCATATGTTAACCTAACATATAGCATATGCCATCACAGATAGAGTACTTTGAAAGATTATGGTGGGAGAGCAAGCAAGAAAGCAAGGAAAAAGCAAGCAAGCAAGCAAGTAAGAAAGACAGAGAGAGAAAGGGAGATAAAGAGCAAAAGTAGGATGGAGGGACAAAGGAAAGAGAAGGAAGGAAGGAGGAAGAAAGAAGAAAAGAAAGAAGGGGAGGTAGCAAGGAGAAATAATTAAAAAGGAAGAAAGCAAATAATAAAGATAGATAAGTAGAAAGAGAAAAAGAAAAGCTGGGCATGGTAGCTCAACCTTGGGAACCTAGGTACTTAGGTGGCATAGGTTAGGGGACCATGGCAAGACTTCATCTCAATTCATGGCTTAATGCAGTGGTATACCCCCATCATCCCCAGTGACGTGGGTAAGCACAAGTAGAAGAACTGTAGCCCAGGACAGCTGGGGCATAAAGCAAGATCCTATCTTGAAAATAGCCAACAAAAGGGACTAGTGGTGTGGCTCAAATGGTAAAGCACGTCCCTAACAAGCACGAGGGTCTGAGTTCATTCCCAGTACCACAAAAAAGAAACAAAACAAAAACAAATCAATGTGACTTAGATACACATACTTTGGTTTGGAAAAACAAAAAAGAATATTACCCACCAGGAAAATGTGAAATTAAGGTTAGCGTCAAAACCCAGAACTGTAATTAATATAGTAAATCAACAGTTAAGTTTCACAAACCAGTGATGTAGGTCAAGTTAAGGGCAAGTCTATCCTTGCTGTATCTTTCTGTATCTCCTGAGATCTGGGAGTTGAAAAAAGAAAATATATATAGTAAGTAAATAAATATTATAAATATAAATCAAACACAAAGAATTTATATTGCTATCTACAACTCCTGCAAGTATTTCATGGTACGATAAAACACATGCTTTATCCACTTACCAGCCTTCTTCTAGTTTCTTCTTCAAGGTGTCTCCTCTGATTTACTAGATGAAGCAGTCTTAAAAGCGTGATGAGCTGCAGAGGTCGCAAGATTGCTATCACTCTAAATTTATAGATAAATTTGAGATAAATTTGAAAATATTCATTTTTGGTTCAAAAATAAAAGAATTTATCAGTGTGGATATTAAAATGTATAGTGGGTATACTAAATCTTCAACCCCAGGGCCTTGTGCATGCTGCACTAATGTTCTATCTGTCAACTATACCCCTAACCCCAGAAGGTATTTGGTAACATGTGGATATACTTTTGGATGTCACAGTCAGATCTAGTGATGGAGACTAGAAATGCTTCTAGACACTCCACAATGAATGGGTATTTTGAGAGAATTTTAGAATGTTCCTTCCTTCCACCTTGCCCCAGTAAATAATTATCTAATCTAAAATGTCAATAATGATAAGGTTGAGAAATATGTTTATTAGAATCGGTAGACTAAACATTTTGGTTTAAGGGCAGTACTTTTCATTTGCTCCCCAAATGAACAGGGTTTTGTCCATGAGTGTTACTCTTTTTGGTAACGGGGGTTCACTATATCCACTATGGGCTTATCAGGCAGGCAACAGACTAGACTACCTCCCAAACTTACTGGCTGGTGATTCTCCTCCCATCAGAAACACCATAGCAGAGAACTGCTGGTGTGGATATGTAAAAACAAGTCATCTGGACGAAGTTGTTAAACACAAGCTGCAAGTCTAGGGGGAGCCTGAGGTGTTTTCTTGCATGATAGCAAGTTCTCAAGTGAGGGTAAGGTTGCCTATTGGAGGACTATATTGACTGGGGTGATTTTCAAGCTCCAAAAGTCTACCACATTATACATTTACTTGGGAACCAAACTGAAGCCCTGGGAAATGAAGGTAAGGAAGAATCTACTTATTTGACTTCTAATAAATGCACCTAAAAGCCCCTAGCATCTACATTCATTTGGAGATAGAGATATAGACAGAGATAGAGAGACACATACACAGACACAAAGCCTTCATACACATTATACTTTCTAATCCCTTACTGCTTTAACTTTGCCTTAACATTCTCCATTTCTACCAAAATGACATTGCAAAATTTTTCCACTGGGTTGTAGTGCATGTCACTTTCTTGGCTTCTATTTGCTGGGTTTTTTTTAGAGAATTATGACTGGAGTCACTCAGACTTTACACAGGCTCAATACTGTTATGATTATAGGAAAAAACCTAGATTGGTAGGACTTCAAATGGAGATTTAGGGAGAAGTTCAAAATATTACAAAATTAAAATTTCTTCATTAGATGTTCCATTTCCTGTATCCAAGTAAGCATATGTAAATATATATACTTTTTACTGGCCTTAAAGGCCATCATCTTGTAGTGTTCAAGATATGAAAATGTAACAATATTTTCATTTTTTTCTTTCTTCTTTTTTGTGGTACTGGGATTTGTACTTAGGTCTTTGTACTTGCTAAATAAGCACTTTATTAATCAATCCATGTCACCATTCCTAAATATTTTATCTTCGAAAAGCTTATTTGGTACAGAAGCTAAACAGCGTCAGTTCACTATACAAGATTCAAGCCATAGAATATGAAAAAAATAAAAGAATGGATAAAAGAAAACTACAGATAGGTCATATTTCATACCGTGACATGTCTTTAAAAATTTTAAAATCCAGAAACATATATGTAATATCAATGCAGAAAGTGACACCAACGATCAGTGTGTCTAAGATGTTAAATGTATCAGAAAAATAATGCTTTTTCCTGTAAAAGATAATAAAAATGATTACCTTCAAGAGGAGCACAAGTTATTTGATTTGTCTTCATTTGAAATTGTACTTTAATGGATTATTTAAAATGCATTGTCTAGACTAGACTAGGGGAAAATACAGTATTAAGGAAAGTTCTCAAGTAGTAAATTTACAATTACTATATATTAAATTAACTTTAGAACTAATTTAAAATTTTATTAACTTTACTATTTAATATTTGTATCTATCACATGTGCAAAATTACATATTTGCAGATAAGACTGCAATTTAAACTTAGTAAATAAGAGATATAACCAAACTGCTTGGCAAGAGGCATGCACTGCCTTCCCCAATGTAGATGGGAGAAGAAAACTGGTAGTGTATAGCTCTTAAACAAGCAGCTCAGTAGGTCACATCCTTAGAGAAATGGACTAAGAATGTACGAGGAGCTTATGAGAGAGGGGTAGGAAGTGCTATTTTGAACCCACACTGGAATCCCAAGGGGCTGCTGATTCCTTCCTGGGACAAAGACAGACTTCTATCCACCACATGCTCCTTTCCAACATTGGCTTCTGCAGAGGTGAGGACTAGGCTTTTGGGAAAGGAAAACCTTTTTCAGGCTCTCACTAACCTAGCAGTAAACTCTCCTAAGCTCAAAAGAAGGAGGATAAAAAGTCATCAGGAAAGAACACAAACTGCCTTCTGAAGTGCTCTGGAGAAAGGGAGGCCAGGAGATCCAGTCCCTGACTCCCATAGCAGCCCAGCTGCAAGGCTTGTCTGACCCACCCACCTTCTCAGAAAACCAGCAAGATGAAAAAGAAAAACATCACTTTCTTCCTACTACATTTCACTAATGAGATAAGCATTCCTCACATCACCTCCAGACCTCATCAAAAGTTTTTGTTTGAATGACCATTTGAATGAATGGCTATTTATGATCTAGTATCTAGTATTTCATATACCATCAAATCTTTTTTTTGGGGGGGGGGGAGGGGTCCAGTCGTGGGGCTTGAACTCTGGGCCTGGGCGCTGTCCCTCGGCTCTTCAGCTCAAGGCTAGCGCTCTACCACTTGAGACAAAGTACCACTTCCGGCTTTTTTCTTTTTTGCTTATGTGGTGTTGAGGAATCGAACCCAGGGTCTCATGCATGCAAGGCAAGTGCTCTATCACTGAGCCACCTTCCCAGCCCATACCATCAAATCTTAGTTGAGATTCAAGTCATAATAAAAGTACTAATACTTAGACTTCACATACATGTTCCTCTTCTTAGCATATATGTCAACACATTAATTGCCTAGCCCTTTTCTATTTTTTACTTCTTTTTTATTACATATATATTTTATTATATATATATTATTGTACAGAGGAGTTACAATTATATGAGCAAGATAACGAGTACTTTTCTTTTCAAGCATTGGTGCCTCCTCTTTGTTTCCCCTTCCCATCCCTTCCCATACTCTGCCAAGCCCTTTTCTGAAATCCCTTTAAGCAGTGGATGTATTCTAAGAATACATTGTGGGAGTGTCAGCTGTAATATAAAAATAATTTAATCCAGTCAATGAAAAATTGGGTTTGGACTGACCTTTATCTGTGGCCCATAACTTCAAGAATTATTATTATTATTATTGGTAGGTCATGGGGTTTTTACTGTGGGCCTGAGTGCTGTCTCTGCACTCTTCAGCTCAAGGTGAGCACTCTACTGCTTGAGCCACAGAAGCTCTTTGGTTTTCTAGTGATTCATTGGTTTTCTGCCTGGGCTGGCTTTGAACTGTGAACCTCAGATCTCAGCCTCCTGAGTCCTAGGTTTACAGGCATGAGCCACCGGTGCCTGGCTTCAATTATTTTGATTAAGAATTATTTTGATTAAGAGTTGCACATCTGGTTGTGTAGACATGCTAATTATCTTAGGCTCCCCAGTTTTTTTGTAGAGGTAAAGCAAGTTGTTTAATAGAGAGTTTAAGAGGAGTTTAATGTACATGATTAAAGAAAAAAGGGCTTGAGCTAGTTGGCTCAGGAGCTTAGCACACTTCTCATAACAGCACAATGTGGACTTAGGCTCAAAAAAAGAATAAAACTTACCCGTCTACGTATATTTGAAGGAGAACTTCAATAAGGAAAAATAGGCTAATTGATAATGATGTCACTCTGTATTCATATGGAATATAATTTTCACTCTGAGGAACTAAAATATCCACAACTGTCAACACTAGGTCAGTTATAAACAGCAAAATTCCAAATATTCTGAAATAAAGACAATGAGGGTTTTTCTTCTTAGTAAAACATTCATTAAAGCCTTTCATCAGATATGAAAATGTCAGTGGTAGGAAAAATTATAGTGTAGTAGGATCTCAAAACATGACTCCATTTTTACCCAATAGAAGTGAATGACATTCCCACCAAACCAATTATGTAGGTACATCAGAACAACACAAGCCGGGTGTGCCTGCGCAGCAAGCACAAGGGCCCCAATACTACTAAAACACCAGGTCCACTTTGACTGGAAAGATTTTTCTTTTATAAAGATAAATTGAATAGATTTTGAAGTATTTTGTTACAATTGTAACTCAAAATATTATTAAAGTTAAAGAACTATGAGTCATAGTATAAATCATTCTCTCATGTAGAGAAGTAGCCTAAGTAACACGTCTCCAGAATTGAGTAATTACATGTATAAGGTGCTTGATAGAATGCACTCCATGCTTACAAAACCTTATAATGCCTACTTTATTATTTTTATTTGCATAAATAGAAAATGTGTGTCAATATACTATTACTTAGACAAATGTCACTTTTTTGCAAGTTTAAATGTCTACCTTAAGCCAATTTTTCAAAATAAGATTCTATTAAGAAGGAACAAATGGAGTATTTTGCAACACCTTGACAGTGAAAATTCTTTTTGTTCCATTTTGACTTTTTCAGATGCATTGCCATTACAAATATTGATACTAAATGACATACACATATTTCATTGCTTGTATTTCTAGAATCTCACATACCGAAAAGGTAGGGATGTCATAATGAAACGTAAAATCTTCTTGGGATCACTGTTGTAAAAATTAATAAAAATGAAATCAATCACATATTGTTTCTCTAACACAGATGAGTTTAACTGAAAAGCAAAGGCCTCTATAAGAATCAATTTAAATATAAGTATCCATTTAAAAGGAAATTGTTGAGCAGTTTTATAACAAAATGATTTTTTTACTAATATCTGAAATCTTTACATTTCTGTTTCATGTGTTTTCACTTTCATAGCCATAATATATGTGGAAAACAATAATATTTCCCTTGGGCATACAGTTCTAACTCTGACACTATGGTAGAATTAGACTTGAAGCCTCAACTAGTGTACATGTGGTAGAAGGGAGCTGCTTTCAGATGTCAGTTCTTCCATGAACAAATTGTCATCATACCTTAGCCAGACCCGTTCCCCACAGCAATGAAATCAGAGACACCAGAGATAAACATGGGCAGTAAATGGGTCTTTGTCTTTTAATCGTCATCTCTTGAGACAGATGTCTAGTATGTAAAGGTTTCCACTTAGGGTTGCAAAGTGAACCTTACAGGTAAGATGTTTTAGTAAAACATATTTCAAATAAAAACACCCTAGAGACTGGGCTTTTCCCATTAATCCAAAGAGGGAGAGCCTGTATAATGACTGGGAAGTAATGACTATTTTATCACATAGCTGGAAACAATGCACCATTACCCTGCTGAGGCTTCCAACAAGGGACCAAAATTCTACTCCGAGTGGAACAAACTCCAAGACAATGCCCATATAGCCTGTGCCCAAGACTGTGAAATGGATACTGAGAACAGAGGCAGTGGCAAAGCCGCTCATGGAAGAATACTGTTAACTTGAGATACAGGGAATTTCCAATTCTAATCTTCCCTACATCTCCTCTCTACTGCCTACTTCCCCTACATCTCCTCTCTCCTACGGCCTACTGCCTATTTCCTACTATCTTTATCCTGGCTTGGTATGCTAAGGCGATGGATCAGGGACCAAGCTGGCCCAAGAGGTGAATTATCTCCCCCAGGAATTCTAGTCCCTCACTATAAGCCCTCTCTGATCGCACACACCAGTTGAGTCTCTGGGAAACAAAGAAGTGTTATAATAAATGTGAACTTGCCTAACAGGGTGACAATACAGAACCATATGTGACAGGCACAGAGGAGAGACTTGGAGGCAGCTCTGGCCCCTCCAGTCTCTCTTCTGGTTATTGTTAAAGAGTGCCTATATAAAGCTGTCTGTACAGGTTACAGGATAAAAATTGTGACTTATTAGCCTTGTAGACAAAAAAAGTTCTGTTCCTATTTGGAAGCAACAGACAGCTACTTCAATATGTAGCAACTCAAAGCATTTGAGCCATGTACCTGCGCTCTTTTTTTTTTTTTTTTGGTCCGGTCCTGGGGCCTGAACTCTGGGCTGGGCGCTGTCCCTCAGCTCTTCAGCTCAAGGCTAGCGCTCTACCACTTGAGCCACAGCGCCACTTCTGGCTTTTTTCTTTTTGCTTATGTGGGGCTGAGGAATCAAACCCAGGGCCTCATGCATGCAAGGCAAGCGCTCTACCACTGAGCCACCTTTCCAGCCCCTGTACCTGTGCTCTTAAGAGCAATTAATCCAAAGCTGTACTCAACCCAACAGGAAGGAATCAAAATGAAGAGGCAGGCATAAGGAAGATGTCTTACAGAGGAAAGGGGTCAAAAGAAATTCAGGAATACAAAATAAATGAAGAGTATTTAATGGAGCATCAGATGTACCAGGTGGAAATGCAAATAATCATTCTAAAAGCAAAGGTAAACAACATAATAATAATACAAGGAGGAAAAACAAAGAAGGAGTTGGTGAAGATGTACCTCAAGTGGTAGATACATCTATCTAGCAAAAACAGGGTTCTGCATTCAAACACCAGTACAATACCACTAAAACTCAATATATTATTAGAGGACTTTGGGGTTTCTCACAAAATTCAGTGTTTAATGAAGAGAAGAAAAGGGAGAGAATGCAGTCAAGCATGTAATAAAGACACAAAACTAAGAAAAGTAAGAGAAGGTTGGGAAGGATAGATGGGAATGTTGAAGGGGTGTCATTGATAAAAATGTGCCACATTCCCAAACTGCTTTGTTAAATAGCAACTCCTTTTACAACTTCTTAAAAGTAAAAAAAAATTAAGACAGAAGTAAAATCAGCTAACATTTTCTGTCTTTCAGAAGTACAAGTTCTAGCTACTGATGAAGAAGAAAATGGATAATTATTAAGATATTAAGATAGAAGCATGGACAATTAGAAATAGACTAGAAGTTTCAATAAAAACGAAAGGAATAAAATAATCTAATAGAAAATAAGAAAGTACTTTTATTTTTACTTTTAATTTATGCTAAAAAACAAGGACACTTCATAATTACATGACACTATCTACTAAATGGACTAACAGACATCTACAGAATATTCTATCCCTTCTTCCACACATTCCTGTAAATAGCTCAGAGAATTTTCTCCAGAGTAGATGTCATTTTAGTGTCTAAAGAAAACCTTAATACAAGCAATTAAAATAACTTCTTTAATTTTCAAAATCACAATGAAACACTAGAAATCATCAACAAAAGAAACTACAGAAAATATTCAAGCATGTAGAGACCAAGCAATGTATATATTTCTTAATGATCAGTTGGGTGACTGGAGAAATAGTGATGGAATACAACATTTCTTTTCTTTTTTTTTTTTTTGGGTCCAGTCATGGGGCCTGAACTCTGGGCTTGGGCGCTGTCCCTCAGCTCTTCAGCTCAAGGCTAGCACTCTACCACTTGAGCCACAGCGCCACTTCCGGCTTTTTTCTTTTTGCTTATGTGGTGCTTCGAATCAAACCCAGGGCCTCAGGCATGCAAGGCAAGCGCTCTACCACTGAGCCACCTTCCCAGCCCACAACATTTCTTAAATCAAATAAAAATGAACAAAGTTTACTATAACCGTTAGGGTAGAGCAAAGACAGTGCTAAAAAGGAAGTTCACAGTTTTGAATAGTTACATTTAAAAAAACTCAAGAGAAATCTCAAATAAATAACTTAATGATGCATCTCAAGCTCTTGAAATTCAAGACAGGATACCAAACAAAATAGGTGGAAAGAAATAATAAGCATCAGGAAAGAATTAATAAAATTAACACCAAAAGAACAATATAAAGACTCAATAAAATGAACAGTAGGGTCATTTAAACATAAACAGGATTGGCAACGTTAGCCAAGCCTAACAACCACCAAAAATAAGCTTCAAAGAAAGCATAAGAATCTATATTCTAATAAACTGAAAAATCTGCAAAAAAAAAGAACCCAGGTAAATTGTAAATGCATATGGCCTATTAAAATCAATAGGATACAAAACACCTAAACAGATCTGTAACAAGCTATGAAATTAAAACTGTAACAGAGTCTGCCAAGAAAGACAGTCCAGGACCAAACAGATTCACTACTGAGTTTTCTCAGAGCTTTAAAGAACTAATTTTAATGTTTCTCAAACTATCTAGAAAGGGAAAGAATGCTACCAAGCTCATTCTATGAGACAATATCATCAGATACCAAAACTAAGTAAAGTCACAAGAAAAAAGTTACAGGTCAATGTCCCTGATGAGTGTAGCCACATATATTCTCAATAAAATACTTACAAACCAAATTCAACAATATAAAATTGTCATACACTACTATGATCACTGTCTTTTTCATTTCAGCGATGTAAAGATGGCTCAAATTATGCAAATAAGTTAATATAAACAACAATGGACAAAAATCGCATAACCATCTCAACAGATGCAGAAAATGCTTTTCTCAAAAATTAACATCACTTTTATGATAGAAGTCCTGAAAGAACTAGGAATAGAAAGAATACATCTCAAAACAATAAAGACTATCTGTGAAAAGCCTGTAGCTAACATTGTATGAAATCGGAAAAAAATGAAACCATTTCTTCTACAGTCAGGAATGAGGCAGAGGTGTTCCTATTTCCACCCTCATTTACAATAATGCTCCTTATCTTATCCAGTGTAGTAAGGGAAGATAAAGAAAAGAGGGGATACCAACAGAACAGAGGAAATCTAATTATTCCTATGCAGATGTTGGAATCCAATATCTAAAAGACCAGAAAGATTCCAGCAAGAAAAACCTCTTAGATGTGATAAAGACTTTCAGCAAAGTAGCAGGATTCAAAAGCAATGCATATAATTAATAGCTTTTTCTATTCTCCAATATTGTACAAATCTTCTCTGTAACACTGACACAAGTTGGTGAGTGGTTAAATAACCAATGTAGGGAGAAGCAAAAGTCTCTTCAGCCTATCTGCAGTTTAGTGCTTTTTCAGAATATAGTTAGTGTTCACATGCAAAACTATTGAATCAGTGCACTAGGAAGTTTCCCAGATAAGATTACCTAAAAGAAAGTAAAAATTGCTCACAAACAAAAATTCACAGAACTGAATCCAAAGATGTCTAGGAAAAATGAGGAAAGGCTACTATTGAGAGTAACATTCTAATTTTTCTATTAAAATTTTGTATTAAAATTACTGTCTATGATGTTTTTCAAATTTTAAATTACAGAAACTATTTGTGAGTAGATTTGTTGTACTCGTTTGTACAATTAGTCACTGGTGTTTATAACCTCCATACGTTTGGTATCTTTCTATAGTTCTGCTTTTTGCCTCAGTAATGGCCCTGCTTTTCTAAGACAAGGGATCTATCAATGGCTCCTTCTCTTCCTCCAACATCAGACTGATTTACTCATTTTGTGTGTGTGTGTGTGTGTGTGTGTGTGTGTGTGTGCGTGTGTGGCAGCAACATATTCATCACCATCATCTATTTTGGACTATTTAGTTGCCAACAAGGCCAAAATATAACATTAGAAGTTTGTTACATGGAAGAGTGACATGAAAAATTATCTGAACAATAAAAATTCCTTAAATCTGAAGTATAAAATTTTTAAGAAAGAATTTTAGACTCTTTATCCAGAAAACTCCTTTTCCCATGGTTATTTCCAAGACTTAATTGTGAAAATCACTTTTTCTTTCTCTCTCTATATGTACATATACATAAACTTTATATGTCATAAGTATTAATTTATATACTGTATATATATGTGTGTGTGTTTACATGTATCAGTCAGTAGTCTCTGATAATATACTCTTTGCCAGAGAGATACACCAATCTCTCATAGGAGTTAAAGACTACTGAGGTCATTTTGTTCAGGTCAGTGTTTAGGATAAAAAATAACAATACTTAGAGATGTTTTGTTTAAAATACATACAATTACTCTATATTTTCTAAGGGGTTGAACTCTAAAAACTTGTACATTGAGTAGCTATTTACAAAGTAGTATACAACTTTTATCTACAATTAAGTCTCCTATGATGTGTAGATAATCTTGAGCCTCCTCTGAAGTGCTACTGTAACAGCATCAAGAATCAAAATTGAAGTTCAACTTTTTATTGCTGCAGCTGGCTAATATGTGTAACAGCATTTTGGATTAAATTTATTTTGAAGTTCAACTTGAGTGTATAGGTATCCATCAGCCTTTCCCTCTTGAATTTCCTCATTCACAAGTCCCTCCACCACCCTGTACTTACCACATTTCATGGGTGTCTTTTCCCTGCCTTGGATGGGGGGGATGGCGGAGAGGACTGGGACTCTATTCACCATTATACTGGGTTTGCATTTGGGATACCAGCCTCACATGGTGGCAGAGCTTTGGTGGGTGAGAGACAGATGCCAGGTCTATTAACTCCATTATTTCTGCTAAGGGTGCTACTTTTCCTGCCCACAGGTGTTACACACAATTCCCTCCTCTCTTACCTCATACAGACATTATCATACTCTCTTAGAATTTTTGGCTACTATCACAGTTTAGGAGTAAAAAGCATTCTTATGAGATTTTTTTTCTCCAGACAACTAAGATAGAAAGGTACCTATGGATATTACAACAAAAGGACCTTAGAAAAATAGTATCAAAGACACTTCATTGTCACCAATACTGCCAATGAATTCTCAATCTGTTTTTTTCTGTAAATATGCTTTCATGCATGTGTAAATATTTATGTTTTTAAACACATATATGTACATATACATATAAATGCACATGTGTGTGTGTGTGAAAGCATATGTATATTTACTCACCATTTACTTCTGTCTTCTTCCACAGATTCCATTGTGGAATCAGATGAGAGTATGCTAAAAGATAGAAACAAAGCATATAGTCAGACACTGTATGATTTTATAGACTTGATTTTTAGTTCTAATTAGCTATACTTTATCTTAGAAATTTGTTGACCTTTAAAAATTGAATTTAAAATAAGAAATTTAACATGTCATTAAACAATGACTAGAGTTCAGTTCTTTCCTACTGAATCTAAATCTAATGGGTAACCATATTTTATAGATGAATCTTAATTCTTCAATAACCCACAAATCAATCAAAAATATTTTGGTCAATCTCCATGCATTTCAACATTTTCTGTAGTTTATCTTGATGCCTATTTCTAGTTTAGTTCCATTCAGACATGATAGAAACAGGAATATAACCTTTGCTTATATGTGTTAAGCCTTCCTTTATATAGTTACCATACAGTAATAGAGAGAAGAAAAGAAAGAAAAAAGAAAGTAATACTGCCTCTGTGCCCTAAAATATTATTTACTTTGGAGAAAGCTTCTTGGGTTGACATTTAATCTGTAACTGCAGATGTCTGCTTCCATTTGCTCCATGTTGTCAGTTAATTATGAAGTTTCCTTGTTGATTTTTTTGCAGGGGTCGAGATAATTAAGAGGTCTATCTATGCTTCTATATACAGTAGTGCTCGTTGTATGAAATTGGGTGCACTGATCTTTTTTATATCCTCTTGATGGTATCCTTTGTCAATATGAAATGACTGCTATCTCATAATTTTTGAAATTTTCTTTGCCCGATATGAGTACTTTTATATCTGGTTAATTTCCATTTCTTAGAATAACTTTTTCTATCTTTTCACTTTTAGTGTGTTTTGTCTTTGCTAGAAAGGTATACTTTCTTTCCTCTCTTTTTTTCTCTCTTCTTTCTCCCCTCCCCCCCGCTCTCTCTCTATTCTCTATTGAAGTTTATTAAAGTTCAACTTCAGTTTGTTTGCACATGTCATTCTTATCCCATATAATGTCCACCTAGAAACAATGGTCAAACATGTTTTGCCCTTTTTGGGTAACTTTCTACTTTTTAGAAATGTCTACATTTTAGTCTCTTTTATCTGTGAATATGTATATAGGCTCATACACTGAGGTATGTATGTGGGTATTTGTATACACATGTCACGTGTGTATATATAAAACACTTGTATCATGTTTGGTCAAGAAGTCTGTCACAGGGTACTGCTACATAAATATTCATATAAGGAAGGCATTTAAAAATACTTTTTAAAAAACATTAAAAAGTATTTAAAGCATTTAAAAACATACTCAGACACCATACGACTAATCAAATTCTATTCAAATTAGCTACAATTTCTGCACAGTTCATGTGCATGTTGGCCTTAACTTATATCAAAATCAGTTGCTTAGCTTGTATGTTTTAATGAAGATTAGCTTCTATAAAAGTTTCATGACTTTTACCAGTGAATTTAAAAGCAGTGTCAGTATTTTCATTTGACATTTCAAATTTAACTTCAGTTTCCAGATATAAATTTTTTTAGCCATGTGACTTTGTAATTTATAACTATTCTTATTATAAGTCAATTGATCTTTTTTGTTAAGTAGTGTACTAAGAAGATTCAAGTCCATATGTCAGGTTATGAGTGAAGTACATCTTTTAAATACTCTTTCCATCCTCAAAACTGAATGATATTTAAAACTTGATATGTAACCCTGTCATTTGGACACCAGCATATCATATATTCTAGAATAGCCATTTTAATCTTGTCAAAATGTAATGAGTAAAGCTGGGATGTCTATAATCCTTGGATTCAGAAGACTGGGGTTGGAGGTTTGACAGAGCAGCATGACTACATGGTGATAATCTGTCTCAAAAAAAAAGGAAGGAGGCTCAAATTCATGCTCAAATTCAGGCTCAAATCCATGTTTAGAGTTACTCAGGAGGCAGAAAGATTATGATTTACAGCCAGACAGGGAAAACAATCTCTGAGATCCCATCTTATCCAATAAGGCAGGCCTAGTGGTACATGCAAAAAAGACCTTATCCCTAAAGTAAAATATGCTGAAGGCATGGCTCAATGGTAGACCTCTTACCTACCACCCCAAATTCAAACTGAGCACCACTAAATTGCAAGTGAGAGACAGAAGGAGAAAAACAGTGACAGAAAGAGAAATCTGTATGAATATGTAGGGGCCAATTCATTGTGCTATGTTTATGTGAATATGTACATAAATAATAAATAAGTTCCTTTATGTTTGTCTTATCTGTGCTGGCAGCCGCACCATCAGACACTGATATGAACTCCTAAGAAGAAGTTCTAAAATATTTCAAAAACATAAAGTCAGATACTACAAGATTTATTCTTAACTTTAAGGTTAAAATTAGATACAATTTATGTACAGCTAATAAGCATCAGTAACTGGAATGGCTGTAGCTTTGTTCCTCACAGAGATGAAAATTCATTCATTCATTTATTTCATTCATTACTAGTTCTGGTGCTTGAGTTCAGTAACTGGTCACTGTCCCTGAGTTTTTAGATCAAGGCCTGAACTCTACCACTCCACTTCTGGCATTTTGCTAGTTAATTTGAGATAAGAAACTCATGGACTTTCCAACCAGGGCTGACTTTGAACTGCAGTCCTCACATCTCAGCCTCCTGAATAGCTTGGATTATAGGCAGGAGCCTTCAGCACCTGGCTTAAATCTTTTTATTTTTAATGAAAAGAATTAACTGTAAATACTTATGCTGCACTGCTCACAATGGAATCAAAGGACAGTGGCAAGATTTTGATTTGTCTTTTCAATCAGCTGCGGTTTGTAGGTACAGATCCCCTGATCCATCCAGATTCCTGATTCTTAAATCCCTCACCTTCCTCGCCTTCACCTTGAGTACTGTCCTTTCTGCCCTCATCGGTTCAAGAGACCACAGTTGTGAGCCAGGAGCTCCATCCAGTCTGCTGAAGGGATTAGACTTGGGGCACCCACTTCACATGGTTCCAGCACTGAGGCTGGGGAAGGAAGACTTCTAGGATTCTTAGCTTCATTGTTTTCTGCTAAAGGCTTTGTTTCCTGTTTTCTTCTATACCCTACTGGCTTCAAATAAACTAACTAAATTGAGACTCCTTTGTATAGCTAACTAAGGACAATTTTTTAAATTAAAAAAAATCGCCCTTGGTATCTCCAGGAAAGATCACATGCAGTAACTAAGAGTGACAAACTCTAGGAATAAGAAGACTCCCTCAATAATAATGCTTCCCCTCTCTCATCCTTCCCCCTTCTTCTCTTCTTCTTGCTTCTCCTTCCTCCACACCTTCTACCTTTTCTTCCTTCCTTCCTATCTTCGCTTTTCTTTTCCCTTTTCCCTTCTCCTTCTTTGTGGTTTTGATTGGACCCAGAAGCTTGCTCATGCTACATACTTTAAATTAAAAGACATCAAAGTACAAGAGTACATCATGAGAAAATATTAAGAATATTATCAAGGGAAATCTGTTTACATGGATGCCACTGCAGTGATTTGATTGTCTACTTGCACGCACACACATACACACACACACTCACACAAACACACACAGCATTTTAAATTTCTATCTTACGTTTTAATTGTCGCTTCGCTTGGATGAATTTCCTTGGCTTTCGTTGATACCTTGCTAAAGGATTAGAAGGAATATGGAAAGAAACCATGTCAGTTTGGGTTCCAATTAGTTATAATTACTATTCAACTAATAAGCATCAGGAGCAAGAAGACTTCCCCCACGACTTGTTCTTTCCATCACGATTCAAAAGACAAGAGTATATTCTACACAGTAGTTTATCATTTTAAAGCTTATAGTTTTAAAGCTTGTACAACAAACACATACTGCAGTGCATTCATTGAGAATGGATCTAGTGAACTTTTCTATCTGGACTGCCCAACTGCATTCCACCCAATCTCAACTTCTCAGCTTTCCATATAGAATGTGGGCTTATTTATAGCTCACATTCCACTGGTAGTCCCATCACCAGGTATTGTTGAAAATGCATAGGTAGAAGGGCGTAGGATTTTTAAATGCACATAGTAAGACATCACATGACTTCCTAGACTGCAAATTCTGATTCAAATTATTATATAGCATAGAAACTATTGGAACCTTTGTTTCATACAAATCAATTACTTTGAAACTTGTCAACCATTTTCCACAGAAGTGAGTTGTAGGGATTTGGAATGGACATATTTGGTCTGCTAACTTCTTAACAACTCTACCTTTCTATTCAGGTGTTTACATCCAAATTAAAGCAGAGTCTACACTTACTGTGTTGCTTCCCTCAATTCAATTGTATTGTACAGGTACACATCTTTACTATCTAAGTTCTGGATAGTTAAGTTCCAGAACCTGTTATTCCTTATGTCCAACATCATAAATATCTTTCCTGCTCTTATACAATTTAAACAGACTCCAGACCTGGGGCAGGGGCCCTGAAAAATGTGTAGCAGGTGTGGGTTGAAAGCCAGCCTTTCATGGTGGCAGACCTCTGCATACTGAGGATTTGGGTACCAGCTTCACATAGTGACAAAACTCTGGGTAATGAAGAACATATGCATGATATCTAATGGTTGATCCTCTGTTTGCTCCATATCTACTATGTTTTACTCCCAACCAAACACTTTTGTCCTCTGGTCCTTTCTATAACAGACTCATTAAAAGGAAAGTTTGTATTTTCTTAGGATTGTTACTAAATATAGAAGAAACATATGTCTCATGACCTGTTCCTTTCTTACTTGATTTAATCTAAAGAAGAAATATTCAGAAGAAGTGATATTCAGAAAGAAGTTATATTCAGATCTTTCTGGATTTAAGCACAGTGTCAAAGATCTTGTATTGCCACGGTACTTGAAAATAACTTTTTAATAAATGCCCCTATGCAGGTCTATTGCTGTTTCTGAATGTGAACCATTACTATTTTTACAGACACAAGTATATGGACTATTTGTATATAAAGTTTCAATTCTAACTTTACGTTGTATCTATGAACATAAATACATATCTATATAATTATATACATCATAGACTCATTTTATCTCACCTTCCATCATTGATTTCTTCTTCGTATACTGATAAATAGTCACATGAAATCACCCTATAGAATGTAAGCATACATGTAGTCAGTTATCATGGGACTTTTAATACTTAATATTCTAGGTCAAATTATTCTGCAGCTTAAAAATTTAGAAGCTTTAATAGGCTCAATAGCTATGTACATAAGACCAATAAGATGATGCTAAGTGAATAAACTCTAAGATATGGCAACAAGAGGTTTTTCTTCTTCTTCTTGTTTTTAATGTACTATGTTATTTCCTTTTTCTTTTGTGTTTTTTTCTCTGTGGTTTATCTCCTGCTGTCACTGTATTTGATTTTGGTACTCTGGGTATTGTATATGAGTTTATCTGAATTAGGGAAGGGGAATAACAAAATGGTGAGACAAAGGACAAAGGGTGAACCAATGCAACAGTGATACTCACAAGACAATATGTTGGAAATGAACTGTACAACTGAGGGGGGGGAATTCTGAAGGGAGGGAAAAGTGGGAAAAAAGTGAGGGAGGGGTAACAAGTTTGACAAGAAATGCACTCACTACCTTACATATGTAAGTGTAACCCTCTGTATGTCACTTTGACAATGAAATTAATTAAAAAAGAAACTTTATTCTCACGTAAATCAGTTATTTAAAAGTTTATTCATCATTTCTTTTACAGATGTCAAATTTTATAGATTTCTAATGGATTTATTCTGTCTAGGAAAAGTCTTTTAAAGTCTTTTACAGCTAAATGAAAATAATGCTAGTCTTCTGTGATTTATTTCCCCATTTTGAATGTGTTGTCTAAGTACAAATCCCTTTTGAATTATTTTTAAGCAACAGCTCCTGAAGATCACCATCCTAAGAGTCTTTATGCCATCCCACAAGATCAAGGCACTAAAGGCCTGAATCAAGAATTCTAAAAATGGAAAATGGGTTTGATTTGAGAACCAGCCTCTTGTGGTAGCAGAACTCCTCATAAACAAAGGCTTAGGCTACCCAGTTTCACAAGATGACATAGTCCTGAATAAAGGATTCTTTATGTGTGATCTTTGACCTTTTGTGTTTAGGGCTCTACTACTCTTTAGGTAGCAGAACTCCTCATAAACAAGGCTTAGGCTACCCAGTTTCACAAGATGACATAGTCCTGAATAAAGGATTCTTTATGTGTGATCTTTGACCTTTTGTGTTTAGGGCTCTACTACTCTTTATCCAATATTATTTCTTCGCTCCCAAAAGGATTCTATTCTTTAGTTAACTCCATTTGTAAAAGGTTGCTACAAAGAGTAACCAACATACTCCCTAGAAAAAGCATACTGCTCATGACCTGTTTCTCTCTTACTCTATTTGTTCTACAGGAGGAAGAAAGTTAATCACAGATCTCTCAGAGCAAAAAATTAGATGTGGTGTCAAAGGCCTGAGAAATTTCCAAGAGACAACACACATCTCCATTTTCCCCCTCTCTCTACTTGTTTTTCTTTTTTTTTTTCTTTTTTTGTTTTTCTTTTATTTATTTATTTATTTCTAGTGTCAGTATCAGAGTGTGAACAAAGGCTGTCCCCTTTCTAGCAAAGTTTTTAGGTTTGAGGCAAAACTTCACTCCTTTTGTGCTTAGATATATTTTGGATAGGGCTTCTTGTTTTGACAGGGTATGGGTATCAGTCCATGATATTCCTACCCATATATCCTATTAGCCAGGGTCTTATGCTTGTGCTACACTGCTCCACCACTCTTGTTTAACATTTTGCTATATGTGTATGTGTGTAGGTGGGTATTTTTCTCATTATGTCTTTAGAAATATGTATGTGAGAATATGTATATATATATGTATGCATTTACAGGTATACTTAGAATATTCTTGGATTTTAACTCATATTTCAATACTAGATCCCACAGCAGGTGCTACTGCCAATTCTTTCAGGATAAGGAATGATCAGAATATATACTCAGGCATAACACATAACCAGCACAACTTTTAAATCTGAACAGGTTAATTTAAAAAACCCACATGAAACTGTCATTTCCTAAGATGCTTTACATAGGAGTAGTTAAAATCAGAGGATAGGTAAAGATGAAGTTCATTCATTGGTTTATTAGAATTGAACCTTTACATGGGGACCTTTATTTCAAGTTGAAATTTAGGTTGTAGGTACTGGAATTACACAGATACAACTGATTATCAAGTCTTCCAATCACTTCCTTACTGTCACTCATTGTGTCTTTACTACCAGTCATATAGGGTAAGTTTGTAGACCAGGGATACAAAAGACAAGAGAATCATTCTTGATCTATAGTGGCAGCCACCAGATCACAAAAATAAACAAGAAAAGGAACAAGGACACATGAAAGAAAGAGAAGAGACTGTGAGCAATATGTTTTTTTTTTCCTGATCAATCAGAACCTTATGGTATATTGGATTAGCCTGCTCAATTGCCTTAAACGATTAAATTAAAAAAACCCTGACCCAATGATATGCTGCCTATTAAATATTTATTTCAATAGTAAGGACTGATTTAAAAAACTAGTATGGAAGAGAGGAATGTAAGAATATATTTCTGGCAAACAATAAAACAAAACAAGGACGAGCAGCTTTTAATGTAAGAAAAATTAGACTGCAGCAAACACTGGAAAAAACATACAGAAGGACAGAAAATTATGAGAATATGTGAAATAAAGAAAAATAATATTTGTAAAGATACAGTTACACAATACAGGACAATGTGCTTCTATTAAACCAAAATCATTAAACCTACAAGGCAATATCATTAAACCTACAAGGAGATATAGTCTTGACCACAAGAAGTTAGAAGCATCATTATCTGTTCCTACCAAAGAAAGATTATTCAAGCCAGGTGCTGGTGGCTCATGCCTGTAATCCTAGCTACTCAGGAGGCTGAGATCTGAGGATTACGGTTCAAAGCCAGCCCGGGCAGGAAAGTCTGTGAGACTCTTATCTCCAATAAACCACTAGAAAACTGGAAGTGGCGCTGTGGCTCAAGTGGTAGAGTGCTCACCTTGAGCTGAAGAGCACAGGGACAGCACCCAGGCCCAGAGTTCAAGCCCCACGACCGACAAAAAAAAAAAAAAGAACATTCAAAATTATTTTTAAAAAACCATGCAAATTAACTGACAGTCATTTGAAAATCAGAGGATTGATAAAGAAATCAATAAGGGCCAGGTGCCCATGGCTCAGGCCTGTAATTCTAGCTACTCAGGAGGCTGAGGTCTGAGTTTTGCAATTCAAAGCCAGTCCGGGAATGGAAAGTCTGTGAAACTCTTAGCTCCAATTAACCATTAGAAAACCGGAAAAAAGCCAGAAGTAGTGCTGTGGCTCAAAGTGGTAGAGTACTCATCTTGAGCTGAAGAATACAGGGACATTGCCCAGACCCAGAGTTCAAGACCCATAACTGACCCAAAAAAAAATCAATAAGGAAATTCAAAGTTTCAATATAATGTTGGAAAATACACTGATTTTGATGTGGTAGCTCAAGTTGATCTCAAAAAAGTACAAGAGAGAAGAGCAGTGACAGGTTAGGGGTTATGTATAGGGAAGTAGAGTGGGGATGGATAAATAAGTAGAGACCAGAGGTCACACAAGAGTAACTCTAATGTTCTATAGAGCATAGTATTAGAGCTTGTTGGAGAGTAACTGAATGTTTCCAAATAACAAGTGAAGATTACTTTGAATGTTTCTACCACAAACCACCTATGTATAACAAAGATCTTAGAGAAATGCCTGTCTGATCATAACAATCAGTATGCACATGTTAAACCAATCACAATATATCCTATAAATATATCCACTTTCCTGACACTTGTGGCTCATGCCTATAATAAATCCTAGCTCCTCAGCAGGCTGAGATCTAAGGATTACAGTTCAAAGGCAGCCCAGGTAGCAAAGTCCTTGAGACTCTGGTCTTTAAGTATCCTCCAAAAAGCCAGAAATGGAGTTGTGGCTCAAGTGGTAGAGCACTAGCCTTGAGCAAAAAAGTTATAGGCCCAGAGTTCAAGCCCTACTACCATAAATGGGAAGTGGTGCTGTAGCTCAAGTGGTAGAGCGCTTGCCTTGAGCTGAAGAGCTGAGGGACAGCGCCCAGGCCCAGAGTTCAAGCCCCACGACTGACAAAAAAAAAAAAAAAAAGAGGTCATTTGTTTCCTACTACCATAAATGCATACTACCTACATGCATAAATAAATCTACTTAATGTCTGGATTTAAAAAGAAAACATTCTGTAAAATTATACCAGAGAACTTTTCCACTTTAGTGTGCTACATTTCTATTCACGTAGACTTAAAAGGTGCAAAGGTATCCATGTTACAACAAGTATGCTGAAACAACAATGACATTCTATACTGCAGTTATCTCAAATGTGATCTCCACTTTTCTTGGTGTGTGAGATTATGAGTGTGCAAGATTCCACATGTTTATATAGAAATAACCTAACACAAATGTATGTGTTTTTATCTGTGCATATGTGCCATATATGTTTATTCCATAAATTTATATCAATAGACACATTTTTGTCAATGTCTATTATGGTCTCATTTAAAGCTCACCTTTTACTGGCAATATGGAAAATTCATCTGGAATAATGTTATATGATTTTTAAAAAACCATATTGTCAGCCCATCATGTGACTGCTAGACTTCACATTATGGTTCAAATTAACCTACTACATAAATCACTACTGTTGAAAATTCTGTGATTCATTCTTCCCATAAAAATTAGATTTGGAATGAACACATTTGGTCTGGTAATCTATTAAGCAAATAAATTTTGTGTTCAGGAGTTTACAAACAAAAGTCTAGTATAAGCTTTTGTTTTTATTTTATTTGGTTTAGGTATAAATCCTTTCTACTTTATCTAATATTCTGATTCAGGTTTCTATAGCAGCTTCTTACATTCATCATCATTAACTCTGTCCTTTTCTTAACATCAGGTTAAGAAACAACAAGCCTGAAGTAAAGGCTCTGACAAATTTTTGCTGGGTTTGAGATGAGAGCCACCCTCCCAATCGGCAGAACTCTACATTAACAAGGGTTTGGGACATCAGCCTTACATACTGACAAGAGTTCCGAATAATGAGGGAACACATACATCATTTCTGGTATATGATGCTCAGGGTGTATTGCTTCATATCTACCACCTCCTAATCTCTGTTCCAAACAGGATTGAGTCCTATGGTCCAATCCGTTAGAGACTCTCAAATAGAGAACCTGGTTATTTCCTAAAGGACTGCCTATTATTAAGAGTAACAAAAAGGACTGACTACAACAGATTACTTCTAACGGCACTTTCCTGTCTGACTTCACTTGATCAAAATATAGAAATTATCAAAAATCTCTCAGTGGGAACATCTAAATAAACTTCCAAAGAGTCAGTGTAATCCCAAGGTTCTCCAGAGGATAACTTTACAAATTTCAGTCTTCCCTTTTTCCATTAGCTGGTACTGTAGTTGGATGACAGGGCTTCCTGCCTGCTTGCTTATATATAAGCACTCTATCACCTGAGCTATGGTCCAAGTCTTTGAGAGCTTTAGATATGTTTTCAGAAAAGGTCTTCCTCTTAGGCTGGAAAGTGACTTCAAACAACAATCTGATTCCTATGATGCTAGAAGGGAGGGTAATATACCAGTGAGCTCATATGTCAGACTCACTGTTTCAGATGAGGGTTTCAATAACTGCTTGCAGGATAGCTTGTAAATGAGATAACTCTCAGGTGCCAATTCCCACACAGCTGGCATTAAAGGTATGTGTGACAACAAAACCTTCCTGATAGACATGCCCCCCCCCTTTTTTTTTGTCTGCCGTGGGGCTTGAACTCTGGGCCTGGGCTTTTTCCCTGCGCTCTTCAGCTCAAGGCGAGCTTGAGCCATACCACCACTTCTGGTTTTCTAGTGGTTATTGGAGATAAGAGTTTCATGGACTTCCCTGCCCATGCTGGCTTTGAACCATGATCCTCAGATGTCAGCCTCTTGAGTAGCTAGGATTACAGGCGTGAGCCACTGGTGCCCAGCTACATGTCCTTAATTTTACTAGTGGTACTGCTATATGAACACAGGGTCTTTCATGTTTTGATACACTCTGAAACACACATGCTACAGTCCTTGCTTACTATTTCTTTTGTGTTTGACTGTTCAGTTCTAGGCACAATGTATAAGCACATGTATTTATGTGTCTGTACATATATACATATTCAAATATATACAAAGATACAATTGGCATAAACTTCTACATATAAACTTGTCTATATATGAATTTTATGGGCTTATTTGTATCTCACCTTTCAGAATCTGGTATTGAACACAATTCATATGGACAAGGTCTATGGGAATTAAAAATACATATCATTAAATATCATATGACTTCCTAGAATTCACATTCCAGTCTTAATTACTCTGAAGATCATGCACAAGTGGACTTTAATTTTTTTTTTACCTATACCTTTCATTCTCTTTTCAGCCATTATTTGGATTAAAGACACCACTACAGTTTTAGATCATTAAAGAAACACACTTAGCCATAAAACACTGCCAATAAGCATCACCTGAATCTAGGTCTGAGTGGATTTCCAGCTCAGTGGGTTGGACAAGAGGACAAATACAAGATAATCTCCAAAGGCAATGAGAACAATTCAGCGAGCCACCAAAGGGTTTGAGCTTCAACTCACTTAGGGACAGGAATGCTGATCAACCATGATCTTCCTCTTAGCAAACCCCCAACTTTTCAAAGTCATTGTAGATAAAAGACTGCGAGTAACTAGATATTTATTCATTTATTTGAAAGACAACTGTAGTGTCCATCATTCATGTGTTGGGAAATTCTTCAGAGTGACTGTTGGAGCAAGGAGCCTTTCATGTGCTCCCACTCACTAGTGCATTTTTATTTCCCAGAAAATCAGTTATTCTAAAACTTGTGAACCACCATCCAATAGAAATGAATGTTATAGCTTGGGGATGGACATATTTGGTCTGGGAAAATACAAAACTACTAAACATTTATGTTCTGTGTTTGCTACTAAATAAAACTAGTGTTAACGTTTTGTGTTTTCCCCATAAGTTCACTGTGTGTTCTAATTACAAATACCTTCTACCCTATTTAAGTTCCTTATTCTCCAGTCCTTGTGCCCACTTCTTATGTCCAACATTATAAATATCTATCTTGCCCTAACACATAGTTAGGCCTGATGTAGGGACTCTTTTCAGATTTGTGATAAAAACCAGCCTTGCACAGTGTCAGAGCTAGACATAATAACATTTTAGACACTAGCTTCATATAGTGACAGGGTTCTGTGTCACATAGTGACAGGGACATATGCATGATCTTGATTTTTTTTTCTTTTTTGTCGGTTGTGGGCCTGAACTCTGGGTCTGGGCGCCTTCCCTCAGCTCTTCAGCTCAAGGCTAGCGTTCTACCACTTGAGCCACAGCACCACTTCTGGCTTTTTCTGCTTAGGTGGTGCTGAGGAATCAAATCCAGGGCCTCATGCATGCAAGGCAAGCACTCTACCACTGAGCCACCTTCCCAGCTCTGATCTTGATCTTTTATGGACATGGTTCTGTGGCTCACTATCCTCTATTTCTGTTACTTTTTCTTTTCTGTAAGCAGAATTTTCTCTCCTTTGGTCCAATGCACAACAATCCAAAAGTAAAAAATGCTATTTTCCAAAGGAATATGTTACTAAAATGACTGTTGTAAAAGAAGCATACTTATGATGTATACTTTAAGATAACAGAAGTTAGTCACAAATATCTCAGTGAATACATTTAGACATATTGTCAAAGATACTGTGTATTATCAAGGGACTTCTGAGGATCATTTAATAAATCTCAAACTCTTTTTCCTTTTGCTGTAGTCTGAGTTGGTTTTCTCTTTCTCCCTCCTTTCATTTTTTATCTCATTCTTTCCTTCCTTGCTTGCTTCCTCCCTTCCTTCCTTCCTACCTCCCTCCTTTCATCCCTTACTCTCATTCTTTCATCATCTTTGGGGGGGTGGGGCTTACTGTAGTTAAAATATAGGTTCCTTGTCTTCCAGACAGCTGCTCTACCATAACATAATGGCCCATTTTTTTGGTGCTGGTCTAGGGATGTTTTCCATAGGGTTACCTGTTCAGATAGTTCTGGCACTAGACCATGATCTTCCTAATCATGTTCCTAGCAGCTGAGATCTTAGGCCTGCACCACAGTTTCTTTTTGTTGTTGGTGGCAGTGGTGGTAGTGGTGGTGATTGAGGGGCTAGATCTTAGGGCCTGGGTGCTGTCCCTGAGCTCTTCTGCTCAAGGCTAGTGTTATTCCACTTTGAGCCATGGCTGCACTTCCAGTTTTCTGGAGATTAATTGGAGATAAGATTCTCATGGACTTTCCTGCCCAGGCTGAATCATGATCCTCAGATCTCAGCCTCCCTACAGCTAAAATTACAGGCATGAGCCATCAACACTCAGCCACAGTTCCTTTTGTTTGAGATTTGTCTGGTTTGTTTTATGTATGTATGTTCCATCTCATATTCTATCTGTCTAGAAACATGTATGCATTGAATATATGTTTATTTGCTATATTGGTTATGTACTCACTCATCATCGACAATTCCGAGGAGAGGAACAGGTAAGACTTCTGAGAGGTCCACACTAAGAGAAAATAGTGAGACATGACATAAAGTTTTAACATAAATTATTTGCCAAAGAACTAGTGACTCTAGGCATGACCATGTTGGGCATGATCATGTTCATATCTGCATCTATACTTAGTTCATTTATTACAGTTGGATCCTTATAATAACATATATCCTGATACCTTAGAAAATCAGTAAACAATTGACACTTGGAATAGTTATAAAGTATTACCATCGACTGGTATGAGCATTTATTTCACATTTCACTGCAGTTATACATATAAAAAACTTCACAGGTATGATCAATTCTAAGATCACTCCATCATTGACTTTCATCCAAGTATTATTGCTACCAGTCTTTTAGGGTGAGTATATAAACCAGAAAAACAACAAAAAAAAGATTCAGATCTAATCAATGCACACAATCATAAAACCATAAAGACAAACAAGTAAATGGGACAAAGACACATTAAAAAAAACAGAGGAGGAAGCAGGGCTGTGGCTCAAGTGGTAGAGTGCCAGCCTTGAGCTAAAGAGCTCAAGGGACAGCTCCCAGGCCTAGAGTTCAAGACCCACCACTGACAAAAAAAAAAACAAAAAACAGAGGAAAAAAACTTACAACAATGTAAGAAGTATGTCTTTCCTGAATACTCAGGACCTAACCTTATTTCAACTGGAGACTGTCTAGTGGATTAAATTAAAAGAAACCCTTGGCTCAATGATATACTTCCTACTAGACACTCACTTGGTCACTAAAGACTTAGAAAGACTGAAATTGAAGCAAGGAAAGAGTATTTTCTCTGCAAAAGCAAGTCAGAAGCAATCACAGTCACCTTGCAATACGAGAAAAAAAATAGATTCTGTATAAAATCTGGATAATGACACAAAGAAAGACAGCACATTATCCAAAAACTGTCAATGGGAAATAACAATTGTAAATATACAGGTATTCACTGCAGGACAATGCTATTACATAAAACCAACACATTGTTCAATGTAAAAGGGGATATAGACTCAAATGCAATCAAAGTTGGGAGAATCAATATCCATTGTTAACCAGGAAGGATCAGACAATAAGTCAATCAAAAACATAAGAGTATACTCCAAACTAAATTGGTCTAAGAGCCACTTAAAACATTTCATCTAAAGGGAAGACCTCCATAATCTGATTGGTTGAATAGTAAATCATTGGTATAGCACTTCAGAACATGCCTTCCTCTTTGTATTGGAGCATTCACCAGAATAGAGGGTATTTTATACTACAAATCAGTTTCAAATAAAGTTCTAAAAGTTGAAATTATTCTCCATATCTTATTCACCAATAAAATAAAAGTAGGAAAAAACACTTTAGCAATTACACAAGGACATACAAGGTACATACTACTCACTTGATCAACCAAAGGACTGATAAAGAATTAATAAAGAGGGAGGGCTGGGAATGTGGCTTAGTGATAGAGTGCTTGCCTAGCATGCATGAAGCCCTGGGTTCAATTCCCCAGTACCACATACACACACAAAAAGCCAGAAGTGGCACTGTGGCTCAAGTGGTAGAGTGCTGGCTTTGAGCAAAGGAATCTCAGGGACAGTGCTCAGGCCTTGAGTTCAAGCCCCAGGACTGGCAAAAACCCCCACAAGAATTAATTAAATGAATTAATGAAATGAAATGAAAATGAAAATGAAAACATAGTATCACACACACATTTTTTCCGCTTATGTGGTGCTGAGGAATCGAACCCAGGGCCTCATGCATTCAAGACAAGTGCTTTACCTCTGAGCCACCTTCCCAGCCGCACACACACGTTCACATGGAAATTACAAGTTTATCTTTATCTCAAAGAAATTCAATATGGAATAACAGTCACGGCATGACCAGGGTGTGTGAAGAGAATAGAGAGGGACGTTAGTAGAGAGAAATGTGTTTCTGAACAGAAGGAAAAACCTCCAAAAGCAAAGAAGGATATCTACATTAGAAATCATAATTACAAAAATTTCAAAATAGCAAATGAAAATAATATATAACATTCTGTCCCAAAGCAATAATACAAAACTAAGGTCATAGAAATGCCAATTATGCAGTTTGATCACCACACTTAGTATACTCAATGTATTAAACTCTTATGGGCGCTTACTATATGTCACCTAAAAGGAAAATACATTTCAAAAAGCTAAACCAAAATCATATAACATGTTATATATCTACACAAATGGAGCAAAATGATACAATGGTGCAACCAGAGGCCACAAGGGGAACATTAAAAACACAAGGACATTCTGTACTGCAATTCATCTCACCATCCACTTCCCATGTTTATCTTCACCATTCTCAGTGTGTTGTTTTTTGAGCCAGATTTCATAGATATGTTTTATAAGTATATGTTTATGTGCCTATATATACCCACATAGTACATTGGTATTTAGGAAATCTATCCATCCATCTGTTTCACTGCATGTCTATTTTATGGACTCATTTATCTCTCACCTTTTGCTCAGTGCTGAGCGCTCAAATGCCCATTCAGATGATGAACTATGGGATTTAAAAGTAAATACAGTCAGACATCACATGATTGCTATACTTCACATTCTGTTTCCAATTGTTCTGCTGCTTATATACACTAGTGGAATTTCATTCTGATGTAATTCACCTTTTTGAAAGTTTACTATTTTTCAACAGAGTTTAGTTTTTGTAGCACATATTATTCTTGGGAAATATTATAATTCAAGATTGTTGTTCTTTTTTAAATAGCAATTTTTAAAAACATTTTTTTGCTTAGCTTATTTTTTGTTTATGTGGTACCAAGGAATTGAACCCAGGGCCACTCTACCATTAAGCTACATTCCCAGCCCTCAAACTTGTTATTCTATATTTCACAAATATATTAAAGAAGAGTATCATTGTTATAGTTTTAGTTTCAGTTCAACTCTACTGCCTACGTAAAAATCCCTTCTACATCTAAGTAGGTTCCCTGTTGCATAAGTCCATGCATACACTTCTTACATTTACAATCCTAAAAGTCTGCCACAAAATGAAACAATTATAGGAGTGAAGCAGGCACTCTGGATGAAGTGTGTGGGGTTTCCCTTGGCAGAGTTTGATATCAATAAGGGTTTGAGACACCAGTCTCACATACTGACATAGCCCTGGATAACAAGGGACACGTGCATCATCTCTAGTATGTGATGCTCAGGTTGTACTGCTCCATATCTGCCAGTTCCTCCTCTATGATCCCAACAGGATCCCCTATTTTGGTCCAATCAAATAGAAATAACTCTCCAATAGAAATCCTGGTATGTCCTAAGGGACAGCCTCTTAATAATTTCCTGCCGTACTCCATTTGATCAAAATTCAGAAAACATCCAAAGATCTCAGAGAAAACATCTAAAAAGACTTTCAAACATTCACTGTAATCCCAAAGTTGTTCAAATTCCAATCCTGTTCCACACTTTTCCATTAGCTGGCACTGCATTCAGATGACAAGACATCCTGCCTGCTTGCTAGACAAGCGCTCTACCACCTGAGCTATGGTCCAAAGTCCTTGAGTGCTTTAGATATGTTTTCAGATAAGGTCTTCCTTTTAGGCTGGGAAGTGACTTCAAACAACAATCTGAGGGGCTGGGAAGGTAGCTCAGTGGTAGAGCGCTTGCCTTGCATGCCTGAGGCCCTGGGTTCGATTCCTCAGCACCACATAAGCAAAAAGAAAAAAGCCAGAAGTGGCGCTGTGGCTCAAGTGGTAGAGTGCTAGCCTTGAGCTGAAGGACAGCGCTCAGGCCCAGAGTTCAGGCCCCACGACGGACCCCCCCAAAAAAAAAATGAAAACAACAATCTGATTCTTATGATGCTAGAAGAGGGGTCGGAGAGGTAATGTACCAGTGAGTTCATATGTCAGCCTTACTGGTTCAGATGAGGGTCTCAGTAACTGTTTGCAGGATGGCTGAGATTACCCTCAGTGTCCAATTCCCACACAGCTGGCATTAAAGACACGTGTGACAAGCAGAACCTTCCTGATAGACATATCCTTAATTTTACTAGTGGTACTGCTGTTTGAACACAAGGTCTTTCATGTTCTGACACACTGCATCACACATACCACCAGTCATTGCTTGCTATTTGTGGCATTATGTCCAAGTGTTCAGTTTCAGGCACATGTGGGTGAATATGTATGTGTCCATGTGACTATACATAAATATGTAACAATACATACATACATACATATGTGTGTCTATAATAGGCATAAACTTCTACCTATATATTTACCTATCCATATTTTACCCCCCAGGAATATACACATCAGTTTCTTTAAGAGCAAGACCAAGTAGTGACGCTTCTTCATGGAAAGGCCTGTGTATATATCACAAAATATCAGGACCTAGACACTTTATCTAGACATCTCTCTAGGCAGAAAACCTAACGATAGCTTAACACCAATACCAGAACCTTAGCAGCCAAAAGAAGCTCATTAATTGTCCACAGTCTCACACCTGAGGTGCAGTTCTCTGATTCCTAGATCCCAATTCTATAGGCCTAGAATCAGTCTATTGCATGGAACAAAATCATACACTTCTAGGATCCTGTATGATTCCATTGAGAACCAAGGCTAAGGCTTTATGGATTTGGTGATGAGGTGGGGGTGGGAGTTTCTTTTTTTCTTTTGGTCAGTCGTGGGGCTTCAACTCTGGGCCTGGGCGCTGTCCCTCAGCTCTTCAGCTCAAGGCTAGTGTTCTACCACTTGAGCTACAGCACCACTTCTGGTTTTCTGGTGGTTTTTATTGGAGATAAGAGTTTCATGGACTTTCCTGCCGGGCTGGCTTTGAACCATGATCCTCAGATCCCAGCCTCCTGAGTGACTATGATTATAGGCATGAGCCATCAGCACCCAGCAGATGGGAGTTTCTATGCAAGATCCAAATAAAGGAACACCCAGAGTGCTTTGAAGTCTCTGGCTTTCCAAATCTGGCTAGGAAGTGCTGCTTGGGTTCTGGTATTCCCACTCAGTGAAGGCGCTTTCCAGGCCTAGTGATGGCCAACTGGGGCCTGGACCTTAAGCAACACAAGTCTGCAGCTAAGGTTCACAGAAAAGACAAAATCCCAGTGCCTCACATGTGGCCACATTGTGGATTTGGCCAAATGGTTGCATAAGAATAATGCTGACTGGCCAATCTGGTGGTTTTTCTCCTGGGAAGACCAGTCACTTTGGTCCCCACTTTCCTTGTTTCTGAGCTACATGAGAAGCAGAGACAGCTTCCAGATCAATAGTTGCAAGCTGAGAGTTTGGGAATCAATGGGAACACTTTCCATGTCTTCGCCTGAAATAAACACGTGACCAAAGGCTCAACCACCAGGATGGGTACGCCTAGGGTACTCTCCTATAGTTCTTCCATGCTGCCATTTAATTACAGAAAGCAAGACTAAGGCCTTGGCCTCAGAGGAGTGGCAGCCCCTGGGGTCCGTGAGGGGCAGCACCGTGAGGAACCCAGAGCCGAGGACATCTTTGAGGGCCAAGAGCCTCAGGTTACTGAAGACCTCAGGCCAGCTTCGCCTGCAGCTGTGGTCGTTGACCAGCAGCTGCAGAGCTGCAGGCCCGGAGGAAACACAGCAGGAAGGTGTCATCCAGGGATGTGCTCAGGTTGGGGTACTCCTTTTGCACCATGTTGTGAAGGGCCTGGACATCCCAGAGTCTCCACTCAGGCTTCTCCTGCAGCTCCTCCAGAGCTTTGAGGCCCAGCTCTTCAGTCAGTGAGCATACTTAGCCAGGAGGCTCAGCTGGTGGCGGCAGCTCATTCTAGGAGAACCATGCCACAGAGGGGCTGGTTCTCAGAGAGTCACTTTCTTCTGACATTAGCCACTACTGTCCCGGCCCTGCTGCAGGGCGGAGTGCAGGTCAATGGGCAGCTGGAACCCCTATCCATATTTTTAAAGGGTTAATTTGTATCTTACCTTCTTTCACACAATTCATATGGGCGATTCCTATAGGAATTAAAAATACATATAGTCAGATATCATGTGACGTCCTAGATTCACATTCTGGTTTAAATTATTCTGAAGATCATAAATATAATTTTTAAATATTAATTTTAAATGAAATGGACTTTAACTTTTTTTTTTTTTACTATATCTTCTATTCTCTTCTCATACTTTATTTGGAAAAAAGAGCACTACAGTTTTAGATCATTAAAGAAACACACTTAATAAAAAGTAACACACTTAGGCATAAAATACTGACATTAAGCATCACCTGAATCCAGGAATCAGTGGATTTCCAGTTCAGTGGGTTGGACAAGAGGAAGGGTGCAAGATACTCTCCAAAGGAGAAGAGAACCACATTACTCAGTGAGCCACCAAAGGGTCTGGCCTTCAACTCACTTAGTGAAAGGAATGCTGGTCAACCATTCATGATCTTCATCACAGCAAATCAAAACCTCCAAGTTTCCAAAATCATTGTTGATAGCAGAGTACAAGTAACTAGACACTCATTCATCATGGAGGACCACTGCAGTGTCCTCCATTCATGCACTGAGAAAATCTTCAGAGTGACTGTTGGAGCAAGGGGCCATGCAAGTGCTCCCACTCCCTAGTGTCTTTTTTTTGGGGGGGAGGGTCGGGTCATGGGGCCTGAACTCTGTCCCTCAGCTCTTCAGCTCAAGGCTAGCGCTCTACCACTTGAGCCATAGCACCACTTCCGGCTTTTTTTCTTATTGCTTATGTGGTGCTGGGGAATCGAACCCAGGGCCTCAGGCATGCAAGGCAAGCACTCTACCACTGAGCCACCTTCCCAGCCCCCTAGTGTCTTTTTATTCCCAGATAAAACAGTTATTCTGAAACTTGTGAACCATTTTCCCATAGAAATGGGTGTTATAGGTTGGCAAAGACATATTTGAGCTGGCAAATATAAAACTACTAAACATTTATGTTCTGTGTTTGCTATTAAACAAAAGTAGAGTGTTAGCTTTGTGTTTTCCCCATAAATGCACTGTTTTTTCTAATTACAAATCCCTTCTACCCTATTTAAGTTCCTCATTCTCTGGATCTTGTGCCCACTCATGATCAGCATCATAAGTATCTACCTTATTTTAAAAATCATAAGGAAATTTTAAAAAAGAAATAAAACGTGAAAAACAGAAAGAAACAAACAAAAAGTACCTATTTTTCTCTAACCCATAGTCAGCCCTGACATAGGGTCTCTTTTCAGTGTGTTACAGACTTGGGATGAGAACCAGCTTGCATAGTGCCACAGATAGACATAATGACATTTTGGACACTAGCTTCATATAGTGACATGGTTCTGCATTATAAGGGGCACAAGTACAATATTGGTCTTTTATGCCCATGGTTCTGCTGCTCATTATCCTCTGTTCCTTTTTCATTTATGTAAACAAGATTCTCTCCATTGTTTCAATTCACTATGGACTCAAAAACAGAAAACCTGATATTTTCTAATGGAAAAATATCTAAAACGTAGTTTCTTTTGTTTGAGATTTCTATGTCTGCTATGTATGTTTCATCTTATATTTTATTTGACTGTCTAGAAACACATATGTATTTAATATATATACATGTTTGTTGTCATATTGGTTTTATACTCACTCTTCAGTATCAATTCCAATTAAAGGAACAGGTAAGACTTCTGAGAGGTCCACACTAAGAGAAAATAAATAGTGAGGCATGACACAAAGTTTTAGCACACATTTTTGGCCAAAGAGCTAGCAACTCTAGACATGAATTTGTTGGGCTTCAGCTATTCATGTTCATATCTGTATCTATCCTTAGTTCATCATTTGTTACAACTACATCTTTGTAAGAAAATAACAAATATCCTAATTCTTTTGAAAACAGTAAACATTTCACCCTTGGAATAGTTATCTGGTTTTATCACAGACTGGCATAGGGCATTTACTTCACATTTCATAGTTATACATATGAGAAATTCACAAGAATTACCAGTCTAAACTCATTACATCATTTACTTTAATTCATCAAGTGTTTTTACTGCCAGTAACATAAAATGAGTCCATAGACTAGATAGGTGAGAGAAAGGGGGGAGGGAGATCCATCTCCATCAACAGGCAGCCAAAAAAACCCATAAACAATAAATTAACAAAAGGCACATAAAAACAAAAACAAAAAAAAACCAGAAAACAGCCGTTATTGTTAGCTCACACCTATAATCCTAACTACTCAGTAGGCTGAGATCTGAGGATCACAATTTGAAGCTAGACCAGACAGGAAAAGTCCATGAGACTCTTATCTCTATTTAATCAGAGAAAAAGCCAGAAGTGGTGTTGTAGCTCAAGTAGTAGAGTGCTAGCTCTGAGCAAAAGGTTAGATAGCACCCAGATCTATAATTCAAGGCCCAGGACCAGCAAAAAAAAAAAAAAGGATAATGTGAAGAATATCAGAGGTAGAATACTTAGTTCAGATACTGACTATCTAATGGATTAAACTTAAAAACCCTTACTCAAATGATAACTCTCTAGAAGCCACTCATTTCGTAAGTAAAGATTTACAAAGACTTAATTGAAGCAAGGGAAGAGCATTTTCCCTGGAAAGGAAACCAGGAACAATCAAGAGTCCCTGTGTTTCCTTGAAAAAAAGAGATTCTGTATCAAAAGCTGGATAATAATAATAAAGAACAAAGACAGACATTATCCAAAAAATGGAAAATAGTAATTTTAAACATACAGGCATTCACTACAAGACAAAGCTTCTACGTAAAACCAAAATCATTCAATGCAAAAGGAGACATAGACTCAAATATGATGGAAGTTGGGAGAACCAATACCAACTGTTAACCAGGAAGGATCATTCAAACAATAAGTCAATCACAAAACATCACAGTATACTCTAAACCAAAGTGGTCTAAGAGACACTTAAAACATTTCATCCAAAGGGGAGACCTTGATCAAGATGCACTGTGTTCATAAACTGATGGATTGAATGGTGACCTCTTTGTACAGCACTTCAGAATTTTGCTCTTCTCCTTTTACTGGGCCATTCCCCAGGATAAATGGTTCTTTGTGCAATAAACCATTTTCCAATAAAGTTTCAAAAGTTGAAATTGTTCTCTATATCAACCACATCAATGAAACAAAAGTAGAAAACAAAGACGTAAGAAATTATATAAACACATGCAAGTTACATGATATCTACTCAACTTTTGAGACAATTCATAAAAAATAAACTTTCTCAAACGAATGAAAATGAAAACATAGTATTGCAAACACACTCATTTCCACATGTAAGCTCAAGTAAATCTCAAAGAAATACTAGGAGGTATAGCAGTCATGGCATCACCAAGGCATGTGAGGAGAATCAAGAGGATGTTAATAAATAAAGATGTGTTTGTAAATAGAATAATTCCCTCAACAGCAAAGACTAGAAATCATGAATTCACAAATGTTAAAATATCAAGTGAAAATACTATTGGATATTCTGACAGAAACCAATGATAAATAACTAAGATCATGGCAATGCTAATTATGCAATCTGATCATCACACTTAGTGGACCAAGTGTTTAAACTCTTATAGTACACACTAGACACATGTCCACCTACTACATGTCAGTAAAAAGGAAAACATATTTTTTAAAGCTAAGGCAGAATCACATTTGTACAAATGAAGGAAAATGGTACAATGCTGTGACCACATGCCACAAGGAGAGGATAAAGAAACACGAACAATGACATTCTGTACTGCAATTCATCTCACCATAAATTTTCAAATTCATCTTCACCTTTCTTGATGTGTTGTTGTAGGAGCCAGATTTCATATATATGTATTATAAGTACATGTTCATGAACATATATATATATATATATATATATATATATAGTCCACCCATTTTACTTCATGTCTATTTTATGGATTCATTTATCTCTCACTTTTTTATTTTATTATTTTATTATGAAAATACCATACAGAGGAGTTACACTTACATGGGGCTCTCACCTTTTATTTAGAACTAACATCTCTTGTGCCCATTCATCTGAAGGCCTGTGGGATTTAAAGTACATAGACTCAGACACCACATGATTGCTACGCTTCACATTCTAGTTCTACTTACTCTGCTGCTTATATATGTTCATGGAATTTCATTCTCTTGTAAATCAGTTTTTGAGACTTCACTACTTTTCAGTAGAGGTTAGTTTTTATAGATTCATTAGCACATGTTATTGGGAAACAGTTCAATTCAAACTTTCTGTTCTATATTTCACAAATATATTAAATCGAATGTCATGTTGTTATGGTTTTAGTTTCTCCCAATTCAACTCAACTGCTTAGGTAAAAATCCCTTCTACTCTAGGTAATTCTCTGCTGCACAAGTCTATGCACATTTCTTATGTTTGTGATCCTAACACACAAAATTTTAAAAATCACAGGTCTCTGTGAACACAGTATGCAGGGTTTCAGTTGAAAACCAACCACCCATGTGGCAGCTCTATATTAATAATAGTTTGGGGCACCAGCCTTACATAGTGACAGAGCCCTATATAACAAGGAACACATGTGTCATCTCTGGTATGTGATGCTCAGGTTGTACTGCTCCCTAGCTATCCCTTCCTCTGCTATGCTACAAATAGGATTGCCTCCATTGATCCAATCCATTATAAACTCACAAATAGGAAGCCTGATGTTTTTAAGAGACTGCTTGTTATTAGAAGTAACAAAAGGACTTACTACAGTAGATTACAGATTCTAATAGCCTTTTCCTTTCTGACCCCATGTGAGCATAATAGAAATCATTTACATAACTCTCAGTGGAACCATCTAAATAGACTTTCAAAGATACAGTGTAATCTCAAGGTTCTTTGGAAGATAACTTTACAAATTCCAATCCTGTTTCACCACCTTTTCCATCTTTGTTACTGCAGTTGGATGACAGGGCATCCTCCTTGCTGGCTAGGCAAGTGATTTACTACCTCAGCGATGGCCCAAGTCCTTTTTTGCTTTAACTATATTTTCAGATAAGGTTTTCCTTTTAGGTCTGGAGGAGACTTTAGACAATGGTCTGATTACCTAATTTCCTGGGGAGGAAATTAGTTAGTCCATATTAGGCTCATTGGTTGAGATGAGGCTCAATTATTCAACTACTGGACAAGCTGGCTTCTAAATGAGATTACCCCAAGTTTCCACTTCTCAGACGGCTAGTGTTAAAGGCATTTGTGACAAGCAGACCCTTCAGACATTTCTGACAGACATTTTAATTTTACTAGTAGTACTGCTGTTTGAACACAGGGTCTTTCACATTCTGACACTCTCTGTATCACACTTGCCCCAAGTCTTTTCTATTTTTGTTTCTTTTGTCCGAGTTCAGTTGCAGACCTATGTTTGCAAACACATATGTGTTCCTATGTCTGTCCATACATACATGCAGAAATATATACATATATACTTAGGTGTTTATATAGTTGGCATAAACACTCATGTAATTGGCATACACACTGTCTATCCATATACTTTATGTGTTTATTTGTATCTCACCTTTCTCGACCATATGCACATTCATAAGGAGATGGCCTATAGGAATTAAAAATACACATAGTGAGATCTCATATGACTTCCTAGAATTCACATTCTACTTTCAATTACTCTGCAGATCATACACAAGTGGACTTTAATTTTTTTGACATAACTTTCATTCTCTTCTCAGTCTATATTTGGAATAAAGTAATCTACAAACCTCTCAGTTAAAACATTAAAACACCTGGTCAAAGATCTTCTTTTCCTTTCCCTCCTAGTCTGTGTTGGTTTTATTTGTTTCATGTCATTTTTCTTTTTCTTTCTTTTTTTCTTCCTTCTTTCCTCCCATTTTTTCTCTTCTTCCTTCATTCCTTTTTCCTCCCTTCCTCACTCTCCCTTATTCCCTTATTTCGTTCTCTGTATGGGGTGCAGAGGATACTGCGGTTTGAAGACAGATCCCTTGTTTACTAGCCAGGTGCTCTACAACAATACCCTGGTCTCATTCCTTGGTGCTGTTCTAGAGATGTTTGTCATAGAGTTTGCTGTTTGGAACAGGTCTGACCCTATAACACAATTTCCTAAGTTTCCTAGTAGCTGAGATCTCAGGCCGGAACTACTCTCCTTTTTGATTGAGATTTCTATGTTTGTTTTGTGCTATGTATGTTTCATCTCAAATTCTACCTGTCTAGACACATGTATGCATTGAAAATATATACATGTTTAGTTGTCATATTGGTTTTATACTCACTCATCATCTCCAATTCCAAGGAGAGGAACAGGTAAGACTTCTGAGAGGTCCACGCTGAGAAAATAAATAGTGAGACATGACACAAAGTTTTAATACACATTTTTGGCCAAAGAGCTAGCAACTCTGGACATGACAGGTTGAGCTTTAACTACTTAGGTTCATACTTGCATCTGTACTTAGGTTATCACTTATTACAATTACACATTCTAAGATAATAACATATCCTAAGGCCTGTGAAATTAATAAACATTTCTCATTTGGAATATTTCTATAGTATTACCATAAACATTACTATGGGACATCTATTTTACATTTCACTACAGGTTGTAGATATGAGAATTCCAGAGATATTACCCACTCTAAAGTCATTCCATCATTTACTTTCATTTGTCAAGTGCTATTACTGCCAGTCTCATAGGGAAAATACATAGACCAGATAGACAAAAGAAGAGAGATTCAAACCTGATCAATGCACACAGCCATAAAACAATAAATATGAACAAGAAAGGCTCAAAGAGACAGGAAAAAGTTACAACAACGTTAGGAATATGTCTTTACTAAACATGCAGAGCCAAACCTTATTACAGATAGAGACTGTCTAGTGGATTAAATTTAAATACCCTTGACCCAATGATACACTTACTACTAGACACTTATTTCACCAGTAAAGACTTAGAAAATGAGCTGGGTACCAGTAACTCATGGCTGAAATCCTAGCTATTCAGGAGGCTGAGATCTGAGGATTGCGGTTCAAAGCCAGCCTGGGCAAGAACATCTGTGAGACTCTTATCTCCACTAAACCACTCAGAAAACCGGAAGTGGTGCTGTGGCTCAAGTGGTACAGCACTAGCCTTGATCTGAAGAGCTGAGGGACAGTGCCCAGGCCCAGAGTTCAAGCCCCATGACGACAAAAATAAAAAGACTTAGAAAACAAAAATTGAAGCAAGCAAAAAGTATTTAACATGCAAATGTATATCAAATGTAGTAATTTTTCTATATGAGAAAAAATAGAAAGACAGTATTACATTATCTAAAGATGGTCAATGGGAAATAATTGTAAATATACAGGCACTCACTGAAGGATAGTGCTACTACATAAAACCAGCATCAAACTTTAGCTGTGCTGTCAACTTTGGAAAAAGTATCCCAGTTTACCGTGTTGAGTTGGCATTGTACAGAAATTAATAGCCATATTGGTCTAGAAATGTTAAACTTAATTTTTTCCCATTTGTACAGGGGTAAACGCACTGTATTAAATATGTAAGGTCTTATCTACGTGGGTTTGATTACAGAAACTAATAAAGTATTCTCTAAATAATAAAAAAAAAAAATAATAAAACCAGCATCATTCACTGTAAAATGAGACCTAGACTGAAACACAATAGGAGTCGGCAGCATCAATATCAGCTGTTAGCATGAAGGATCACTCAGACAATAAGTTAATCACAGAATATCACTATTTACTATACATCAAATTGGTCTAAAATACATTTGTAGAGGTGACATCAAGCAAGATGTATTTTACTCATAAACGAATTGGCTGAATAGCAATTCCTTTGTATAATACTTCTAAATAATGCCGTCCTCTTCCTTTGTGGAGAATTCTTTAGGATAGACTACTTTACCAACAAATCATTTTTCAATAAAGTATTAAAATGTGAAATTATTATCAATATCTTACTCACCAATGAAATGAAATAAGAAAAGAAGGATTTTAGAAATTAGATGACCAAAGGACTGATGAAGAAATCATAAAGGAAACCAAACTTTCTGAAATTGATGAAAATGAAACATTGTATTCCAAAAAAATCTCACTTCCACTGGCAGTTTACAAATTGATCTCAAAGAAATCCAAGATAGAAAAGCGGTCACGGCATGACCAGAGTATGTGAGGAGAATGGAAAGGAATGTTAATACAGATATGTTTATGAGCAGAAGGAATAACTCCTCCAATAGCAAAGAAGGACATCTAGGCTATAAATTATGATTACAAAAATTTCAAAATATAAGGGCAAATAACATTAAACATTCTGTCAGAAACCAATGATACATAATTAAGATCACAGAAATGCCAATTATGCAATCTGATCATCACACTGTGTACTGTGTTGAACTCTTACACTACATATACATACAGCCATCTAAAAGCATTTAAAAGCAAAACATATTTATAAGAGCTAATCAAGAATCACATGTTAAACATTTATCCAAATAAGGCAAAATGTACAAAGGTATGACTACATGCCATAATCAGAACATGAAGAAACAAAACTAGTGAATTCTGTACTGAATTTTTTCTCACCATTAATTCCCCAAATTCATCTTCACCTTTCTGCCTGTTTTTATATGTGCCAGATGTCATATATATGTACTACATGTGCATGTTTATGTACACATATATACTTGTTGTATGTTATATTTAGGATATCTATCTATCTGTCTTTTAGCTCTCACCTTTTATTTAGAATTAACATCTCATGTGCCCATTCATCTGAAGGCCTGTGGGATTTAAAAGTACATAGACTCAGACATCACATGATTGCTATGCTTCACATTCTAGTTCTACTTACTCTGTAGCTTATATACTCCAGTGGAATTTCATTCTCGTGTAAATCAGTTTTTTGAAACTTTACTACTTTTCAATAGAGGTTAGTTTTTATGGATTCATTAGCATGGGAAATGATTCAAGCTTTCTGCTCTATAGTTCACAAACATATAAAATGAGAGTGTCACACTGTTATAGTTTTAGTTTCTCCCAGTTCAACTCTATTGCATAGGTAAAAATCCCTTTCCCTACTGTGTAAGTTCCCTGCACACACTTCTTATGTTCATCATAACAGCCTACCTTGCTTTAACAAAAAGTATAATCCTGAAGCAAGGGCTCTGAACAAAGTGTGAAGGGTTTCAATTGAGAACCACCCATCCACATGGCAGAGCTCTATATTAATAAGGATTTGGAGCACCAGCCTCACTTAGGGACAGAGCCCTGGATGATGAGGGTCACATGTTTCATCTACGGTATGCAGTGCTCAGGATGTACTGCTCTATATCTATCATTTCTTCCTCTTTGCTCCAAACAGGATTGCTTCCATGGGTCCAGTCCAATAAAACTCACAAATAGAAGCCTGGTATTTTCTAAGAGATTTTGTTATTAAGAGTAACAAAAGGAATTTGCTACAGTAGATTACAGATCCTAATAGCCTTTTCCTTTCTTACTCCATTTGATTGAAATATAGAAATCATCTACAGAATGCTCAGTGGAAGCATCTATATAAAATTTCAAAGATACACTGTACTCTCAAGGTTCCTCAAAGGATAACTTTACAAATTCCAATCATGTTTCACCCTTTGTTTTATTAGTTGGTACTGCAGCTGGATGTCAGGCTAAGCAAGGGCTCTACCATCTGAGCTATGACCTAAGTTCTTTGGTGCTTTAGACATGTTTTCAGACAAGGTCTTCCTTTTAGGCTGGAAGTGACCTCAGATCACAATCTGATTTCTTATGCTGTTATAAGGAGTGGGGGAAACACACCAGTGAGCTCACATGTCAGGCTCATTGGTTTAGGAGAGGGTCTCAATAACTGTTCACAAAATGGCTTGTAAATGAGATTAATTGCAGGTTCCACTTTCCACATAGCTGGCATTAAAAGCATGGATGACAAGAACCACCTTCCTGATAGATAGGTCCTTAATTTTACTAGTGGTACTGTGGGGAAATCTGTGGGGAACACAGGTAGCAAAGATGGCCCTGAGAGGAAATTGAGTGGGCAGAGCCGGATTTGTTTAGGTTCAGTGTGTAAACAACTCATGGAAGCTTAGGTGCAAGATAAGGTATGGCCTTTCAGTGATTGGTTGGTTCCATTTCCTCCCCTCCCACGCACTCTTTTACTTTAAAAGGGGATGCTCCCCGTTAATAAACGAGTTCCTGCTTGACTTGACTCCCTGCTGCGTCTGATTGTCTCGCCGCACTTACCTTTCCTCGGACCCCGTCTGTCTTTTGTGGGACGGACGAAGACCCAACATCTGGCGCCCAACGTGGGGCTCGAAAGGAAAAGATACCGGCCGAGGCTAAGCAGTCTTTCGGGGTAAGTGAAACCCTAAATATGGGTAATGCTATATCACAGACGAAGGAGGAGGAGGAGGCAACATTAGGCCTAGAAAGAGTACAGGAAGACTTGGAAAGTGAAAAGGAAAAGGTCAAACTCGACTGGGAACGCACTACCCGTGCATGCAGGGGCAGAGACTCAGGTGCCCCGGATGGTCCTAGGCCCCCTTCCTATTCCCCTGATTGGAAGGGAGGTACTGTGGCCTACGAGACCTGCGAAAAGGACTTCCAAGTCCCAGACCCCTACCACATGGAGGGGCTGAGGGCTGGGGAAGTAACCTACTTGGAGACCTCCTCTGGAAAGGAAGGGCCACCCAAGAGCCCTGGAAAGGAAGGGCCACCCAAGAGCCCAGACTCTCGGCCAAGGATTCACTTCCCCAAGCGTATCCGATCATCAATGTGGCATCAGGGGCTAACAGGCCCTTGGAATGGTATCCATGGGAAGCTAAGGATCTTAAAGAGCTTTACCAGACGGTGGCGGAGGATGGCCCAAACTCTCCCTGGGCCACAGCACATACAGGAGAAAGGACTAAACATTCACAAGCACATTTTCTTTAATGGTTTGCCATCTTGGGTCTACTAGCACAAGTTAAAACCTATAATGGACCCTGTTTTGTCAGTAAAACAATGTCAGAGTTTTTTGACAAATGGCATATTAATCATAGTACAGGAATTCCCTATAATCCCCAAGGCCAAGCAATTATAAAAAGAAATCACCAATGTCTTAAGGAGCAATTAAAACAAAAAGGGGGAGTTAGCCCCCTATATACAGTTAACATTTTCAATTTTTCAAAAGGGGCAACTGACTGGGGACAACTAAACCCTAAGCCCCGAGTGAAAGTCAGGTGGAAGGACCCCCTGACACAACAATGGAGAGGACCTGACCCCCTAGTTACCATGGGCAGGGGATTTGGATGCATTTTTCCCATAGGGGAGATAGCCCCCATTTGGATTCCTGCTAGAAACCTTAAGTTTTTACCCATTTCCTCTACACAGGAGGATGCCCAGGGATAAACTAACCATCCCCAAGGGCAACCAGCCCTTGAGAAGCTCTTGTGTTCTTTAACAATTGCAGATGGTGATACTCCAGCTGATGGCTGTCCTGACCCTCCCAGTCCCTGAAATGGCTACGGAATTCACATCAACCTCAATGGGTGACCTGGGCAGCGTTCAGCACTGGCAATGCAGAAATCATCAATAGTACCACAAGAGAAGCTGTCCCTTCGACCTGGTGGCCTGACCTTCATTTTGATCACCACCCTGTGTCATTACGTATGGACTGTTCAAAACATATTTTTGTAGGAGCTATCTATTTTAATGTTACCTGCTCTAATTGTTCTTTTACTAATTGCTTATACAACCACCTTTTGTTATGCGTCCTGTAAATATGTCTAAAACCTACTCTAGAACAAGCCCCACCTCTGGACTACAAAGACTGCTATCCCATTCCTAAAGTTAAAGGGCTAATGACATTGCTTGGCCTGGGAATGCTTTTGCTGATGCTTTTTCTATGCCTTCCTTACATTATACGTGCACTGCAAAACTCTTATGAGCTTATCCAGCCAGTTACATAAGATCAAGCTCCAAGTGAATAAATTTCCCCCGAGAGGAACCGCAGCCAGAGACGGGTAAGAGGGGGTGCCAGTCTGACCAACCTAAGACAGGGCCTTCAGCTTTGCTCTGAAGAAGTTCCCGATGACGGGTAAGACAGACAAGGCGATCTACCCAACCTAAGACAGGCGGGTTCACTTGTTTAGACAAAGACGGGGTGTTGGGAGCTGACAGTAAAGCTTAAAGGTCATCTTGACCCCTGTGCTCGCTTGAAGGCACGTACAAGGAACTGGCTTACTTGAAAGACATCAGGTGCCCGGGATTGCTTTGCTATGTCTGCACAGTTTGTTTTAAATTTTACTGTTTGGGACATTTCAAACTCTAACTGTGGTGGGGCTAATGTTTATTATTGTGATAGGTGGGGATGAGAAGTAACTGGGATGGGCTCTTCAGACTTGCCTCCAACCCCGTTCGTGGCCAAATGTAATCCTGTTAAAATAACCTTTACAGAGGAGCAGAAAAGGATAACTAACTGGGAGGTGGATCTGCCATTAAAACAAAAAGGGTGAATATGTGGGGAAATCTGTGGGGAACACAGGTAGCAAAGATGGCCCTGAGAGGAAGTTGAGTGGGCAGAGCCGGATTTGTTTAGGTTCAGTGTGTAAACAACTCATGGAAGCTTAGGTGCATGATAAGGTATGGCCTTTCAGTGATTGGTTGGTTCCATTTCCTCTCCTCCCACCCAGTCTTTTGCTTTAAAAAGGGGATGCTCCCTGTTAATAAACGAGTTCCTGCTTGACTTGACTCCCCGCTGCGTCTGATTGTCTCCTGGGCTAAGGGAGGCTGGGGAACCAGCAAGAGGCCGCACTTACCTCTCCTCAGACCCCGTCCATCCAAAGACAGACGAAGACCCAACAGTGGTACTGCTGTTTGAACACAGGGTCTTTCATGTTCTTACACTCTATATATCTATATCACACATACCACCAGTCCTTGTTTGCTAGTATTGTTTGTGTCCAAGTATTTAGTTCAGGGCATAAGTATGTAAATATGTATGCATCTGTACATATATATGTATACAAACATATATATTTATACATAGGTATGTATATAATTGGCATAAACTTCTACATGCACACTTTTCTATCCATATATATATATATATATATATACATATATATATATATATGTATATATATATATATATATATATATATATATAAAACGGGTGTATTTGTATCTCACCTCTCACGACCCTTAGAAATTTCATATGGACATGGCCTATAGGAACAAAAAAATACATACAAGTCAGATATCACAGGACTTCCTAGAATTCACATTCTGGTACAAATTATTCTGCAGATCATACACTAGTGTAGTTTTATTTAAGTTTTACATATATCTGTTTCTCTTCTCACCCTTTATTTGGAACAAGGATAGCACTAAAGTTTCAGGTCATTAAAGAGGCATACTTGGTCATAAAATACTGACAATAACATGAACCACTTTTTCATAGAAATGAGTGTTATTAATTGGTAATGGACATATTTAGTCTGGGAGAATACAAAACTACTGAACACTTATGTTCTGTGTTTGCTACTAAACAAAAGCAGAGTGTGTTTCCCCATAAGTGCACAAATCTCTTCTACCCTAAGTTCCTTATTGGCCAGTCCTTGTGCCCTCTTCTTATGTCCAGCATCATAAATACCTATCTGTCCTAACGCATGGTCAGGCTGAGGTAGGGTCTTGTATAGTGTCAGAGCTAGACAGAATGACTTCACAGTGACAAGAGAACTTTATTATAAGGGACACCTCTATGAGCTAGGTCTTTTATGCACACGGTTCCGTTGTTCATTATCCTCTGTTTTTCTTTTTCTTTCTTGCAAACATGATTCCTCCTTTGATCCAATCCACCAGAGACTCAAAAGTAGGAAACCTGATATTTGCTAAAGGAATACATAGTAGAAGCATACTTCTCATGACCTATTTCTTTCTTATCATTGATGTTATGCTAACAGAAAATTATCCACAAATGTCTCGTGAAAGCACTTAGGACACCTTGTTAAAGAAAATAAGGGACTTTGGGGCTGGGAAGGTGGCTCAGTGGTAGAGCGCTTGCCTTGCATGCTTGAGGCCCTGGCTTCAATTCCTCAGCACCACATAAGCAAAAGGAAAAAAGCCAGAAGTGGTGCTGTGGCTCAAGTGGTGGAGCGCTAGCCTTGAGCTGAGGGACAGTGCCCAGGCCCAGAGTTCAGGCCCCACTACCAGACCCCCCCCGCCAAAAAAAAAAAGAAAGAAAATAAGGGACTCTTTTCAGGATGATTTCACACATCTTAACCCCTTTTTCCTTTCACTCCTAGTCTGAGTTGGGTTTTTTAAATTTGTTTCTTGTCTTTTCTTTTTCCTTCCATTCTCTCCTTTTCTTTCTTTTTTTCTTTTCTCTTTCCTTCCTTCCTTCCTTCCTTCCTTCCTTCCTTTTCTTCCTTCGATCTTAGCTTCTTACTTGCTTCACTCCCTACTTACTTCCTTATACCATTCTGTTTTGGGGGACAGCAATTGCTCTGGTTTGAATATAGATCCCTTATCTACTAGCCAGTTGCTCTAACACAGCATCACAGCTTTATTTTTGGTGCTAATCTAGGGAGTTTTTGATAAGGATTCCTGTTTGGATCAGGTCTAACACTAGATTAACATCTTCCTAAGATGTTTCCTAGTAGCTGAGATCTCAGGCCTGCAACACTCTTTTTTGTTCAATTATTTTAACATCTCTATGTCTGTGTTATGTGTATGTATGTTTCATCTCATACTGTCATATGTTTCATCTCTGACTGTCAAGAGACATGTATGTGTTGAGTATATAAACATATTTAATGGTCATATTGGTTTTGCACTCACTCATCAGTTAGGATTCCAAGGAGAGGTACTGGTAAAACTTCAGAAAGATCCACACTAAGAGAAAATATATAGTTAGGCATGTCACAAAGTCTTAGCACATATTTTTAATCAAAGAACTAGCGACTCTAGACATGAACAGGTTGGGTTGTAGATACTCATGTTCATATTTCCATCTGTACATAGTTCATCATTTATTTACAACTGAATCTTTAGAAGATAATAATATATCCCAATGCCTGTGAAATTAGTAAACATTTCACCTTTTGAATAGTTCTCTCTAGTATTACCATAGACTGGCATGGGGAATTTATTTCACATTTCACTACAGGTTTTACATATGAGAACTCCACAGATATTAGCAATTCTAAGGTCAGTCTTTCATTTACTTTCATCTTCAAGTGCTTTTTACTGCCAGTCACATTGGGTGAGTCCATAGACCAGATAGGAAAAAGAGACAGGATTTAATCTGTAACTGTAGAGACAGCCATAAAGCCATAAAGTTGAATGTGAAGGAACAAAGGACACATTAAAAAAACAAATAACATACGACTTGAGAAATACGTATTTAGTGAACAATAAGAGCCCTAACTCTATCTTAGTTACAGATTGTCTAAAGGATTAAACTAAAAAACCCTTGACCCAATGATACACTTCCTACTAGACATGTATTTTACCAGTAAAGTCTTAGAAAGACTGAAACTAAAGCAATAGGACTGCTTTACATTTCCTGAAAACATAAATCAGCAGCAATCATAAGTCACAGTATTTATACAAGAAAAAACAGCCTCTATCACAAAAAATCCCCTATATAATGACACAAAGAAAGACAGGACATTATTCAAAAAGTGTCAGTAGAAAATAATAATTTTAAATATACAGTCACTCACTGACAGACAATGCTACTATATAAAAACCAACATCATTCAATGTAAAAGTACATATCAACTCAAACACAATAAAAGTTGGCAGCATCAGTACCCACTGTTGCCAAAAAAAGGATCTTTCAGACAACAAATCAATCACAAAACATTATAGTATATTGAAAACCAAATTGACAAAAGATACTTAAAATATTTCATCTAAAGGGATGGGTTCAATCAAGTTGCATTGAATTCACTGAATGACTGCATTGAATGGATTGCAATTCTTTCATCTTTCTTCTGGAGTATTTTCCAGACTGTCTTTATCTGAAAAATCATTTTCCAATAAAGTACTAAAAGTTGAAATTATTTTCTATATCTTATTCACTAATGAAATGAAAGTATAAGGGCTGGGAATGTGGCTTAGTGGAGAGTGCTTGCCTAGTATGCAAGAGGCCCTGGGTTCAATTCCTCAGTAGCACATAAACAGAAAAAACTGGAAGTGGTGCTGTGGCTCAAGTTGTAGAATGCTAGCCTTGAGCAAAGGAAGCTCAGAGACCATGCTCAGGCTCTGAGTTCAAGCCCCAGAAAAGTAGAAAACAAATACATTAAAAAATTTATAAGCACACATAATGTACATAATATTCATTGGAACTTCCAAAGGACTGATGAAATCATGAAGAAAATACAAACTTTCTCAGACTAATGAAAATGAAAACATATTATTGTAAACACACTTCCATGTGGATCTTAAAGCAATACAAGCTGGTCTCAAAGTAATAATAGTCATGGCCTGAACAGGATATGCAAGAAAAACGGAGAGGGATATTACTATATAGAGATGTGTTTCTGAGAAGAAAGAATGACTCCTTCAAGAGCAAAGAAGAGTATCTATGCTAGAAAAAAATGAATTCAAAATTTTCTAAGTGCCATATGAAAATACTATTGAATAGTCTGGCAGAAACCAATTATAAATAAAATCACAGAAATGCCAATTATGTAAACTGATCACCTCAGTGTATTAAGTGTGTCAAACTCTTATACTACACACTACACAAATGGGTACCTACTACATGTCAATTCAAAAGATAAACATCTATTAAAGCTAAACTAGAAATGCCTAACATTTATGTAGTACAATGGTACAATACTGGGACCACAGGCCACAAGGATAGCATAAAGAAACACAATGACATTCTGTACTACAATTCATCTCTCCATCAACTTCTCAAATTCATCACCTTTTTCGGTGTGTTGTTGTATGAGCCAGATTTCATATGTATGTATTGTAAGTGTATGTTCACACATACACACACACACACATACATACACACTGGTATTTAAGATAACCATCCATCCATTTCACTGCATGTCTATTTTATGGACTCATTTATCTCTTACCTTTTGTTCAGTGCTGACAACTCAAGTGCCCATTCAGATGATGTCCTATGGGATTTAAAAAGAATATAGACTCAGATATCACATGATTGCTACACTTCACATCTGGTTCTACTTACTCTGCTACTTATATACTCTAATGGAAGTTCATCCCCATGGTTATCAGCTTTTTGAAATTTTACTACTTTTCAAGAGGTTAGTTTTTATTCATTAGCACATATTATTCAGGAAATAGTTCAATTCAAGCTTTCTGTTCTATATTTCACAAATATATTAAATAAAAATGTCACATTGCTATGGTTTTAGTTTCTTCCAGTTCAACTCAACTGCCTAGGTAAAAATCCCTTCTACTCTAGGCAATTCTCTGCTGCACAAGTCAATGCACACTCTTAAGTTTATGATCCTAAAAGTTTGTCTTGCTTTAACACAAAATAAAAATTGTATGTCTCTGTGAACAAAGTGTGCAAGATTTCAGTTGAAAACTAACTACCCATATGGAAAAGCTCTATGCTCCTCTTGGCTCCTCCTCCTCTAGGCTCCAAACAGGATCACCTCCTTTGGTCCAATCCATAAGAGATTCACAAATAGAAAACCTGGTATTTTCTAAAGGATTGTCTGATATTAGGAGTAACAAAACCACTGATTAAAAACAGATTACTTGGGCTGGGAAGGTGGCTCAGTGGTAGAGTGCTTGCCTTGCATGCATGAGGCCCTGGGTTCGATTCTCCAGCACCACATAAGCAAAAAGGAAAAAAGCCAGAAGTGGTGCTGTAGGTCAAGTGGTGAAGTGCTAGCCTTGAGCTGAAGAGCTGAGGGACAGCGCCCAGGCCTAGAGTTCAGGCCCACAACTGGACCCAAAAAACAAACAAACAAACAAACAAAAAAACCAGATTACTTTAATGAAATTTCCCTTTCTGACTCCATTTGATCAAAATATAGAGATCATCCACGATCTCTCAGTGAAACCTTTCAAAGACACACTGAAATCCCAAGTTTCTCTAGGAGACAACTTTACAAATTGCAATCTTGTTTCACCATTTTTTCATTACTTGGTACTATAGTTGGATGACAGTGTGTCCAGCCTGCTTACAAGACATGGGCTCAACCCCCGATTTATGGTCCTTTTGTGCTTTGCCTGTGTTTTCAGGTAGAGTCTCCTTTAAGGCCTGGAAGTGACCTCAGCCCATATTCTGATTCCTATGCTGCTAGAAGGGGTGGAGGGCAATACAACACTAAGCTCAAAGGACAGATCCATTGTTTCAGATGAGGGTCTCAGTAACTGTTTACAATATGGCTTGTAAATGAGATTACTCCCAATTTCCAATTCCCACCCAGCTGGCATTAAAGGCATGTGGGACAAGCAAACCCTTCCTGAAAGACATGTCCTTAATATTTTTGAACTCTGGGCCCGGGCACTGTCCCTGAGCTTTTGTGCTCAAAGCTAGTGCTCTATCACTTGGAGCCACAGTGCCACTACTGGTTTTCTGGTGGTTACTTGGTGATAAGGGTTTCACAGACTTTCCTGCCCAAGCTAGCTTTGAACCATCATCCTTAGATCTCACCTCCTGAGAGCTAGGATTACAGGTATGAGCCACTGGCTTCTGGTTGACATGTCCTTAATTTTACTAGTGGTACTGCTGTTTGAACACAGGGTCTTTCATGTTCTGACACACACTGCATTACACATACCACCAGTCCTTGCTTGTGATTTCTGTTTATGTCCAAGTATTCAGTTCCAGTCATATATTTATGAATACACATGTCCATATATACACACATAAACTTCTATATGTATACTTGTCTATCCATACACTTTATGGGTTTATTTGTATCTTACCTTCTGCCTTCAGGAAATGAATGCAATTCATAAGTAGATATACTATAGGAATTAAAAAGAATACGGTCAGTTATCACCTGACTTCCTAGAATTCACATATTGATTTAAATTACTCTACAGGTCATACACCAGTGGACTTCAATTTTTTAAACCTATGTTTTCCATTCTCTTTTCATCCTTTATTTGGAGCCTAAAATATCAGATCATTAAATAAATGTGCTTGGTCATAAAATACTGATAATAAACATGAACAAATTCTGAGAGTGAGTGGGTTTCCAGTTCACTGAGTTGGAAGAGATTCCTCTTCCAAGTACAAGATTCTCGCCAAAGGAGAAGAGAACCACATTACTCAGTGAGCCACAAAGTATTTGGGCTTCAACTCAGGGAAATGAATGTTGGTCAAACAATCATGTTCTTCATCACAGAAAATCAAATCCATCAAGTTTTCAAAATCATTGTTGATAGCAGAGTACAAGTAACTACAGACTTACTCATTGATCTCTAAGATGATTACAGTGTCCTCCACTCATGTGGTGGGAAATCATCAGAGGGACTGGTGAAGCAAGGAGCCTTTCATTTGCTCCCACTCAGCAGTGCATTTATATTCTCCAGTAAATCAGTTATTCTGAAACTTGTGAACCACCTTCCCATAGAAGTGTTACTGAGTGGGAATGGACATATTTGGAATGGGAAAATATTAACCTACTGAACATTTTGTTCCATGTTTGCTACTAAAAAAAGTAGAGTGTTAGCTTCTGATTTTTCCCCTGTGTGTTCTAAATTCAATCCCTCCTACCTATATAAGTTCCTGATTCTCCAGTCATTATGCCTGCTTCTTAAGTCCAGCATCATAAATGTCTATCTTGCTCTAACACAGGGTCAGGCCTAAAGTATGGTCTCTTTTAGGTATGTTACAGACTTGGGATGAGAACAAGCCTTGTAAAATGTCAGAGCTAGAGATAATAATATTTTGGACACTAGCTTCACACAGTGACAGGATTCTACATTAAAAGGGACACGTGCATGAGCTAGATCTTTTATGCACAAGGTTCTGTTGCTCACCATTATCTATTTCTCTTACTTTTTCATTTCTGTAAACAGGATTCTCTCCTTTGGCCCAATCCACTGAAGACTCAAAAGTAGGAAACCTGATATTTTCTAAAGGAATATGTTACTAAAATGACCAACACAGAAGAAGTATATGGGCTGGGAATGTGGCTTAGTGGTAGAGTGCTTGCCTAGCATGCATGAAGCCCTAGGTTCGATTCATTAGTACCACATAAACAGAATAGGCTGGAATGTGCTGTGGCTCAAGTGGTAGAGTGCTATCCTTGAGCAAAAGAAGCTCAGGGACAGTGCTCAAACCTTGAGTTCAAGCCCTAGGACGAGCAAAACAAAACCAAAAAGAAGTATACGTCTCATGACATATTGCTTTCTTATCCTCATTGATCTAATGATAATAAAGTCATCCACAAATCTCTCAGTGAAAGAATCTATACTCCTTGTCAGAGTGTGTATAATGTCCAGAGATTCTTGATGAACACTTCACACATCTCAACCTCCTTTTTCCTTTTGCTCCTAGTTTTTAAGTTCCTTTCTTTTCTCTTCCTTCTTTCCTTCCAATTATTCATTCTTTCTTTCTTTTCCTTCCATTTTCCTTCTTTCTTTCCTACTGTCCTTTCTTTCCTGTTTTCCTTCTTTCTCTTTTTGGAGACAGGGTGACTGTGGTCCCTTGTCTACTAGCCAGGTATGCTACAACAGCATCATTTCATCATTCTTAGGCATTGCTCAAGGAATGTTTTTCATAGGGTTTCCTTTTGGGGTCTGGTCTGGCAGCAGATCCCAATCTTTCCATGTTTTCTAGTTCCTGAGATCTCAGACATGCACAACTATGGCTTTTGTTTTAGATACCTATATAAGTATATTATGTGTGTGTGTCTATGTTTCAATTCATTCTATCTGACTCTCTAGAATCATGGATGTGTGTGTGTGTGTATTCAGTTGGCATATTGGTTTTGCTACTCACTTTTCACTTCCAATATGAGAAATTTCAGAAGGCTTCACACTAAGAAAAAATATATAGCAGATATAACACACATTTTACCACATTTATAGCTATAGCTAATGCTTCTAGACATGAACTGGTTGGGCTTAAGCTACTCATGTTCATGTTTGCATCTATTCTTAGTTCATATTTTAATAAAACTGTATTATCTTTATAAGAAAACACATTTTCTACAGCCTATGAAATCAGTAAACATTTCACACTTAGAATAGTTCTCTAGTGTTAACATAGATATTACCATTGGACATTGACTTCAAATGCCACTACATGTTGTACACATGAGAATTTCACAGACATTATCAATTCTAAAGTCATTCCATCATTTACTTTCATTCATCAAATGTTTTCACTGCCAATCACATAGGGTAAGTCCATAGACCAGCTAAGCAAAAGAGAAGAGACTCACTCATCAATACAGACAACCATAAAACCATAAAGATGAACAAAGGACACATGAAAAAAGATACAACAATGTGAGGAATATGTCTTCACTGAACAATCAGACCCCCAACTCCTATTCAGATGCAGATTGAAAAATAAGTTAAGTTTAAAAACCAATAATATACTTCCTACTAGACACATTTCACCAGTGAAGGCTTAAAGATACTGAAACTGAAGTAATGGAAGACTACTTTCTCTGCAAATGTAAACCAAACACAATCACGAGTAATCATGCTATATGAGAAAGAAATAGATTGTTTAGCCAAAAAAACTAGATAATGATACAAAGAAAGACAGCACATATCCAAAATATCGTCAATTGGAAATAGTAACTGTCCTGCACTCACTGCAGGAAAATACTACTATAAAACTAACAATATTCATTATAAAAGGAAACATAGCCTCAAACAGCATAAAAGTTGGCAGCAGCTCTTCCTGTAAGCGCCCAGAGGTGACCTGTGAAAATGGCTTGCTACTCTCTAGACCCAGAAAACCCCACAAAATCATGCAAGCCAAGAGGTTCCAATCTTCATGTTCACTTTAAGAGAAACAGCACTTTAGAGAAACAGCACAGGCCATCAAGGATATGCATATCTGAAAAGAGACTAAGTATCTGAGAGATGTCACATTAAAGAAGCGTGTGCCATTCCGGCCTTACAATGGTGGAGTTGGCAGGTGTGCTCAGGCCAAACAGTGAGGCTGGAACAGGGTCAGTGGCCCAAAAAGAGTGCTGAATTTCTGCTGCAAATGCTTAAGAATTCAGAGAGTAATGCAGAACTGAAGGGTTTAGATGTAGACTCCCTGGTCATTGAACACATCCAGGTGAACAAAGCACCTAAGATGCGCCACCGAACTTACAGAGCCCATGGTAGGATTAACCCATCCATGAGCTCCCCCTGCCACATTGAGATGATCCTTACTGAGAAGGAGCAGATTGTTCCTAAACCAGAGGAGGAGGTTGCACAGAAGAAAAATGTATCCCAGAAGAAACTGAAGAAACAAAAACTTATGGCACGGGAATAAATTTAGCATAAAATAAACTCAAATAAATCGAAAAAAAAGTTGGCAGCATCAAAATCCACTGATAACAAGGAAGGATCACTCAGACAATAAATCAATCACAACATATTACAGTATACTGTAAGCCAAATTGGTCTAAGAGACTACAAAACATTCCATTTACACAGAAATGGAGACAAAAGGTGATCAAATGCAACAGTAATATTCACTAGACATTATGCTGAAAATGAATTAAAACACCTGTGGGTGGAGACAGGAGGGAAAACCTGGGAGAGAGCAAAAGAAGGGGTAACATTGTCCAGAAAGAAATGTCCTCATTACCTGATCTATGAAGCTCTAACTCCTCTGTAGAACTCCTTATAATAACAATTTTTAACAAAACATTTCACATAAATGGATGACATCGATCAAGATGCATTGTATTCATGAATGTGTTGGCTGAATGCTAACTACTTTGTACAGCTCTAACAAATGCACCTTGTTTATCTGGAGCAATCTCCAGGACAGATGGTACTTTATCCAACAAACCATTTTCCAACATACTTTTAAAAACTGAAATTATTCTCTACATCTTATTTGCTAATGAACTAAAAGTAGAAAATAACAACTTAAGGAATTATATAAACGCACACAAGGTACATGATAGTCACTTGAACTACCAAAGGACTGATGGAAGAAATCATGAAGGAAATACAAACTTTCTCAAACTGATGAAAATAAAACACATACTATCACAAACACTGTCCCTTCTACATATGGAAGCTATAAGCTGATCACAAAGAAATACAAGATAAAATAGCAGTCTCTGCATGACCAGGATGAGTGCGAATGAAGAAGGATGTCATCCATACATTTTTGAGCAGAAGGAATAACTCCTTCAACAGCAAAGAATGATATCAAAGCTAGAAATCATGAATTAAAACTTTCAAAATGTCAAGTGAAAATGATATTGAAGCTCTGGCAGAAACCAATGACATATAACTAAGATGGTAGAAATGCCAATGATGTAATCCGATCGTCACAGTGTACTTGTGTCTAACTCTTACCCTATACACTATATGCATGTTCACCTGCTACTTGTCAGTTAAAAGGGTATTTTTAAAAGCTTGGCCAGGTCAACAGTGTGTAACATGTTACACACTTATACAAATTGGTACAAAGTTTACACCACATTCTTCAATGAGAACATGCAGAAACACAATGACATTCTGTATTGCAATTGTCTGCACCATAAGCTTTCCACATTTATCTGCACTTTTCTATGTGTTTCTATATGTTCAAGATTTCATATATTGGTATTATAATAAAGGCATTTTATATACATACATACCTATTATAAATGTAGATTCAGGATATCTACCAATCCATCTATCTCATTGTGTATCTATTTTATGGGTTCATTTATCGCTCACCTTCTCTTTGAAGTTCCCACCTCAAATACTGTTAACAATCCAGGTACAAGAGTATTTGACTGCTAGTCTATACACTCTTGTTCTAATTACTTTGAAGCTTATATATGGCTCATGGAATTTCATTCCAGTGTAAATCAGTTTTTTTTTAAACTTTGTTATTTTTCAGTAGAGGTTGATCCAAAGAAACAGTTTTAATTTAAGCTTTTGGTTCTTGAATCCACAAATACATAACAGCAGAGTGTTTAGCTTCTCCCAGTTCAAATCTTTGATCTGGGTTAAAAAAAAATCCCTTCTATTCTTGGTAGTTCCCTGCTGTATTAATCCCTGCACACACTTTTTACATTTAGCATCCTAAGAGTCTGACTCACTTTAACATAAAATAGAGGAACTATAAGCCAGAGGTAGCGAACCTCAAAAAAAACACTGCAGGGTTTCAAATAAGAACCATTCACTCATGTGGCAGAGCTCTATATTAATACAGATTTGGGGATCAGCTTCACATAGTGACAGAGCCTGGGATAACCAAGGACACATGCATCATTTCTGCTATGCAATGCTCAGGTTGTACTACTCCGTATCTGACACTTCCTCCTCTGTGATCCCAACAGGATCCCCTCTCCTTTGGCTCAATCCATTAGAGACTCTTAAATAGAAAATTTGGTATTTCCTAAGAGATTGTCTGATGTTAAGAGTAAAAAAAAACACTGACTACAATAGCTTACTGCTAATGATCTTTCCCTTTCTGACTCCACTTGAGATATAGAAATCACCTGCAGAACTCACGGTGGAAACATCTAAATAGACATACTGTAATCTCAAGGTCCTTCAAAGGATAACTTTACAAATTCAATCTTCTTTCATTAGGTAGTACTGAAGCTGGATGACAGGGCATTCTCTCTGATGGCTAGGCAAGGGCGTGAGCACCTGAGCTATATGGCCTGAGTCCTTTGGTGCTACAGCACAAAAAAAAAAAAGGTCTTCGTTTTATTCCTGGAAGTGACTTCACAACATATCTGATTACCTATGTCGCTGATGAGGAATTGGAGAAGTACAGATGTGGGCTCCAAAGATTAAGCAAATTGTTATTGAGATCCTCACCTGAACCTACCTTTCCATACAAATGAGTGGTATGGATTGGGAATGGACATATTTGGTCTAGGAAAATATCAAAACTACTGAACATTTATGTTCCATGTTTGCTATTAAACTAAAGTGTTAAGCTTTTTGTGTCTTCCCCATAAGTGCAATCAGTATGTGTTTTGATTACAAATCCCTTCTACCTTATTTAAGTTCCTTATTCTCCAGACCTTGAGCCTGCTTCTTATGTCCAGCATCATAAATATCTATCTTGCTCTAACATACCATCAGGCCGGAGGTAGGGTCTCTTTTCAGTGTTACAGACTTGAGATGAGTGGCAAAGTTAGGCATAAGGACATTGAACACTAGCTTCACACAGTAATAGGACACATGCATGAGCTTGATCTTTTATGCACAGGGTTCTGCTGTTCACCATCCTCTATTTCTCTTACTTTCTCATTTCTGTAAACAGGATCCTCTCCTTTGGCCCGATCCACTGTAGACTCAAATGTAGAAAATGTGATCTTTTCCTCTAAGTATCGTGTGCTAACTGATTGTACCACTGGAGCTCCAAAACCTGATCTTTTCTAAAGGAATACGTTACTATAATGACCAATGTAGAAGAAACGTACTTCCCCTGACCTGTTTCTTTCTTATCCTCATTGATCTAATGACAATATATCTATCTGTGAAAACATTTAGGTACGCAGTCCAAGATATGTGTAATGTCAAGGGATTATTTCATAAATCTCAACCTTTCTCTCCTTTTGCTCCTAGTCTGAGTTCTTTTGTTTATATATTTATTTCGTCTTCCTTCCCCTTGTTTTAGTCCTTCCTTCTTTCTTATCCTTCCTTTCTTTCATTCACACCATTATTCTTTTTCTACTTCTTTTCTTTTTTCTTTCCTTCTTTTTTCCTCCTCCTCCCCTCCTCTCTTCCTTCCTTCTTTGCCTTCTTTCTGTTTTGTGACAGGGTTACTCTGCTTTGATTATAGCATCTTTGTTTAGTAGCAGGGTATGCTACCACAACAACATGACCTCATTTTTGGTGATGCTCTAGGAATGTTTTGCCCAGGGTAATTTTCTACTATCTGAAATCTCAGGCTTGCACAACTCTTAATTTTTTTTAGATAAGTATGTCTGTGTTGAGTGTATATCTGTATTTCAACTCACATTCTATCTGACTCTAGAAACATACATATATTAAGCATGTGTCTGTAAACATATATACATATAAGAACATATATGTATGTTCACTTGTCATACTCACGATTGACTTGTGGTTCCAACATGAGGAACTTTAGAAGCGTTCACACTAAGAGAAAACATATAATCAGACATTACACACAGCTTTAGCACACATCTAAGGTCAATGAACTAGACATTAGACATGAACACATTGGGCTTTAGCTACTCATGTTCACATCTGCATCTGTACTTAGTCAATCATTTATTACAATTGCATCTTTAAATGACAATAACACATATTCTAATGTCTGTGAAGTTAGTCAACATTTCACACTTGGAATAGTTCTCTGGTACTACCACAGACATTACACTGGGCACTGATTTCCCATTGGACTACATCAACAGGTTGTACATATGAGAACTCCATGTTACCAATTCTACATCGGTACATTCTACAACTTTTACATTCATTCCTCTACTGTTTTTACTGCCTGGTCACATGGGGTAAGTCCACAGACCAAATAGGAAAAAGGGAAGAGATTCAATCCTAATCGATACAACCACAAAACAATAAAGATGAACAAGAAAGGAACAAAGGACACATGAAAAAAACACGAAAAAAGAGAAAAATGTGAGGAATGTGTCTTTATTGAACAATCACATGCTGAACCTTATGATGATACAAACTCTTTAATGGGTTTGAATTAAAAAGTATGACACAATGATACACTTCTTACTAGACATTTCACCTGAGAAAACTGAGAAAGACTGAAATTGAAGCGATGGAAGAATATTTTCTCTACAACCTGAATCAAATCATCGTGCTATACAAGAAAAAAAAAAGATTCTGTAACACAAAACTAGAAAATGATACAAAGAAAGATAGAATATTATCAAAGACCTGTCAATTTGAAATAATATTTGTAAATATATAGGCCCTTCACTGCAGGACAATACTACTCCATAAAGACAACATCACTCAGTGTAAATGGAAATATCAGCACAATAAAAGTTGGCACTATCACTACCCACTGGTATCAAGGAAGGATCATTCCCTTAGTCAATAACCAACACATCACAGTATTCTGTAAGCTAAATCTGTCTAAGAGACATTAAGGGTTGGGAGATGAAGATGGCAGAGGAGAGTCTGGGGGCTAAGTAAGCTCTCCCATAGAAACCCGTATTAGTATTCCAGTGGAAAATCGAAAGCTAGAGAGACACACCAAGTATGTTATAGTACAGAGTTTGGCAAGCTAGGAAAAACTCAGGCAGCTTACTTAGGGAGACAGATTGGAGCAACCCCAGTCCCATGCCACAGCAGAGGTGGCGGCTGCCACTGGCTGCTATATTCAACACAGAGAGCCCAGAACAAAGGCGCCAGAGTGGATGCTACTCACCACCAGCAAGAACCGACAAGGAGTGGAAATTTTCATTTGGCTGACTGTGGATGTGGACTACAACATTAAGACATCTTCATTACTTCTCTTGGAGCAGCAGCAGGAAAGTTGCCCCTCCCCTACCACAGGAGAAAAACTCCATCTTTGATACTGACACAGACCCAGGCAGAGCAGCTAGCTTGATTTGGCCTGTGTGGGACAGACTCTCCTTAGTGTGTAAACAGAGCCAGAGGCTACCTACCCAGCTGCTGCACAGGAAGCAACTACAACCCTTGAGCAATTGAAAACTTGGTACACTAAATCCTGAAATTGGCCCCAGGCTCAGCTGAGTCTATCTGGAGCTAGCCCATCAGAGTAAAGCTGATAGGCCACAGCCCAACCTACAACCTAGCACCCCTCACAGCAACTAGAAGCTAGAGGAAACAACCTCCTCGCTTTTTAGTGATACTTAAAGTAGATCACTGCCCCACTGAACTAGCCTGGGAGGAGGGACATAAACTCCCTGGTGAGGCAGAGCTTCCTTCAGCCTGCTCAAACAGTCTGAGTTAAGAAACCAAGCAAGCCACAGGAAAACAAAACACAAGCAAACCAGAGACTCCAGCACCAAGAGACTGGCTATGGACACAGGGGAGACACAAGAACCGCCCCTCTCTTTCTCCCATTTTTTTTTGGAAGAATTTTGTTCTAAACTGTTGTCTATTTTTCTCATTTTTAATTTAGGTTTGTTTTTTGTTTTTGCTGTTGTTTCTTTTTAAAAATATTCTCTTTATACTCTTTTCCCTTTTGGTCCTTTGAGGTTTTTGTTTTTGTTGTTGATTTGCATTACTTATTTGCTGTTCTGTTCATCCCCAGATAGGTACTTGTCTTTATTAGACCTTATCCTTCACTGTGTGCACACTTAATTCATATATTGATTACTCAATTTACAAACTCCCAGCCTCAAGTCCATTAATTATAGAATTATTTCTTTATACTTACATAATTTTTTAAGTAGTTCATTTTAATTTTTTTATTTTTATCATTTCTTTTTCTTTATCTCTCTTCTCCTTTCCTGCTATCCCTGCCCTTTCTCTGAATCGCACTCTCACTTTGCCTCCATACATTCCTCCAATCTTAATTTCTCCTCACAATTCTCCCTAAACCTATTAATTTCTGGTCTGCTTATGCTTTTTTTTTAAATCCATTGATCCATATCTGTTTCTTGTTGAACTAGATTGTATCTGTACCCATTTTGACTAGATCAAACAATCTGTGTAACTACAGGTTGATGCTTGCCTTAAAATAGTGTTCTAGATCAGAATCAGTTTGGCTATCATACCCAAATGAGCAGAACAAGCAGAAACACAAGAAAAATGGCAAGTCCAGGTATTTCAATTCGCACTCATGACAAGCAGACAACAGAGCAATCAATGAATAACCCAGAGGAGAGTTCCCATAATGCTCTACAAACAATTCTGATAAACATGCTGAAACATGCTGAAAGCCTGCAAAGGTCTCACTGTGAGCATGATAAGGAAATGCATGAGCGTGATGAGGCAAACCAAAGATTGATACAGGAATATCGTGAGCATGATGAGGCTAATTTAAGATTAATAGAGGAATTGCATGAGTGGGATGAGAATAGACAAAGAATAATTGAGGCATTCATGGAATCCACAAACAGAGAGCTGGGGCAAGCTAGGGAGGCCACAAAAGGATGCTGAATGAAGCCCAGCAGAAGGAAAGAGTCCATAACCAATCAACTAAGGGATTTGAGAAAAAACACTGAAAACCAAATTAAGGAAATAAGGAAGTCCACACAAGATCTAAAACAAAGCTTCAACAAAGAATTTGAAGCTATCAAATCTGACCAATTAAAAGAAATAAAAAAACAAAGTAGAGCCAGGCGTCAGTGGCTCACGCCTAGAGCTACTCAGGAGGCTGAGATCTGAAGATCATGGTTCAAATCTAGCCCAGGCAGGAAAGTCCGTGAGACTCTTATCTCCAATAAACCACTAGAAAACCGGAAGTGGTGTTGTGGCTCAAGCGGAAGAGTGCTCACCTTGAGCTGAAGAGCTGAGGGACAGGGCCCAAGCCGAGTTCAAGCCCCATAATCAAAAAAAAAAAAGTAGAAAGTCTTGACAGTAGTTTAAACCATGAAGAAGATCAAATCTCTGGGATTGAAGACAGCCTAGATATTATATATAACAGACAACTATTCAAGACAAATCCAACAAATATGATGGATCTATTCAACATTTAGAAGACACCATCACACAGCCTAATTTGAGGATAATGGGTGTACAGCAGCACCTAGAGGCAGAAGTTAATGGTCTAGGAAATTTGTTTAACAGGATCCTAGCAGAGAACTTCCCAAACATGAAAAAAGATGGGCTATTCAGATACAAGAAGCTTTTAGAACCCCAAATAGACCAGACCAGAACAGGACATCCCACAGTCACATTGTAATCACACAGGATCAATTCAGACCAAAGAAAGGACCCTTAAAGCTGTCAAGGAGAAAAGATCAATCACTTATAAAGGGAAACCAATTAGAGTCACCTCAGATTTCTCAGCAGAGACAATTAAAGCAAGAAGAGCCTGGAATGATGGATGCCATGCCCTAAAGACAAACAACTGTCAACCAAGAATACTGTATATCCAGGTCAAATAAAAACCTTCCACAACAAAGAAAAAGTTAAACAATATATCTCCACCAAACCAGCCCTACAAAAGATACTTAAAGATGTCCTACACATAGAAAACTAACAAGAGGACGATAAAGTCCAAGAAATAGCCCCAAACAGAGAATCTAAGAAGCATGGGAAGAACCAATTGGCACAGACCCCCAAGAAGGTGGATAACATGGCAGGAACTACCAAACACCTCTCAGTCCTAACTCTCAATATTAATGGACTTAACTCTCCAGTTAAGCAACATAGACTATCTAGTTGGATTAAAAAGCAAGATCCCTCTATCTGCTGCCTTCAAGAGACATGCCTTGCCCACAAAAACAAACACATTCTGAAAGTGAAAGGCTGGAATAAAATCTACCAAGCAAAAGCCCCCCCCTATAAACAGGCAGGAGTTGCAATTCTAATATCAGACAAAATAGATTTCAAATTAAAATTGGCAAGAAGAGATAAAGAAGTTCATTACATTCTAATTAAGGGATCTGTCCTTCAGGAGGATATTACTATTCTAAATATCTATTCACCAAATAATGGAGTACCCAAATGTATTTAACAAACACTACTTTCCCTAAAATCACATATTGATCCAAAGACATCAATTGTTGGGCACTTTAACACATCAATACCCATCTGGATAGATCAATCCAGTAAAAACTCAATAGAGAAACCTCAGACTTAAACAACTGCATAGATCAGCTAGACTTAACAGATATCCACAGAAGATTTTATCCAGCAGCATCAGAATACATATTCTTCTCAGCAACACAAGGAACATTTTCCAAAATAGACATTTTAGGTCACAAAGCAAATTTGTCCAAATACAGAAACACTGAAATTGGTCCTGCATTCTCTCAGACCACAAGGGAATAAAATTAGAATTCAAAACCAAAAGGCACCAAAGAAATCCTAACAAACAAATCGTTTAACTAGGGATACAGGTGGACCCATTGCAACAATGAGATGTACAAGTCCTTATGTCGAAAAACGAACTTAACAACTTTGGTGGGGGGTGGGGAGAGGGTTGTGTGGGGAGAGGGGAAGTGGATGGGAAGGGTTGAGAAGGGGAAACAAGGAGGCAACAATGCTTGATAAGAAATGTACTCGTTATCTTGCCCATGTAGCTGTAACTCCTCTGTATGGTATTCTCACAATTAAAAAATAATAGAAAAAAAAGAAAACCCATCTGACCCATTTGGATTCATAATTCAAAAGTCTATGCATCCACTTCTGATGTTTGACATTGTAAGAGCTTTCATTTCCTTAACACAAGATCAAGAAACTGAAGGCCTGAAGTAGAAGCTCTGAATAATGTGTTCAAAGTTTGAGTTGATAGCCAGTCTTCATGTGACAGAGTTCTGTATTAGTAAGTGTTTGGGTCACCAGCCTCATATAATGCAGAGCTCCACATAATGATATTATACAAGCACACTGTACTGATCCCTATCTGCCATTCTTCCTTTCAGTTCTAAACAGGACTTTCCTCTTTGATCCAGTCCATTAGAGATTTACAAATAAAAAATCTAATTGTTTTCTAAGGGATTGCCTTTTATTATGAGTAACAAACATACCAACTACAAGAAGCTGCTTCTGATGTAAAGATAGAAATTATCCATAGATCTACCAGTGCAAAACTTAAGACACAGTTTCAAAAATACTGCAATTCTAAAACCTCCCATGAGGTTTTCAAATCCCAATCCTGTTCCTTTCTCTCCTGGTGTCACCCTGCCTACTTCCAATTAAGTGCTCTAGCATTTAAGCTATGGCCCAAGTCCTGTGTGTCTGTGTGTGCTTAAGTTTCCATGTAAGTATGTACATGTACATATGTACCTATAAATGCACACTTCTGTTGATGTATATATATATATGTGTGTGTGTAATTAACATAAATGACATAAATGACTTCTTCATTCTACATTCTTATAGAAATTGTTCTGCAGCTTATAAACTGTGAGAACCTTATTCCCATATAAATCAGTTGTTTGGAAGCTTGTATATCCCTTTTCCATGCAGTAAATTATTTATAATAGACATATTTGGTTTGGTAAAATGTTTACCAACTCAACCTTTCTGTTCAGATGTTTACAACAAATTAAATACAAACATAATTTAAAACTAATTAAAAACAGGCATTTTGTGATTGGGGAGACTGTACTATCAGTATATATCCCTTCTATAATATTTAAGTTTTGGATTTTTTAATCTAAGAACCAATTCCCAAAGTTCACCATCATATTTTAACACAAGTCCTAGAAACTGCAGGCCTAAGGCAGGGCCTTTGAACAACGTATGCTAGGTTTGAGTTGAGAGTCAGCCAGTTTCTAGCAGAAATCAATGTTATATGAGTAAGGTTACAGAATGACAATTATGCAACCTGATCACCACATTTAATACGCATGTGTCATACTATCACAATACATCCTGTATTTTAACAGGGTATACATTTATCCAAATGGATCAAAAAGATACAGAAGTGCACCCCATGCTACAATGAACATGAAGAAACACTGATAATGATATCTGTACTACAGTATCACTATAGGAACTTTCCAAATCCAGATCTCCACTTTCTCTGTGTATTGTGTGTATAAGAATCTCTACATGTATATATATATATAGATGTATATGCATCAATCTATATGCAGAGAAACATACAGAGATTATATGCACATGGATGTGTGCACTTATGTATGGGTATAAATGTGTGTATGTATTTTGTACCTGGTTTTAGCATAAATTACTACTTATCCATCCACTGTTATCCATGTATATTATGGATTCATTTATTTCTCACCTTTATTTTACATTGGAGATGCAAAGATTTCTCTTAACATTTTACTGTTTTAAGAAATACAAATGCGCTGGGAAGGTGGCCCAGTGGTAGAGCGCTTGCCTTGCATGCCTGAGGCCCTGGGTTCGATTCCTCAGCACCATTAAGCAAAAAGAAAAAAAGCCAGATGACACTGTGGCTCAAGTGGTAGAGTGCTAGCCTTGAGCTGAAGAGCTGAGGGACAGCTCCCAGGCCCAGAATTCAGGCCCCATGACCAGAACAAAAAAAAAAAAAAAAGAAATACAAATGCCCTAATCCAAGATAAGGGCATTTATAATAAATTCAACTTTGCTTGTAAGTAGCTCTACTGAAATTTCTGACATTCCAATCCCTGTTTCCTTTCCTCACCTTCGCCCATCAGACAGAGCTAGTTTGCTGAAGGCTTGCATTTGCAGACACTCAATACTGATGGCCACGTTTGGCTCTGGGTTTGAGGCACTAGCCTCACCTGACTGCAGAGTTCTAGAAAGTAAGTATACATATTGTCTGCCTCAGCTCGAATCACTGCTGCTGAGGGATCTATGGCTTAGTCTACTGCTATCTTCTCTTTGCTAAAATAGAATAGCTGGCTGCAAAAACTCCTGAAGGTAGATTTTGCAAATCTCTACATCCCTTTATTTTCATTGTTTTATGTTCTGTGAAGGTAGGAGGGGTTTGAGTCTGTATATATGTGTATGTTTAAATATGTACTAAACAATAGTATATGCATGTATATAGATTGCTTTTTCATATATATGCATAGATAGGTTTATGTTTTTAAATTAATTTATAAATTACTTTTCTCTGATGGCTCTATCACAGGTGTCTGTTATCAGTCTTGGCAAAAGTACCTACAAGTAGATGTCATTCATAAATATAACTTGTGTGGAACCAATAACTACATTTCTTAAATGAGTCAGGTAGTAGTAGATTTTGTTCATGCATCAGTCCTTACTCAAATTTGGCATTTTGTGCTAATAATGAGTATTCATATGGTGGTAACAAACATATTAGACTTCTGCAAAAAGAAAGTGATTAGTACAGATTTAAACAGCTATCATCTGTATCACAATGTGGAACAAAATTTTTTTTTTTTGGGTCCGGTTGTGGGGCCTGAACTCTGGGCCTGGGCGCTGTCCCTCAGCTCTTCAGCTCAAGGCTAGCACTCTACCACTTGAGCCACAGCGCCATTTCCGGCTTTATTTTTTCTGCTAATGTGATGCTGAGGAATCGAACCCAGGGCCTCAGGCATGCAAGGCAAGCACTCTACCACCTTTCTCAGCCCTGGAACAAATTTTTCTAAGTATACTTACACAGTTGAGGGGCTTATCCCCCACTACCACTTCAAAGTAGTTCTGGATTAAGCCCCAAGATAACTCCGTAGAACTATGCCTATCATGGCTATCTTCCTGTAAATTAGAGGAAGGGGTTGTAAACACATGATAATGACTGGGAACTTGTAGAACCAACTTCACTTGGCGCTGAAGACTCTGTTCCCTACCTACTTCTGTATCTGTTCCTTGCTCCAAATAGGGTTCTTTTGTCCCCACAATCAATCTACATATTCTCACACACAGGCAAAACAAAATGATCCTTAGGTTCTGCTGGGATTTAAACAGCATGTCAAACACATCAAAGGCATGAAATATTTACCTTATGACATGTTTCTGTTTTATCCAAAGACACCCCCTAAAATATAGAAAGTTTCATTCATATGATATATGAATTTAGGGTGGAACCAGAGTCAAAGCCTTTGCTCCACTGACAATCTCAATGAACTTCAAAAAATCCAAATCTCAGTCTCCACATTCCTCTACTTATCTGAGTATGATCAGTATCAACACAAGAATGGATATTCAAAAACAGGGCTTCTAGGAAAAATTAATATTTTATGCCTGCAAAAGACTCTCATGCAGAAGCTAAGAAAAATATGTATGAAGAAAACATTAACAAATGTTTACTGGCATTTGTTGTGGATTTTAAATTCAAATCACTTCACAGGACTCAACCCTTACGCACCACCTTATTTGCTGCTTCCCATGTTCCCTCGATTCCTTCTTAACACTGATTGTGGTTTCACGTTCCTACTGGTCAGGTAGTGAACAGGAACAACTTGCTAAAGCAGAACTCCCATCCAATGTGATGGTTGGCCTTATAGAGTAGCAGAGTTCTAGAGAATCAAGCATGGATCCAGGATCAATGATCCCCAATAACCTGGCCTCCACAGAACACTGAAACTAACCAAATGTCTTTTGAAGTCCTCTATAATTTTCTCTACTGTTTCAAAAAAATTATACATTCTGTGTATTGTCATCACATGACAAAATAGTTTATCATTCAGCCAACAAAAGAAAACAACTCACCCAGTGGTCATGAAGTTATCAGAACCAATGACTATATCCGGTACGGTATCAGTATCACTGTGAACAAATGAAAAACAAACAGAAAATTAAGTTGCACTATATATAAGAAACCATACTTTCCTTACTACACACAGTGCTGATTTTAAATGCAACCATGGCTTTGTGAATGCTAGGCAAGTGATAAACCACTTAAGCTACATCTCTAGCTCTTCTGCCCACACCATGACCTCTCTCAAATACTCGTTTGAACTCAGATCACCATACTTGCACTAAGTGCTGAATTTAGAGTCATGCTTTTGTCTGTACTGGCTTACTCAATGATCTCCCTGTTTGGGTTCAGTATAATCTGGGAACCTGGTTCCTGCATGTTAAGTGCTCAATTTAGACTCAAACTTTTGTCTCTACTTGCTTATTCAATGTTCTCCCTGTTTGTGCTTCCATCATAATCTGGGATGGATGGCATGCTATAGTCTGATATCTATAATCCTATCTACTCAGAGGCTGAGACTGAGGATAGTAATTTGAAACCACCAAGAGTAGGAATGCCTATGAGAGTCCATCTCGAATTAACCAGCAAAATGTTGGACTCAAAGAGTAGTTCAAGAGTTCCATTAACCAGCAAAATGTTGGACTCAAAGAGTAGTTCAAGAGCAAGAAAGCAAAATAGGCACAAGGCTCAGAGTTTTAGCTGTAACAGACAGACACACACACACACACACATATGCAGACACAAGTTAATCATTGTCATTTGGAAGGTACTTTGCTCATAAAAGTCTGACTATAGTCAATCAAAACATATACTATTCAATCTCATAGGATCTTATACAAAGGCTGATAGCTTTCTAACGGTTTTCTTCTGTGCTCACTAAAAAAGCAAGGAGTTTGTTTTCTGACTGGATTCTCATTCCTTCACCTAACTGAAAAGAGAGGAATATTGCAGATATAAGATACACTGCCCACCTTTTTTATATAGTTCCCAGAAATTCTGGCTTAATATCTGTGTATCTTTGTATTCATGCATGCATGTATGTATGTTTGTATACACACATATATGCACACACATATACATACCTGTATGCATCTGATTTTTGCTGACATCTTCCAGTCTGAGCTCTATTGGTTCATTTATATCCACATTAAACAATTAAGCAATTATATTATGCAAAATCAAATATGAGGTAAATTCCTACGCTTACTTCTTCACTCGTTAGCTACAATTCTCCCAAAATTAATAAACTGGTAGGACTTGAAAGTTTTATATGCCTAGTTATAAGAAAAGGGGTATTTCTGGTAATCTTGAGAAACGAAACAAAGTATCTAGGGCAAAGTACATGTACACATCTGCAAAAGAAATGCTTCACTGCAGATTTAAGACTATTTCTTTCCTAGGCCAGGTGCCTAGGAAATATATAATCATAGCTGATTAGGAGGCTGAGAAACGAGGGTCTCAGTTTGAAGTCAGCCCAGGGAGGCAAGTCCCTGAGACTCTGTGTGTGTGTGTGTGTGTGCGTGCGTGCTGTGCGCACGCACGCGCACAAGGGCTCACACATGCAAGCGCGCGCGCGCACACACACACACACACACACACACACACACGAGTCCTGGGGTTAGAATCAAGGGCCTGGACATTGTCCCTGAGCTTCTTTTGCTGCAGGCTAGATTTCTACCTCTTGAGCCACAAAGCTTTTTTCTGAATAGTTTATTGGAAACAAGAGACTCCTGTACGTTTCCGCCTGGGCTGACTAACAATCATAACTCTCAGATCACAGACTCCTGAGAAGCTATGATTACAGACATGAGCTACTAGCAACCAGTTCCTAAGACTTTTATTTGCTACAAACTATGCAGAAAACAACAGAAGTAGACCTGTGTCTCAAAGGGTAAGGCACTAGGCCTTGAGTAAAATACTCTCAAGGTCCGCACACCAGCTCTGAGTTCAAGCCTAAAGACTGGAACAAAATGACAATAATAATAACAATGATAGTAATAGTGATGATGATGATGATGATGACAACGACGACAATGACAATGCAGAGATTTAGAGGATGAGTCCGCAGGTTATACAATTATGGACAATCAGCAAGATAGGTAAAAGAGGTATGAAAAGATTATTTTTACAGGCCAGAAAAAGAGCCAACACCAAAGACAATTTGACTTAAGACTTCTACCCCCTAGGACTGTGGAATAGCTTGTAAGTGCATGAGCTATTTTGTTTGTGATAAGTTGTTACTAAAGTCATCAAACACATGTACTGTCCATTCAAATGGGGTCTCACACACAGGCTACCTGATAGCTTTCTAGGAGTTTTACACACTGCTCACTAAAATACCACTAAGGCTATCTTCTGACTGGCTTCTCATTCATTCACCTAACTTGGAAAAGTGGGAATGTTCCAGACATAAGCTGTAATGCCCAATCTTTTGAGACATCTCCCAGAAATTCTGGCTTAATGCCTCTGTATCTTTATGTACATACATACATATATATATATATATATATATATATATATATATATACACATACATATAAGGAATGCATCTCACCTATCACTAATGTCTTCCAGGATTAGATCTCCTGTTTTAGTATCTTCCAGGCTAAAGGATTAAATTAGACACAGTCAAATATCAGGTAAATACATTTACATTGTCTTCCAACTTAGCTACAATTTACTTAAAACTAATAAAATGGAAGTTGAAAGTTTTACATATTTAGTTATATACAAAGGAGTATTTGTCTTTCCTGACTAGGACAAGTATCTATGCTCACAGATATAATCCTAGCCTCTCAGGTGATTGAGATCTAAGGATCATGATTTTCAACCATACTGGACAGAAAATCCATGAGACTTATGTCTCTAACTAGCTACCAAACACACTGGAAGTGGAGTTGTGGGTCAGGGACTAGAGTGCTACGCTTGAGCAAACTACACTCAGGAACATGGCTCAGACCCTAATCTCAAGCCCAATGACTGGCACATCGAAAAAAAACAATAATTCTATTCTTATAAACATAAGAAAAGTTTAATGTCCTATTGTTCTTGAACTAATTTTAAATTCAGCTTACTTCACAATAACTCAACCCTCACAATCTAATTTTCTATCTAATTTTCTGCTTCCTATATCTTCTCTATTCCCTCCTTAATAAAGTAATCATGGCAGTCTTTCCTGCCTGTCAGATAGGAACAAAGAACAGAAGGCTAGAAGCAGGACTCCCATCCAATGTAATAGTGGGCCTTTCAGGGTAATTGAGTTATGGAGAATGAAGAATTGGTCTGAGGTAGATGATTCTCCTATCTACTGAGATCTGCAGAACAGTGGGACTGCCTCTGTGTTTCTGAGAGGAATTCTTACATTCCTCAGATCTTTATGAGTCCCATACATGCACGTTGATACTCTGACTAAGGATTGTGCCTGCCAGTCCTTGAATTCACAGCAGACCATGACCAAGTCTCTTTTGACCTGCTCTATCATTTTCTATTTAGCTGCAAAACTGAATATGACTACATAGAGTTTTTGATAGGTCGTCATGTATTTTGTCGATTGTCATCATACTCCATCCACAAAAATGGTTTACCATGTGAATGACAAAAGAAAACAACTCACCCAGTAGTATTGTTGACAACGGCCAGTACGGTATCTGAGTCACTGTGAACAAATAAAAAACAAACAGAAAATTAAGTTGCTCTATGTAATAGAAACCATACTTTTTTTAACCAAAGTGCTAACTATTGACAGCAAGGTCTGTGCAGATTAAGCAGGTGCTCATTTACTTGAATTATATCTCTAGCTCTTCTGCCCACTACATGACTTCTCTCATATATTGAGGTTTGAACTCAGATCACCATATTTGCACTAAGGGCTCAATTTAGAGTCATGCTTTTTTCTGTACTGGTTTACTCAATGATCTCCTTGTTTGGGTTCAGTACAATCTGGGAACCCTGTTCCTCTAGGTAAGGGTTCAATTTAGACTCACAGTTTTGTCTCTATTTGCTTATTCAATGATCTCCCTGTTTGTGTTGGATGGGCATGCTACTGTCTCACAGCTATAATCCTATCTACTCAGAGACTGAGAGTGAGGATAGTATTTTGAAACCATCTAGAGTAGGAATGCCTATGAGAGTCCATCTCCAATTAACCAGGAAAAGGTTGGACTCAAAGAGTAGTTCATAAGTTCCATCAACCATAACAAGAAAGCAAAATAGGCACAAGGCTCGGAGTTTTGGCCATGACAGACAGACAGACAGACAGATAGACAGACAGACACACACACACACACACACACACACACACACACACACACGCAGACACATGTTAATCATTGTCATTTCAAAGGTACTTTGCTCATAAAATCTTACTACAGTCAATCAAAACATATACTACTCAATCTCATAGGATCTCATACAAAGGCTGATAGCTTTCTAAGGGTTTTCTTCTGTGCTCACTAAAATAGCAAGGAGTTTGTCTTCTGACTCGAATCTCATTCCTTCACCTAACTTGGAATAGAGAGGAATATTACAGATATAAAATATACTGCCCACCTTTTTTATATAGTTCCCAAAATTTCTGGCTTAATATCTGTGTATCTTTGTATTCACGTATGTATATATGTATATACATGTATATATACACACACATTCATACATATGTGTATGCATCTGATTTTTACTGACATTTTCCAGTCTGAGCTCTATTGGTTCATTTATATCCACATTAAACAATTAAGCAATTATCTTATGAAAGCCAAAGTTGAGGTAAATTCCTACCCTACGTCTTCACTCGTTAGCTACAATTCTCCTAAAAGTAATAAACTAGTAGAACTTGAACATTTTACATTTGCAATAACTATGTCTGAGTCAAACAGAAAATGTCAGATAAGTTGATGTTAGGCAAATGAACCCCAAGGAAAGTATTCAAATGATTTTTTCTTTCATGTAATTGCTTCTAACATATTTATAAGATGATTTCCTTGTTGCCTTGTATGTCCCTCCCCCACGGTATAACACCTGCTGTCACTGTATTTGATGTTGGTATTATTTGTGGAGGGAAAGGAAAAAACAAATCATTTAAATAGGGATACAGGGGGATTCATTGCAACAATGAGATGTACAAGATGTTATGCCAAAAAACGAACTTTACAACTTTTGGGGGGACAGAGTATCGGGTGGGGGGTGGGGGATAGGATGGGATGGAAAGGGGAAACAAAGGAGGAGGCAACAGTGCTCATTATCTTGCCCATGTAACTGTAACCCCTCTGTATGGTATTTTCACAATTTTAAAAAATGTAAAAAATAGAAAAAGGGTATTTTTGGTTATCTTGAGAAACAAGGTGTCTAGGGCAAAGTACATGTACACATCTGCCAAAGAAATGCTTCATGGCAGATTTAAGACTATTTCTTTCCTACACCAGGTGCTTGTAGCTCAAACATAATCATAGCTGATCAGGAAGCTGAGGAACAAGGGTCTAAATTTGTAGTCAGCCCAGGGAGGCAAGTTCCTGAGCCTGTTGTGTTTGCATGGGTGCGTGCGTGGGTGCTTATGTCCATGAGACTCATGTCTCCAACTAGCTACCAAACACACTGGAAGTGGAGTTGTGGGCCAGGGACTAGAGTGCTAGACTTGAGCAAACCACACTCAGGAACATGGCTCAGACCCTAATCTCAAGCCCTATGACTGGCACATTGAAAAAAACAATAAGTCTATTCTTATAAACATAAGAAAAGTTTAATGTCCTATTGTTCTTGAACTAATTTTAAATTCAGCTTACTTCACAATAACTCAACCCTCACAATCTAATTTTCTATCTAATTTTCTGCTTCCTATATCTTCTCTATTCCCTCCTTAATAAACTAATCTTGGCAGTCTTTCCTGCCTGTCAGATAGGAACAAAGAATAGAAGGCTAGAAGCAGGACTCCCATCCAATGTAATAGTGGGCCTTTCAGGGTAATTGAGTTCTGGAGAATGAAGAATTGGTCTGAGGTAGCTGATTCTCCTATCTACTGAGATCTGCAGAACAGTGGGACTGCCTCTGTGTTTCTGAGAGGAATTCTTACATTCCTCGGATCTTTATGAGTCCCATACATGCACGTTGATACTCTGACTAAGGATTGTGCCTGCCAGTCCTTGAATTCACAGCAGACCATGACCAAGTCTCTTTTGACCTGCTCTATCATTTTCTATTTAGCTGCAAAACTGAATATGACTACATAGAGTTTTTGATAGGTCGTCATGTATTTTGTCGATTGTCATCATACTCCATCCACAAAAATGGTTTACCATGTGAATGACAAAAGAAAACAACTCACCCAGTAGTATTGTTGACAACGGCCAGTACGGTATCTGAGTCACTGTGAACAAATAAAAAACAAACAGAAAATTAAGTTGCTCTATGTAATAGAAACCATACTTTTTTTAACCAAAGTGCTAACTATTGACAGCAAGGTCTGTGCAGATTAAGCAGGTGCTCATTTACTTGAATTATATCTCTAGCTCTTCTGCCCACTACATGACCTCTCTCATATATTGAGGTTTGAACTCAGATCACCATATTTGCACTAAGGGCTCAATTTAGAGTCATGCTTTTTTCTGTACTGGTTTACTCAATGATCTCCTTGTTTGGGTTCAGTACAATCTGGGAACCCTGTTCCTCTAGGTAAGGGTTCAATTTAGACTCACAATTTTGTCTCTATTTGCTTATTCAATGATCTCCCTGTTTGCGCTGGATGGGCATGCTACTGTCTCACAGCTATAATCCTATCTACTCAGAGACTGAGAGTGAGGATAGTATTTTGAAACCATCTAGAGTAGGATTGCCTATGAGAGTCCATCTCCAATTAACCAGGAAAAGGTTGGACTCAAAGAGTAGTTCATAAGTTCCATCAACCATAACAAGAAAGCAAAATAGGCACAAGGCTCGGAGTTTTGGCCATGACAGACAGACAGACAGACAGACATACACACACACACACACACACACACACACACACACACACACACGCAGACACATGTTAATCATTGTCATTTCAAAGGTACTTTGCTCATAAAATCTTACTACAGTCAATCAAAACATATACTTCTCAATCTCATAGGATCTCATACAAAGGCTGATAGCTTTCTAAGGGTTTTCTTCTGTGCTCACTAAAATAGCAAGGAGTTTGTCTTCTGACTCGAATCTCATTCCTTCACCTAACTTGGAATAGAGAGGAATATTACAGATATAAAATATACTGCCCACCTTTTTTATATAGTTCCCAAAATTTCTGGCTTAATATCTGTGTATCTTTGTATTCACGTATGTATATATGTATATACATGTATATATACACACACATTCATACATATGTGTATGCATCTGATTTTTACTGACATTTTCCAGTCTGAGCTCTATTGGTTCATTTATATCCACATTAAACAATTAAGCAATTATCTTATGAAAGCCAAAGTTGAGGTAAATTCCTACCCTACGTCTTCACTCGTTAGCTACAATTCTCCTAAAAGTAATAAACTAGTAGAACTTGAACATTTTACATTTGCAATAACTATGTCTGAGTCAAACAGAAAATGTCAGATAAGTTGATGTTAGGCAAATGAACCCCAAGGAAAGTATTCAAATGATTTTTTCTTTCATGTAATTGCTTCTAACATATTTATAAGATGATTTCCTTGTTGCCTTGTATGTCCCTCCCCCACGGTATAACACCTGCTGTCACTGTATTTGATGTTGGTATTATTTGTGGAGGGAAAGGAAAAAACAAATCATTTAAATAGGGATACAGGGGGATTCATTGCAACAATGAGATGTACAAGATGTTATGCCAGAAAACGAACTTTACAACTTTTGGGGGGGCAGAGTATCGGGTGGGGGGTGGGGGATAGGATGGGATGGGAAGGGGAAACAAAGGAGGAGGCAACAGTGCTCATTATCTTGCCCATGTAACTGTAACCCCTCTGTATGGTATTTTCACAATTTTAAAAAATGTAAAAAATAGAAAAAGGGTATTTTTGGTTATCTTGAGAAACAAGGTGTCTAGGGCAAAGTACATGTACACATCTGCCAAAGAAATGCTTCATGGCAGATTTAAGACTATTTCTTTCCTACACCAGGTGCTTGTAGCTCAAACATAATCATAGCTGATCAGGAAGCTGAGGAACAAGGGTCTAAATTTGTAGTCAGCCCAGGGAGGCAAGTTCCTGAGCCTGTTGTGTTTGCATGGGTGCGTGCGTGGGTGCTTATGTCCATGAGACTCATGTCTCCAACTAGCTACCAAACACACTGGAAGTGGAGTTGTGGGCCAGGGACTAGAGTGCTAGACTTGAGCAAACCACACTCAGGAACATGGCTCAGACCCTAATCTCAAGCCCTATGACTGGCACATTGAAAAAAACAATAAGTCTATTCTTATAAACATAAGAAAAGTTTAATGTCCTATTGTTCTTGAACTAATTTTAAATTCAGCTTACTTCACAATAACTCAACCCTCACAATCTAATTTTCTATCTAATTTTCTGCTTCCTATATCTTCTCTATTCCCTCCTTAATAAAGTAATCATGGCAGTCTGTCCTGCCTGTCAGGTAAGAACAAAGAACATAAGGCTAGAAGCAGGACACCCATCCAATGTGATGGTGGGCCTTTCAGGGTAATTGAGTTCTGGAGAATGTAGAATTGGTCTGAGGTAGCTGATTCTCCTATCTACTGAGATCTACAGAACAGTGGGACTACCTCTGTGTTTCTGAGAGGAATTCTTACATTTCTCGGATCTTTATGAGTCCCATACATGCACGTTGATATTCTGACTAAGGATTGTGCCTGCCAGTCATTGAATTCACAGCAGACCATGACCAAGTCTCTTTTGACCTGCTTCATTTTCTATTTAGTTGCAAAACTGAATATTGCTACATAGAATTTTTGATAGGTCATCATGTAAATTGTCGATTGTCATAATACTCCATCCACAAAAATGGTTTACCATGTGAATGACAAAAGAAAACAACTCACCCAGTAGTTGTGTTGTTACCAGAAATGATGACAACGGCTGGCATGGTTTCTATGTCACTGTGAACAAATAAAAAACAAACAGAAAATTTAAGTTGCACTATGCATAAGAAACCATACTTTTTTTTTTTTTTTTTACCAAAATGCTGACTACTGACAGTAAAGTCTGTGCAGACTAAGCAGGTGCTCATTTACTTGAGCTATATCGCCACCTCTTCTGCCCACTCCATGACTTCTCTCAACTACTGAGGTTTGAACTTAGATCACCATACTTGTACTAAGTGCTCAATTTAGAATCATGCTTTTGTCTGTACTGGCTTACTCAATGATCTCCCTGTTTGGGTTCAGCAGTATAGGAGCCCTGCTGCTCTAGTTAAGCGCTCAATTTAGACTCACAGTTTTGTCTCTACTTGCTTATTCAATGATCTCCATATTTGTACTTTCATCATAATCTGGGATGGATGGGCATGCTACTGTCTCACATCTATAGTCCTATCTACTCAGAGGCTGAGACTGAGGCTACTAATTTGAAACCACCTAGAGTAGGAATGCCTATGATAGTCCATCTTCAATTAACCAGCAAAATGTTGGGACTCCAGGAGGAGTTCAAGAGTTTCATCAACCATAAGCAAGAAAGCAAAATAGGTACAAGCTCTAAGTTTTGGCCATAATAGATGGACAGACAGACAGACAGACACAGACAGAGAGACACACAGACAGACAGACAGACAGACAGACAGACAGACAGACAGACACACACACACACACACACATACACTCACGTAGACACAAGTTAATCATTGTCATTTGGAAGGTACTTTGCTCATAAAAATCTTACTATAGTCAATCAAATCATATACTACTCAATCTCATAGGATCTCATAAAAAGGCTGATAGCGTTCTAAGGGTTTTCTTCTGTGCTCACTAAAATAGCAAGGAGTTTGTCTTCTGACTAGATTCTCATTGCTTCACCTAACGTGGAAAAGAGAGGAATATTACACATATAAGATACACTGTCTAACTTTTTTTATATACTTCCCAGAAATTCTGGCTTAATACCTTTTTATTTTTGTATTCATGTGTGTATGTATATATGTTCTTAAGGTATATGTATATATGTATGTATGCACATATACAAACACACACATATATATACACACATGTAAATATGTGTGTATGCATCTGATTTTTGCTAACATCTTCCAGTCTGAGCTCTATTGGTTCATTTATATCTACGTTAAACAATTACATTATGCAAAATCAAGTATGAGGTAAATACCTACCCTTACTTTTAACTCGTTAGCTACAATTCTCCTAAAATTAATAAACTAGTAGATCTTGAAAGTTTTATATACCTAGTTATAAGAAAAGGATTATTACTGGTTATCTAGAGAAACAAAGTGTCTAGGGCCAAGTATATGTACACATTTGCAAAAGAAATGCTTCATGGCAAATTTAAGACTATGTCTTTCCTAGCGCAGGGCATGTTGCTCAAACATATAATCATAGCTGATCAGGAGGCTGAGAAACCAGGGTCTTAGTTTGAAGTCAGCCCAGGGAAGCAAGAACCTGAGACTGTGTGTGTGTGCGTGCATGCATGCGTGAGTGTGTGCCTGTGTTTGTATGTGTCCCCAGGGCCTGCACCTGCACATGCATGCACACACACACACATACACACACACACACACACACACACACACACATACACACAAGCTAGTCCTGGAGTTAGAACCCACGGACTGGACACTGTCCCTATGATTCTTTTGTTCCAGGCTAGATCTCTACCTCTTGACCCACAAGGCCACTCCTGGCTTTTTCTGAATAATTTATTGGAAACAAAAGTCTCATGTACTTTTCTGCCTGGGCTGACTTAAAATCATGACTCTCAGGTCACAGACCCCTGAGCAGTTAGTAGTACAGGCATGAGCTACTAGCAGCCAATTCCTAAGACTTTTATCTGCTATAAACTATGCAGAAAACAACAGAAGTAGACCTGTATCTCAAGGGGTAGGGCACTCGCCTTGAGCAAAATACGCTCAAGGTCTGTACCCCGGCTCTGAGTTCAATCCCAAAGACTGGAACAAAATAATAATAACAACAACAACAACAACAACAGTAAGCTCAAGGTCTGAACCCCGACTCTGAGTTCTAAAGACTGGAACGAAATGACAATAATAAAATAATAAAAATAATGATAATGATAGTAAAATGAAGATGATGAAGATGCTGCTGCTGCTGCTGCTGCTGATGCTGATGATGCTGATAATGATAACAACAATGCAAAGAATTGGAGGATGAATCCACAGGTTATACAATTGTGGACAAACAGGAAAGCAGGAAAAAGGGGTATGAAATCATTATATTTTACAGGCCAGAAAAAGCGCCAACACCAAAGGCACTTTGACATAAGATTTCTATCCCCTAGGACTGTGGAATAACTTTAAGTGCATGAGCTGTTTTGTTGGTGATAATTTGTTACTAAATTTATTACTAATTTGTTACACACAGGCTATCTGATAGCTTTCTAGGAGTTTTACTCACTGCTCACTAAAATACCACTAAGGCTGTCTTCTGACTGGCTCCTCATTCATTCCCCTAATTTGGAAAAGTGGGAACGTTACAATCTTCTGAGACATCTCCCAGAAATTCTGGCTTAATACCTGTGTATCTTTATGTACATGTATATATACATATAGGAATGCATCTCACCGTTCATCAACATCTTCAAGAATAAGATCTCCTGCATTGTTTTCGTCAAGTCTAAAGGATTAAATTATACACAGTCAAATATCAGGTAAATACATTTACATTTTCTTCCAACTTAGCTACAATTTACTTAAAACTAATAAATTGGTAGAAGTTGAAAGTTTTACATATTTAGTTATATACAAAGGAGTATTTGTTTTTCCTGACTAGGACAAGTATCTGTGCTCATAGATATAATCCTAGCCTCTCAGTTGATTGAGATCTAAGGATCATGATTTTTAACCATACTGGAGAGAAAAATCTATGAGACTTATGTCTCCAACTAGCTACCAAACACACTGGAAGTGGAGTTGTGGGTCAGGGAATAGAGTGCTAGACTTGAGCAAACCACACTCAGGAACATGGCTCAGACCCTAATCTCAAGCCCAATGACTGGCACATTGAAATAAACAATAATTCTATTCTTATAAACATAAGAAAAGTTTAATGTCCTATTGTTCTTGAACTAATTTTAAATTCAGATACTTCACAATAACTCAACCCTCACAATCTAATTTTCTATCTAATTTTCTGCTTCCTATATCTTCTCTATTCCCTCCTTAATAAACTAATCTTGGCAGTCTTTCCTGCCTGTCAGATAGGAACAAAGAATAGAAGGCTAGAAGCAGGACTCCCATCCAATGTAATAGTGGGCCTTTCAGGGTAATTGAGTTCTGGAGAATGAAGAATTGGTCTGAGGTAGCTGATTCTCCTATCTACTGAGATCTGCAGAACAGTGGGACTGCCTCTGTGTTTCTGAGAGGAATTCTTACATTCCTCGGATCTTTATGAGTCCCATACATGCACGTTGATACTCTGACTAAGGATTGTGCCTGCCAGTCCTTGAATTCACAGCAGACCATGACCAAGTCTCTTTTGACCTGCTCTATCATTTTCTATTTAGCTGCAAAACTGAATATGACTACATAGAGTTTTTGATAGGTCGTCATGTATTTTGTCGATTGTCATCATACTCCATCCACAAAAATGGTTTACCATGTGAATGACAAAAGAAAACAACTCACCCAGTAGTATTGTTGACAACGGCCAGTACGGTATCTGAGTCACTGTGAACAAATAAAAAACAAACAGAAAATTAAGTTGCTCTATGTAATAGAAACCATACTTTTTTTAACCAAAGTGCTAACTATTGACAGCAAGGTCTGTGCAGATTAAGCAGGTGCTCATTTACTTGAATTATATCTCTAGCTCTTCTGCCCACTACATGACCTCTCTCATATATTGAGGTTTGAACTCAGATCACCATATTTGCACTAAGGGCTCAATTTAGAGTCATGCTTTTTTCTGTACTGGTTTACTCAATGATCTCCTTGTTTGGGTTCAGTACAATCTGGGAACCCTGTTCCTCTAGGTAAGTGCTCAATTTAGACTCACAGTTTTGTCTCTATTTGCTTATTCAATGATCTCCCTGTTTGTGCTGGATGGGCATGCTACTGTCTCACAGCTATAATCCTATCTACTCAGAGACTGAGAGTGAGGATAGTATTTTGAAGCCATCTAGAGTAGGACTGCCTATGAGAGTCCATCTCCAATTAACCAGGAAAAGGTTGGACTCAAAGAGTAGTTCATAAGTTCCATCAACCATAACAAGAAAGCAAAATAGGCACAAGGCTCGGAGTTTTGGCCATGACAGACAGACAGATAGACAGACATACACACACACACACACACACACACACACACACACACACACACACACACGCAGACACATGTTAATCATTGTCATTTCAAAGGTACTTTGCTCATAAAATCTTACTACAGTCAATCAAAACATATACTACTCAATCTCATAGGATCTCATACAAAGGTTGATAGCGTTCTAAGGATTTTCTTCTGTGCTCACTAAAATAGCAAGGAGTTTGTCTTCTGACTCGAATCTCATTCCTTCACCTAACTTGGAATAGAGAGGAATATTACAGATATAAAATATACTGCCCACCTTTTTTATATAGTTCCCAAAATTTCTGGCTTAATATCTGTGTATCTTTGCATTCACGTATGTATATATGTATATACATGTATATATACACACACATTCATACATATGTGTATGCATCTGATTTTTACTGACATTTTCCAGTCTGAGCTCTATTGGTTCATTTATATCCACATTAAACAATTAAGCAATTATCTTATGAAAGCCAAAGTTGAGGTAAATTCCTACCCTACGTCTTCACTCGTTAGCTACAATTCTCCTAAAAGTAATAAACTAGTAGATCTTGAAAGTTTTATATACCTAGTTATAAGAAAAGGATTATTACTGGTTATCTTGAGAAACAAAGTGTCTAGGGCCAAGTATATGTACACATTTGCAAAAGAAATGCTTCATGGCAAATTTAAGACTATGTCTTTCCTAGCGCAGGGCATGTTGCTCAAACATATAATCATAGCTGATCAGGAGGCTGAGAAACCAGGGTCTTAGTTTGAAGTCAGCCCAGGGAAGCAAGAACCTGAGACTGTGTGTGTGTGCGTGCATGCATGCGTGAGTGTGTGCCTGTGTTTGTATGTGTCCCCAGGGCCTGCACCTGCACACGCATGCACACACACACACATACACACACACACACACACACACACATACACACAAGCTAGTCCTGGAGTTAGAACCCACGGACTGGACACTGTCCCTATGATTCTTTTGTTCCAGGCTAGATCTCTACCTCTTGACCCACAAGGCCACTTCTGGCTTTTTCTGAATAATTTATTGGAAACAAAAGTCTCATGTACTTTTCTGCCTGGGCTGACTTAAAATCATGACTCTCAGGTCACAGACCCCTGAGCAGTTAGTAGTACAGGCATGAGCTACTAGCAGCCAATTCCTAAGACTTTTATCTGCTATAAACTATGCAGAAAACAACAGAAGTAGACCTGTATCTCAAGGGGTAGGGCACTCGCCTTGAGCAAAATACGCTCAAGGTCTGTACCCCGGCTCTGAGTTCAATCCCAAAGACTGGAACAAAATAATAATAACAACAACAACAACAACAACAGTAAGCTCAAGGTCTGAACCCCGACTCTGAGTTCTAAAGACTGGAACGAAATGACAATAATAAAATAATAAAAATAATGATAATGATAGTAAAATGAAGATGATGAAGATGATGCTGCTGCTGCTGCTGCTGATGCTGATGATGCTGATAATGATAACAACAATGCAAAGAATTGGAGGATGAATCCACAGGTTATACAATTGTGGACAAACAGGAAAGCAGGAAAAAGGGGTATGAAATCATTATTTTTTACAGGCCAGAAAAAGCGCCAACACCAAAGGCACTTTGACATAAGATTTCTATCCCCTAGGACTGTGGAATAACTTTAAGTGCATGAGCTGTTTTGTTGGTGATAATTTGTTACTAAATTTATTACTAATTTGTTACACACAGGCTATCTGATAGCTTTCTAGGAGTTTTACTCACTGCTCACTAAAATACCACTAAGGCTGTCTTCTGACTGGCTCCTCATTCATTCCCCTAATTTGGAAAAGTGGGAACGTTACAATCTTCTGAGACATCTCCCAGAAATTCTGGCTTAATACCTGTGTATCTTTATGTACATGTATATATACATATAGGAATGCATCTCACCGTTCATCAACATCTTCAAGAATAAGATCTCCTGCATTGTTTTCGTCAAGTCTAAAGGATTAAATTATACACAGTCAAATATCAGGTAAATACATTTACATTTTCTTCCAACTTAGCTACAATTTACTTAAAACTAATAAATTGGTAGAAGTTGAAAGTTTTACATATTTAGTTATATACAAAGGAGTATTTGTTTTTCCTGACTAGGACAAGTATCTGTGCTCATAGATATAATCCTAGCCTCTCAGGTGATTGAGATCTAAGGATCATGATTTTTAACCATACTGGAGAGAAAAATCTATGAGACTTATGTCTCCAACTAGCTACCAAACACACTGGAAGTGGAGTTGTGGGTCAGGGAATAGAGTGCTAGACTTGAGCAAACCACACTCAGGAACATGGCTCAGACCCTAATCTCAAGCCCAATGACTGGCACATTGAAATAAACAATAATTCTATTCTTATAAACATAAGAAAAGTTTAATGTCCTATTGTTCTTGAACTAATTTTAAATTCAGATACTTCACAATAACTCAACCCTCACAATCTAATTTTCTATCTAATTTTCTGCTTCCTATATCTTCTCTATTCCCTCCTTAATAAACTAATCTTGGCAGTCTTTCCTGCCTGTCAGATAGGAACAAAGAATAGAAGGCTAGAAGCAGGACTCCCATCCAATGTAATAGTGGGCCTTTCAGGGTAATTGAGTTCTGGAGAATGAAGAATTGGTCTGAGGTAGCTGATTCTCCTATCTACTGAGATCTGCAGAACAGTGGGACTGCCTCTGTGTTTCTGAGAGGAATTCTTACATTCCTCGGATCTTTATGAGTCCCATACATGCACGTTGATACTCTGACTAAGGATTGTGCCTGCCAGTCCTTGAATTCACAGCAGACCATGACCAAGTCTCTTTTGACCTGCTCTATCATTTTCTATTTAGCTGCAAAACTGAATATGACTACATAGAGTTTTTGATAGGTCGTCATGTATTTTGTCGATTGTCATCATACTCCATCCACAAAAATGGTTTACCATGTGAATGACAAAAGAAAACAACTCACCCAGTAGTATTGTTGACAACGGCCAGTACGGTATCTGAGTCACTGTGAACAAATAAAAAACAAACAGAAAATTAAGTTGCTCTATGTAATAGAAACCATACTTTTTTTAACCAAAGTGCTAACTATTGACAGCAAGGTCTGTGCAGATTAAGCAGGTGCTCATTTACTTGAATTATATCTCTAGCTCTTCTGCCCACTACATGACCTCTCTCATATATTGAGGTTTGAACTCAGATCACCATATTTGCACTAAGGGCTCAATTTAGAGTCATGCTTTTTTCTGTACTGGTTTACTCAATGATCTCCTTGTTTGGGTTCAGTACAATCTGGGAACCCTGTTCCTCTAGGTAAGTGCTCAATTTAGACTCACAGTTTTGTCTCTATTTGCTTATTCAATGATCTCCCTGTTTGTGTTGGATGGGCATGCTACTGTCTCACAGCTATAATCCTATCTACTCAGAGACTGAGAGTGAGGATAGTATTTTGAAGCCATCTAGAGTAGGAATGCCTATGAGAGTCCATCTCCAATTAACCAGAAAAAGGTTGGACTCAAAGAGTAGTTCATAAGTTCCATCAACCATAACAAGAAAGCAAAATAGGCACAAGGCTCGGAGTTTTGGCCATGACAGACAGACAGACAGACACAGACACACACACACACATGCAGACACATGTTAATCATTGTCATTTCAAAGGTACTTTGCTCATAAAATCTTACTATAGTCAATCAAAACATACATTACTCAATCTCAAAGGATCTCATACAAGGCTGATAGCTTTCTAAGGGTTTTCTTCTGTGCTCACTAAAATAGCAAGGAGTTTGTCTTCTGACTCGAATCTCATTCCTTCACCTAACTTGGAATAGAGAGGAATATTACAGATATACAATATACTGCCCACCTCTTTTATATAGTTCCCAAAATTTCTGGCTTAATATCTGTGTATCTTTGTACTCATGTATGTATGTATGTATGTATGTATGTATGTATGTATGTATATGTATATATACACACACATTCATACATATGCATATGCATCTGATTTTTGCTGACATCTTCTACTCTGAGCTCTATTGTTTCATTTATATCCACATTAAACAATTAAGCAATTATATTATGAAAGTCAAAGTTGAGGTAAATTCCTACCCTACGTCTTCACTCGTTAGCTACAATTCTCCTAAAAGTAATAAACTAGTAGAACTTGAACATTTTACATTTGCAATAACTATGTCTGAGTCAAACAGAAAATGTCAGATAAGTTGATGTTAGGCAAATGAACCCCAAGGAAAGTATTCAAATGATTTTTTCTTTCATGTAATTGCTTCTAACATATTTATAAGATGATTTCCTTGTTGCCTTGTATGTCCCTCCCCCACGGTATAACACCTGCTGTCACTGTATTTGATGTTGGTATTATTTGTGGAGGGAAAGGAAAAACCAAATCATTTAAATAGGGATACAGGGGGATTCATTGCAACAGTGAGATGTACAAGATGTTATGCCAAAAAACGAACTTTACAACTTTTGGGGGGGCAGAGTATCGGGTGTGGCGTGGGGGATGGAAAGGGATGGGAAGGGGAAACAAAGGAGGAAGCAACAGTGCTTGATAAGAAATGTACTCATTATCTTGCCCACGTAACTGTAACTCCTCTGTATGGTATTTTCACAATTTTAAAAAATGTAAAAAAAAGAAAAAGGGTATTTTTGGTTATCTTGAGAAACAAGGTGTCTAGGGCAAAGTACATGTACACATCTGCAAAAGAAATGCTTCATGGCAGATTTAAGACTATTTCTTTCCTACACCACGTGCTTGTAGCTCAAACATATAATCATAGCTGATCAGGAGGCTGAGAAACAAGGGTCTAAATTTGTAGTCAGCCCAGGGAGGCAGTTCCTGAGCATGTTGTGTTTGAATGGGTGCGTGCGTGGGTGCTTAGGTCCATGAGACTCATGTCTCCAACTAGCTACCAAACACACTGGAAGTGGAGTTGTGGGCCAGGGACTAGAGTGCTAGACTTGAGCAAACCACATTCAAGAACATGGCTCAAACCCTAATCTCAAGCCCTATGACTGGCACATTGAAAACAGCAGTAATTCTATTCTTATAAACATAAGAGAAGTTTAATGTCATATTGTTGTTGAACTAATTTTAAATTCAGCTTACTTCACAATAACTCAACCCTCACAATCTAATTTTCTATCTAATTTTCTACTTCCTATATCTTCTCTATTCCCTCCTTAATAAAGTAACCATGGCAGTCTTTCCTGCCTATCAGGTAAGAACATAAGGCTAGAAGCAGGACTCCCATTCAATGTGATGGTGGGCCTTTCAGAGTAATTGAGATCTGGAGAATGAAGAATTGGTCTGAGGTAGATGATTCTCCTATCTACTGAGATCTGCAGAACCGTGGGACTGCCTCTGTGTTTCTGAGAGGAATTCTTACATTCCTCGGATCTTTATGAGTCCCATACATGCACATTGATACTCTGACTAAGGATTGTGCCTGCCAGTCTTTTGACCTGCTCTATCATTTTCTATTTAGTTGCAAAACTGAATATGACTACATAGAGTTTTTGATAGGTCGTCATGTATTTTTTGATTGTCATCATACTCCAAAAAAAAAATGGTTTACCATGTGAATGACAAAAGAAAACAACTCACCCATTAGTTGTGTTGTTACCAGAACTGATGACAATGTCTAGTAAATCTGTGTCACTGTGAACAAATGAAAAACAGAACATTAAGTTGCACTATGTATAAGAAACCAAAAAATTTTTTTAATTTTTAAGTGCTGACTACTGACACCAAAGAATTTACAGACTAAGCAGATGCTCAGTGACTTGAGCTACATCGCCAATTCTTTTGCCTGTACTACTCGGTCTCTCAAATACTGAGGTTAAACTCACAACCTGATATTTAAGTGCTCAATTTAGAGTAACACTATTCTCTATGCTGTGTTTTTCAATTATCTTCTTGTTTGTTCTTTTATCATTATCTGCTAGAGATAGTTATGCCACTTTCTCACATTTATAATCCTATCTACTCAAGAGGCTGATGACAGAGGATAACAATTTGAAGCCACTGAGATTAGGTATATGTTGGGTGCAACATTTCTAGTTAACCAGTTAAGTGCTGAGCTGAAAGTATAGTGCTCAATTAACAAATCAGCCATAAATAAGAAAGCAGAATAGGTATAATATTCTAAGTTTTTTGGGGGAGTCCAGTTGTAGGGCTTGAACTCTGGGCCTGGGCACTGTCCCTCACAGCTCTTCAGCTCAAGGCTAGCACTCTACCACTTGAGCCACAGTGCCACTTCCAACTTTTTTCTTTTTCCTTTGTGTGCTGAGGAATCGAACCCAAGGCCTCATGTATGCAAAGCAAGCACTTTACCACTGAGCCACCTTCCCAGCCCCTAATTTTCTAAGTTTTATAAGTAACAACACACACACACACACACACACACACGCACACGCACACACAAACATGCACACACACCCTAATCTTTGTCTTGTGGCAGAAGATATTTTATGGAAGTGCAGTCACAACACATTAAAGTAGTCACAAACCTGTCATAGTTCCAGCGATTAAGCCCTTTATCCAGCATTAATCATGTCCTTACACTATCCATAGTGTCAGAAACTTTAAAATCACACTTTAAAAAAATTAGAATTCAAAGAAGTTCACGTTCATAATAAAGTAGAGCTGGGCTCTGGTAACCCACACATATAATCCTAGCTAGTCAATAAATTAGATCTGAGGATCATGGTTTGAAGCCAGCCCAAAAAAGAAAGTTCCTGAGATTCTGATCTCCAACAAACTACTCAGAAATTCAAAAATTGACCTATGGCTCAAGGGTAGAGCACTCTCCTTGAGCGCAACAACTCAAGAGTTGGTGCCCAAGATCTGAATTCAAGCCACAGGACCTGAGCTAAATAAATTAATAAACAATTAAATAAATAGATAAGGCAGAGACCTAGAGGATGAGTATATATGTCATTAAATTGTCAACAAATAGCAGTTAGGGGGAAAGGGTGCAGAAAGATTCTTTATACCCTGTTATGAGACTTCTATTCCTAGGACTGTGAGATAAATTGTGAATGCATGACATATTTGGTTTGTAGAAACTGATTACTACTGTCATAGAAAATGTATACTACCTTATATAGACTATCTAATTGCATTCTAAGAGTTTTCTTCAGAGTTCACTGAAAAAGCACAATGTTTTTCTTCTTGCTGGGTTCTTATTTTTTTGCATAACTGAGAAATGGGTGGAATGTAATAGACACAACTTGAATACCTAACCACTTCATATAGTTTCCATAATAACTAGCTTAATACCTCTATATCTTTAGTTACATATGCATCTCACCTTTTGTTAACATGTTTCGAGATTATCTCTTGTGGTTCAGTCTTTTCCGGGCTAAAGGGTTAAGTTATACACAGTCAAACACCAAGTGAATTCATAAATTTACTTTTTCATTCAAGTTAGCTACAATTAAGCCAAAACTAATAAATTGGTACAACGTCAAATTTTACATATTTAGTTACATGAAGAGCAGTATTTCTATCTTTCCCTACAAATGAGGCTTCTGGGGAAAATTACAAGAGTAAAGCTGGCTTAAACAGGTTGCATTCATGATTTAAAAATAATTTTGTCCTAGGCAAGTGCCTGTGCTTCAGGGTTATAATTCTAGCTGCTCAAGCAGCTGAATTCTGAGGATCACTTGTAACCACCGTGGACCAAAAAGTCCATGAGACTCATATCTCCAATTAATTACCAAAAAAAAACTGAATTTGGGCCTGTGGATCAAGTGGTAGTCTTGAGCACATAAAGCTCAGGGTCAGAGCTGAGGCCCTGACCCCCAGCTTAAAAATGGGAACAAAAATAAATAAGAAACAAGTGAATATTTCCATCATAGTACACATTAAAAAAACTTAATTCTCTGTTACTGTGGACTAATTTAAAATATTCTGCTTCCCATGTCCTCCCCATTCCCTCTTTAATTACATGAATTAAGGCTGACTTTTGTGCCTATCAGATAGGGATACCAGGCTAGAAGCATGACTCCCATCTAATGTGATGGTGGGTGGGCCTTCAAGGTTACTGAGTCCTAGAGAATGACGCATTGGTCCAGGGTTGATGAGTTCCATTCTCCTGGGTTCTACAGAAAACTGGGACTACCTGCTTGATTCTGAGAGGGATTCTCACCTCCCTTGGCTCTTCATGAGCTGCATGCATGCAGCTACTTTGATACTCTTAAGGATTGTGACTGCCAAAAGAGACCAAGTCTCTTTTGACCTGCTTTATCATTTTCTATTGAATTTCAAAACTGAAAATTATTCTATACAGTTTTTGATAGGTCCTCACGTATTCTGTCGATTGTCATCATATTTCAAAATGGTTTACCATACAGATGACAAAAGAAAACAACTCACCAAGTAATGTCATTTTCATTGGAACTGATGACAACCTCTGTAAGTATGTTGTCATCACTGTGAACAAATGAGAAACAAACAGAAAATTAAGTTGGACAGTGTCGATGAAATCACACTCTTTTACTATAGTGCTGACTAATGAAAACATGGCCTGAGCATGCTAGGCAGTTTTAAGTATGCTCAGTCTCTTGAGCTAAACCTCCAGCTCTTCTATTCCTAAACCACCTCTCTCAAGTACTTAGTCTGAACTCAGAGCCCTGTGATTGCTAGCTAGGTGCTCAATTTCGAGTCATACCTTTTCTCTGCTGGCTTATTCAGTGTTTTGTGCTTTCAACATAATCTGGGATGGCTGGGCATGACTCTGTCTCCCATCTATAACCCTACATACTCAGAGGCTGAGAACAAAGGAAAATAATTTGAAGCTACCCAATTTGGGATATCTTAGAGAGTTCATCTGTAACTAACGAGCAAAATGCTGCATTGAAAAAGGGTTAAAAAATTAACACATCAGCCATTAATAATAAAGCAGAATCGGTACAAGGCTTGGCTTTGAACTTTAGGCCTAACAACAAAAAATACAAACATACCCTAATCTGCAACATGATTTTACTAGGAAATCCAGTCACCACACATTCAAGCAGATACAATCGTGTCACAAAGCAAGGGATTGAGCCCTTTTTCAAAGGTAAGCCACATCTTTACCCTGTTCCTGCTGTCTGGAAACATTGGAATCAGATTTATAAGAAATTATCTTTCTTGGTCTAGAAAAAAATATCTTCTACAAAATAAGGCAGACTTATAGGGTGAATATACACATTATAGAATTGTGGACAAACAGCAAAATAGGGGGAAAGGGTCTAGAAAATTCTTTAAAGGCCTGATAAAGAGCCTGCAGGCACTTTTATCTGACACTTCTATCCTCTAGAGCTGTGTGCAACTTCGTTTTTGCTTTTGCTAGTGGTCTATGCTTGAACTTGGGGTCTGGGGCTTTTCTTGAGCTTTTTTGCTGGAGGCTAATGCTCTACCACCTACCCACAGAAACCAGTGGTTTTTAAGGAAATCTGTCTGTCATCAAGTCCCAATTCCTTTTACAACTCATATTATTTTAAAGTCAACTTACGTTTTTTCAGTCTCTGGATACGTTCTAGTATCTGTTGTAGCATGTACAACTCTGCTACAAAGTAAAAGACACAAAAAAGCAGTCAGACATTTTGGAGGGCAGTGAGACCCTTGGTACTGTAGGATTTCAGGATAGAAAAGTAAAAAAGAAAAACAAAACAAAACAAATACAAACAAGGAATTTTGACAGAGCTAAAGAAACAACTCCAGAGCACAGAACTGAACCCTGAAACAATCTGATAGGTGCCCTTATAGGGGTGTGTGTTTGTGTGTGCGTGTAGGAAAGAGGAAGAAGGAAAAAAGGTAAATTTAGAATTCATGAGTCTCCTCTTCTTCTTCCTTATTTTGTGTACCATTCAGGCTAGCCTGCAATCCATTTGGTAAACGAAACACTGGGTAAGTCAGAAATGAAGGGATGGTTTCAGGTAATAGTTTATGAACAAAAACAAAAGTAAAAACACTAGCACAAATATTCTAATACCATGGACTAGTTCCTATTGAGTCTTTTTTTTTGAGGGGAGGGTCTGGTCGTGGGGCCTGAACTCTGGGCCTGGGTGCTGTCCCTCAGCTCTTCAGCTCAAGGCTAGCGCTCTACCACTTGAGCCACAGCGCGCCACTTCCGGCTTTTTTCTTTTAGCTTATGTGGTGCTGAGGAATCGAACCCAGGGCCTCATGCATGCAAGGCAAGCGCTCTACCACTGAGCCACCTTCCCAGCCCCCCTATTGAGTCTTGTGTAAGAAAAACAGTAAACAGGTCAAGAGTGGTCTAAATTATGGTACGGTATGGGATAGGATTTGGTATGGATTAAAGGAAGAGCTCAATTGTAGAGCACTTTATGAAACACTTATGAAGTAATCTCCTGGGTTCAAGCCCTCAAAACATTGTGAAAAGAAAAATTAGTTTATTGGAATGATTTTTTTCTTTTCTATGAATTCATTTTTAAAGGATATTTTGTTTAGACTATAAACAATCAAAATTTAGCTCAGTGGAAGAACATGAAAAGGACCCTGAGTTTGATCCTCAGCACTGGGAAAAAGAAAAAGCTAAAAAGACAATTACACATACAAAATAATAATAATAATAATACTGGTACTAGTAGTAGTAGTAGTGGTAGTAGTAATAGTAACAAAAAAGACTGAATTTAACTAAAACAAAGTCATCTCTACATAGCTGCTGCTTGCCACCAGGAGTCCAACATGGAATTGTAACACCAAAAAGTATATAGACTATTAGAAAGAATGTACACTTCAGGTGGTTTCTACTGAGGAAGAAAACTGTCAGATACTGAGCAAACCGCAAATAGTGAACTAGTTGGGGCTCCAAAACAAAGCATCAGACATTTATGGATGCTACAAGAACTCTGAGTATACAATGATCGACCCCTGCGAGAGGTGAAAGTAGTAGTAAAATAGCAGCAGTATATTTTATTTTATATACACATATATATATGGAAATACATATATGTTTATATTTTAAGGCTTTGTAAACCTTTCCCACTTTCCTATAAACCATTCCCACTCTCTTTACCACACTCTTATAAATACCTCCTATGCTCTTAAATACTTTCTACACTCTTTATTTATTTATTTATTTTGCCAGTCCTGGGCTTGAACTCAGGGGATGGGCACTGTCCCTGGGCTTCTTTTGCTCAAAACTAGCACCCAACTCTTAAGCCACAGCGCCCCTTCTGGCTTTTTCTCTTTATGTGGTACTGAGGACTCAAACCCAGAGCTTCATGTGTGCTAGGCAAGCGCTCTACCACTAGGCCACATGCCCGGAGCCCCACTTTCTACACTCTTAAATTTACATAATTTTATCAGCAAAATCCCATGATATAGCAAAAACTCTGCAATACAGATTTGGATTTTTTTTTTTTTTGGTTAGTCATGGGGCCTGAACTCTAGGCCTGGGCGCCATCCCAGAGTTCTTCAGCTCAAGGCTAGTGCTCTACCACTTGAGCCACAGCGCCACTTCTGGCTTTTTCTGCTTATGTGGTGCTCAGGAATCAAACCCAGGGACTCATGCATGCAAGGCAAGCACTCTACCACTGAGCCACCTTCCAGCCCCCTGGATTTTTTTTAACCCATGATACAACAAAGCTGCAAAAAGGGAACTGCAATATAGTGAGGGAAAACTGCACTCTATGAAGACTGAAAAACTACTTTAGTAAGCTGCTTGGGGGCACAGATACTGTCTTCTCCATGGGACATGAATAAACCAGCAGCTGAAGACAGGATCTGATAGGAATCAACCTTCTTCCAAGGGTACACACCACAGGCTTTATTCAGATTCTTACATCCTGTTTATACAATGTGAGCTACCTTTAAAATACTTTGGCTGAGTCACATCTTTCTTCCGTTTGGATTTTTTTCTGGTGCCAGATACTGGGGCTTCAATTCAATGTCTGGGCACACAAGGCTAGCACTCGATCACTTGGTGTACTCATAACTTCTACGTTTTTGGTGGTTAATTAAGAGACAAAAATCTGATGGACTTACCTGCCTGGGTTGGCTTAGAACCACAATCCTGAGATCTCAGCCTCCTGAGTAGTTAGGATTGCAGCCATCCATGCCTATGTTTTCATATTCTATCATACATAATGCTGAATTATAAGGCACTAATATCACTAATAAAAACTAGTTTGACCTTCACACCATGGTAATGAAGTATGTTTCTGATGTTAATTAAATAACTGAAGCTCTTGTGGTATCCTTGTGGAACAGATCTAGGCTGAATACCAGTTTCTCATCCCTAACACACTATCCCCCATTATTAGGACAACCAGCCACCCCCAGAGTGAAACTTAAAGGGACTGGAACATGGCTATCACAGTGCTTAAACTTCCGTATTTTCTAGAACAGTAAAGGCATAGAACAAGGCCTTTAATCGGTGAACATGTTAAATAACATTTCCATATACTTTATATTTATTAAGAAAAAAGGCATAGCTGTGTTCCTGATTTTACTAAACAAGCCTAGGATTTTTGCTCAAAATTTAGCACATTTGAGTCCTATGACTTACTTGTGACGTCTGATGAATACAAACCAGTAGTACACGGATCTGCAAAAGGATCTGATCATTCTATCATCATACAAATATCTCAAATTCAAATAATCCTAAGAAAAGGAAAGCACATAAGAATTTTATATTCATTATTTCTAAAACAGACTTATAGTATCGCTAAAAATAGGGGGAAAGCCACACATACAAAGTTTTTATGTAGTGCTCAGCATTTCCAAATTTTTGGCCCACAAAATGATCAGATCTATAATTCTATAGATTTTATCAATTCCTTGAGACATTCATTCTTCAATTGCCTTTCTTATTTTACTTCCAGATACAGAAAAACTTTTGAATCTTCAAAATATATTAAGTTTAGCTAAAGTACAAGACATTTCACAGATTAATCCAATTGCTACATAGGAGATCTTAGAAACTTAAATAAAAATAGTTTCACTACATCATGGTAACTTATGACTTTTCTATCTAGAAACATGTTTTCTTTCTAGAAACATGTTTTCTATCTAGAAACCTGTTGGGCATTCGCCAACAAATATAAGAATAAGAATTTTGTTCCCATGGTAACCCCAAACAGAAGACTCTGGTCAGCTTGATGTCACTGAAGGAGGAACGGAATGTAGTTCATTTCTAACTACAGAAAATTAAAGACACAGGCCCCTTAAAGACTGGGGGCCCAAGGAGGGGAGCATGTACCAAGGCCAAAGAGCCTAGGATAATAATTTCAGGACATCTACTATCTTGCCCATTTTTTTTTTCTCCTGTATCTAATGGAGGGAATTTTTCTGTTAACCCAAACTGATAAAACTAAGAGATCTCTGAAACAAAAGGCTTTATTAAGCTGAGACATATGTTAGCTAAAAAAGAGTTGGTACTGGAACAAACTCCCAGAGGGAACATGACAGGTAACAGGAAAATTGTCACCAGATCAACAGAACCAGGGTATTTAACAAAGAAGATTCAGGAAGAATGATAAAATATTACACAGAGCGACATTAGCTACAAATAAAAGGGAAAGGACAACGCAAAGTGGAGAAGTCCTGGATGGGGATCTCCTCTCCCTTATTCATCCTATGCCCAGTATCTCAGAATTACCATGTACTATGTATTCTGATTGATCTTTTGCCTTTCCCTATAGGTTGGACAGAGTGAGCAAGGGCCTGGATGTTTTCTGAATGGTACCTAATCTGGTTCAAATAGGCAAAAGGGACAGAGAGGACTTAGAGAATTTTTTAATGACTATTCTATTGGTGCTGGGGCTTGAACTCAGGGCCTGTGTGGCATCCCTGAGCTCTACCACATGAGCCATGGCTCCACTTCCTGTGGAAAATGTTTTAATTACTCAAGCTATCATTTCACAGAATTGGGAGGAAACAGGGCTGAGTGGTGCCTGAAGCTTCCAATCCTATCTACTTGGGATGCAGAGAGGGAAGATTGTAAATCAAGGTCATCCCGGGAATAAAAAGCTCATGAAACTACATCTCAACCAATCACTGAGTAATATGTTACACACTTGTTATCCTAGCGTCAAGGGAAGCCTGCTGGGAATGAGTAGTGCACATCTATCATACCCAGCAATGTAAGAAAGTAGAAGTAGAAGGAGTACACAAAGCAATGTTGGGCCAGATTAAAAGCAAGTCCTGCTCCCACACACATAAAGAATTGAGAAAAAATAAATAATTGTAAATTAACATTATACCCCTTATTTATGATTGAATGAGCCTGAAAGAGGAAAATAAATGCCAGACAAATAAAACTTGTTAAATGCAGTAGAAATAACTCTGTGGTGATTTTCATATACAACTTACCATTAAAAAATCAGCAACACATTGAATGGGCAAAGAAACCAGACAGACAAATATATTTTGTAAGAAATACAAACGTGGAGAAATGCCTAAATCCCTTGCCATTGACAAATAAAAACACAGAGAGTTGTCTTGTCTTCAGTCAAAATGGCTATCACCAAGAACACAAACGGCAGCAAATACTAGAAAGAATGAACTGTTGATAGGAAAGTAAATCAGTATAACCTCTAAGGAAATCAGTATGGAGAGTCCTCAAAAAACTAACAGGTCTACCACACAATCCAGTGAAAATACTCTTTAGCATGTATCTGAAGGAATGTAAATCAGAATATAAGAGAGGCACCTATAAATTTCTTTGTAGCATTATTTACAATAGCCACGCTATTGTAAATGTGAGATGCACAATAGAATAATATTGAGCCATAAAGATGAGTATAGTTATATTGTTTTTAGCCCAGGTTCAGAAAAGCAAGTCATAATGTTTTCTCTCATATGTGGAAAAACACATATGTAAACAGATACAGGAGATCATACACTCAAACATACAACATTTTGTCACTGTGGGGCTGTTGTAGCATTAAGAGGAAGAGGAAAGGAAAATAATGTTGAAAATTACTTGAAAACATTGCATCTGTAACTGAAAATGACATAATGAAATCTCGGGTAGAGAGAATGGGGAAGGGGGGAGTAAGCAAAGGTCATCAATCTGATTAAAGGACACCATGTGTGAAATACCCTGAAGCCTCTAAAAAACTAAAAATAGCACATGTCAGGACACTGCCATACTGTCCTTGGGCATATATATCTGAAGGAATCTAATCAATATACAAGGAAGACACCCAAACACCCATGTTTATTGCAGGTCTGTTTGCAATAGACAAATGGCAGAATCAGCGTAGGTGCCTGATAACTGATAGGTAAATATATACCATATAATATTACTCAGTCTTAAAGAAATACTTAACTATGTCATTTACAATAAAATGGAGGGGACTGGAGATCATCATTTTGAGTTAGACAAGCAAAGCTGAAAAAGCCAAATATCATGTTTTCTCTCACTTGTGGAATCGAGACTTTAAAGGCATACATATATATGTATATATACACATACATGGAGCTTATGTGACAGTCTGGGGAAGTAAAAAGGAGAGGAGAATGGAAGGTAAATGATAGCAAATTACACTGAAGCTATGTATGAGGTGGTAATCTCACTGAAGGCTGCTAACAATAGAGGGGTGGGAGATGGGAAAGAGCAAGAAGAGGAGATTCTCATTAAAGTGGAATGCATGTGCATGAGTAATATGGCTATATTACTTGTTATAGTTACTAGACAATACCAAGTTTAAATAGGAACTGCAATTACAATAGCTTCAAATAAAGATTTCCTAGGATAACCCTAAATAAGGACTAAATATTCTTCCTCACAAATATAACATCTCAAAAGAAACATGGATTAAGGCATTAGAAAATGGAAAGGTAGTCTGGAAGAGTTCATACTAATATTAATTAGTCATTGATACTAAGGGGATACCTATACAACAGAATATTATTTGACAATGAAAAGCAATGAAGTATAGATAGATAGATATGTACTTTAAGGTGGGTGAACTTTGAAAATACAAGCCATGTCATATCTACATGAAATGTCCAGAATAAGAACATAGGACAGAGAAAAATACTTCAGTGTTTGTCCTAAAATTCTAGTGGGAAGTCAGTAAGAGAATAAGAGAATGACTAGTATTGAGTATAGAGTTTCTTTCTGGAGTGAAGAAAGATACCTAAAATTATAGAATGGTAATGTTAAGTGGTAGCTTCCCAACTCTGTAAATGCAAATAAAGTGTATTGAATTGTATACCTCAAAAAGAGCGAATTGTAGGTTCAATGAACTGGATCTCAATACATAGGTTGAAAACCCCAGATGTCCCTCTACCTCTAGGAGAGGCAAATATAAACTACATTGCCATCTGAAGGTGCATGGGATGCATGATAGGCCCTCCATGAATGCAGAATTGTTCAATTCCTGAGGCTTTGAAGACACTGGTCTCAGATTCTCTGCGCTGGAACACCGTCAGCCTACAGGTGGAGTTGTCACGATGGCTCCGGAAATGAGGTCCTGAAGTCTGTGGAAGGTGATCCTGGCCCCGGCCTCCTGAGTTGGCTTGTCCTTTCACCTGCGCTCTACACACCTTTCCTGCTTGCTTCATTGAGGACATTAGGAACTTCATGGTCAAGCCCAAATCTTCTGGAAGCCAGTCCTGGCAGAAATGTGGGTCATCTCCACATTCTGGATACAGGTCCTGCAGTGAGAGAACTTGGTTGGTTTCTTGCTCTTCAATAGCAAAAGAGCTGGCACACATGGAATCATGATCCTACTAGACCAGGTCCGATGTTTCTAGAACACTGTGGCTCTTGGGGCTAGATAAGGTTGTGCACCAAAGCTATGGAAAAACGTCAGCAGGGTGACCAGGAAAATCCTCCGCTCTGGCACTAGCGCCTAAAGTGCCTTTTTTTTCACTGCATGGTTTGCATAGCTGGGTGAGGTAGGCACCCTCACGCAGCAAGTCGGGGCCCTCAGCTCCACCACTCGGCCAAGCCCCACAGATCACAGGACTCAAGAGGTAGATAAACAGCAGTAGAGATGACCCAAGGTGTATTGCTCCACCAAGCTCCAATGGAGAGTGCTCCGGGCCTGGCAGCTAAGATTCCCAGGCCCCGGCCTCTGGTCCTGAGGCTTCCCAGGCTGCTTAGAGGACAGCGGGCTCCACAGATGAGCACAGCTGCAGAGCAACTCGGCAGGTCAAAAGGTCTCCCAGGCTTTCGGGAAGCTCTTTGCAAGGGACCCCACATCTTGCCCCAGGAAAGTGCTGGAGACAGAACTAAGTTGGAGATAACCGCTATCAAAGCTCTGTCCAGATACAGGATGACCCATTGTAACAAGGAGATGTACAAGACACTGCGGAAAACAAACTTCACAACTTTGTGGGGGGATACATGCCCAGGATGGAGGGAAGCCATGAGTAGGACACAGAGTAAGTGGGAAACTGAATAACATACAACAAAGAAGCCCATCAGCTCTTCTGGACATAGAAGATAAAGAACTATCCAAAGGCAGCTATGGGAAGGGAGGAATGAGAGGGAAAGAGGGAACAGTCTATACTAAGCAAAAGGAAAGAAATGCAAACATCACCTGATGTGGAAGAAATAATTTGTATTGTCAAAGCTCATAGAATTCACAAACTATATAGACCATGATAATGACAATTTGCCTTGTGAAGTTTAAAATGTGTTTGTGACTTTTTTTTTTTTTTTTTTTGTCGGTCGTGGGGTTTGAACTCGGGCCTGGGCGCTGTCCCTCAGCTCTTCAGCTCAAGGCTAGCGCTCTACCACTTGAACTACAGCGCCACTTCCGGTTTTCTGGTGGTTTATTGGAGATAGGACTCTCACGGTCTCTCCTGCCCTGGCTGGCTTTGAACCTCGATCCTCAGATCTCAGCCTCCTGAGTAGCTAGGATTACAGGCGTGAGCCACCAGCGCCCGGCTTGTGTTTGTGACTTTAACTATCACTATTCCAAAATACTGTGAAATATGTGAAATTTATGTAATCACCTAATCTCAATTTTTTAAAAAAGTGAGAGAAGGGATGGGTTAGGAGATATGGGTGACAATGTCGTCAGACACCTTCTATTTATATACTGTTTTGTAGAATGGGAACTTCTTTGTACAACTATTTAAAGATAATAAATATATATATTTTTAAAACACTGTAGAAAACAAACTTTACAACTTTTCAGGGAGTTGGGGGTGGGAAGGGAGGAGTTGGGGAGGTGGGGAGTAAGGGATGGTAGGAGGAAAACGAAGGAGGGGGTAACAATGCTTGATATGAAATGGACTCATTACCTTGCTCATGTAACTGTAAGCTCTCTGTACACTCTTTACAATTAAAAAAAATTAAAAAGCTGTCCTTCAGGCCACTCACCAGCGTAAGCTCCGCCCCAGCATAGCACCTGCCTCCTTCTTGGGCCAATCCCGGCAGAGGTCTCTCCCCCAGCACAAGCCTGCCCCGAGCATAGGTTGGTTGTGGCATAGGGCCCGCCCTCAGCATGGGGCCCACCCCTCAGCATAGGCCTGCTCCCAGTATAAGGCCTTCCCCAGCTTGCTCACAGGTAGGCCCACCCTCAATGTTGCCCCGAGTCCAGCATTGGGACAGGCCCAGCATATGTGTCACCCTCAGCTTAGAGTCCACCCTCAGCCCACCCTCAACATAGGCATTGGATATATACATTCACCCTTGCATTAGTTCCACCCATGATACTGGCCCTGCCCCAGAGTGAGCTCCCAGAATTCCTCCCAGAATTCATTCACACAAATCCCAGGCAAAGCAGGGGGCACACCAGATCTGGAAGACCACAATGACCAAGGGTACCATGTGTGAAACTGCTGGGATGAAGAAAAAGACTACGTCAATCTCCAGAGAGATCATCTCTTTCAAAATAAAAGAAAGGAAAAGGGGGCTGTAATACAAGTCTCATGGAAGGCCTGCTGATGGAAAGCTCTCATCTGATGGCTTTGGGTCTTCTCTCAAGTGGGCCTCCACTCTTTGGCTAGGGGATCACAATTAGTCCTATGTATATGAGACACTGGGTAGTTTACATAGAACGTGATGTAAGCTCCACAGCCACAAAACTTGCTGTGTTTTTGTACAAATTATATAGCTAATAGATGGCAATTGGGTACTTATTACATATGGAATGAATGAAGTGGCAGAATAAATGACTTCCATATGGCCATGGAGCTAGTAGCACTGGTGTTTTCGCTTGTATGATTTTATTACTACCCATCATTTTAATATGTCCTAAAAGGTAAGTCTGAAAGGAGGCAAAGTTTGTATTTGTGTGGAAGGGATGATGAAAAAATAGGGTGAATATATTTAAATTATTAATGTTTTGTGGAGAATGAATGTGTGTATATATCTGTGTGTATGTATGTATGTATGTCTTTTGTATGAACTGGGCCTCTTGCTTATTTTTTTAATCAGTGGTGCTCTACCATTAATATCACTAGCTCTTTGCACTTAATTGGAGATAAGAGTCTTACTGGTTTGGTCTGCAGAGCTGGCTTTAAACCTCAGTTCTCAGACCTCAGACTCTTAAATACCTAGGATTACAGGTGAAGATATCAGGGTTTTCTTTTTTTAATGTCAGTTAATACCAAACCATTCAACAAAATTATTCTTAGGAAGCCAAACCATCTTCTGAATGGAGGAAGAAAGGGTAGAAAATTCTATGTACATTATGTAAAAATTGAACTAAGGGATCTGAGGGTAGGGATGGGATGGGAAAAGAAGGGGAGACATTCATCAAGATAAATTGCACTCATAACCTGTCTTTTAGAGTTGAAACCCCTTCGCACAACTACTTAATAACTAAATAAATAATTTTACAAGTCAGTTAAGTGACAGGTTATTTAATCTTCTACAGGCAGAAAGAAAATGCAGAAGAGATGGCCAATGGGTAGGAGGTAGTATGGAGATCAACAAGGTGAAGATCCTGAAAAATGTTGAAGAATTGGTATCCTGAAGATATAGGCTGGAAAGATGAGACAAAGATCAAAGGGATGGAATATTACTGTGGGATAATAGACTCTGTGTGTGTGTGCGTGCGTGCGCATGTGCACGCACAAGCACCTGTTCTGGGGCATGAAATCAGGGCTGGGGTGCTGTCCTTGAGCTATTTTGCTCAAGGCTAGTGCTCTACTTTCTGAGCTACAGCTCCCTTACAGCCTTTTTATTTGGGTGTCTACTACTTGGAGATAAGAGTCCCATGGACTCTCCTGTCTGGGCTGGCTTTGAACCATGATCCTTAGATCTCAGTAGCAAGTAGACAGTCATGAGCCACCCACACCAGGCTCTAGACCTTCTTTTCTTTTTCATTTTAGAAGACAGAGCTCTTTTAGATTATAAGATCTAGAAGTAGCTATAGTTGAGTTCAAGTATAGCTAAAGATCTAAGATTAAAAAGTCTATTAATTGAGAATCAAGCTTATTGAACCAAACAATATCATAGGTATTGAGTTCTGAGAAATTTTATTTCTCTGCAAGATCTTTACACTGGTACTCATCCCTCCCCCTCCCTCTTTCCCAAGATCTCCACAGAATGTGCCTTTCACACTTAAATATGGGCTTAAGAGCCCGAGGGAGACATGGAAAGGCTCTGCCCTCAGAAGACAAGCAGTAAGGAAAGGATGCAGTGATCTAGGCTTGGCTTTTATTTTGACACCCAGCATTCATTTTCCATTTTGAAAACAGTATCTCTACTGTCCTCTGAGAATAAGGACACTGAAAGTAACTCCCATTCTTCACTCTCAGTTTATGTATAAATATTATATACAGTCTTTCCCACTCTACTACATGCCAGACACAGACATGTGTTCCAAAGCTGGGAAAAGGAAACTTCTATTCCTCCAGCCTCAGTGACCCATGAACAGATGGACTCATGTGACTAAACTGGAGCTAGCCAGACTCTATGAAACTTTTGCATGGACTCTGGTAAATGAAGCGCCATATTTTCAGATGCATTTCAAGCTGAGAAGATAATATACTGACCTTGCCAGTAGCCATCATATGAAGCTTCAGAATGAAGCTGGCACAGGAGATAAAACTGACAGGAAACAGGAAGATACCACATGTTGTCTGGCATGGAGCCCTAGAGGAATGCTAATTTCCAAAGCCAGATTACATCTCAACTTCTCAGTGACACGAGTCTTCAGTACCTTTTTGTGTTTAGTTGGATTGTATTTTATATTGCTCACATAGAGATCTTTCCTCACAATACCAAGAGCTCTCCATTTCTGGTTCCTGTTTTGAGCTAGCTCACCAAATATCAGTTAATTTCTCTGTATCTTAGCTTCTCTAACTGCCATAGGGAAAGAACAATGCATAGAGGTGTAAGATTAAATAGCGATACATTTTAAGTGTGATTTTTTTCTCTCATAATATTGGAGTGCAGGAAATATCACATCAATGTTTCTGAATTAGAATTATCTCTGTACCT